AACGATCTGGTTAGGTTCACTGTTGACAGCGCTGACCATAAAATGATGTGGAAAACGTGTTGACGGGACTGAAATTCGACGTGCTTGAACGATTTGCGTTCCTATCCCTGCCTGTATCCTGTACTCGTCTGCTCGCATGCAGTCTGGTAACGTCATTAACCAAAGGGAGCATCTGGTTCTCCTGCTAGCCAACAATCAGATGCGAATTCGACCGCTGGATCCTCGTGAAGCGGAGCCTCTGGTACGCTCCTTGCATTTTAAAAGATGGGTTAATTTGCCGAGCGTTGTTTCCAGCGAAGCGTAGGCAGCCACGACTCAGTTTGATGCGTGAATTTCAAATGAATGAGGCCATCAGTGTACAGCCAGCTGCGCAGGTTACTTTCGGCACTTCATGAGCAGCGAATGTGTGTATGAGCAGTGATTCCTGTTGATGACTTAATTTGTTTTGCAAGGCATGTCTGATTGAATTCATGTAATATTTCATCCGTCCACTGAAGTAGCTGCTATTCTAACCCGTTCTCCCTTGCTAACTCCTCTGCTGCAGCTTGACCCGAACGTGATCACCCTAGTGTGCGACCAGCTATTGAGCAACTACAAGTCCTGGTGCACATACGTGGGCAAGAAAAACAGCCTCATGTCAGTCATTCTCCATTCACCTGTTGTTTATCGATTGTCATGTGTTCTCATTTCTCTCCTAAGAACACGCAAAATTGCCTTCCACTAATTTGATGAGTTTCTGCTAGGGCGTGTCTATCTCACTCTTTCTTATACACAGCAAGTTAGTTTGTATCTTCCATTGCCATTTCAAGGTCCCTCTACATCTAACATGTCTCTGGGTTCCGATTCATGCCTCTCACCCTGCGTTTCTCCAATCCAATCCAGTGACGACTCGGCTCTGGTTGGTCACAGGAGGACCGCCCCCCGTACAGGCACCACCGACATTGTCTACTGCTCCCTCTTCCTGCTGATTTGGGGCGAGGCAGCCAACGTTCGCTTCCTCCCAGAGTGCCTCTGCTACATATTCCATCATGTGAGCGCCTGCTTTCCACCTTCCAATGTGAACGCATGAGCCAGTCTGTTCCACCTTCCTCCACTGCCATGCGAAATTGTTCAGCTCATTAGAGATCTCGTCTCAACGATCTCTCTGATGAGATTGTCTCTCAACGTCGTCACCATGCGACCCTTCCACCAAAGAAGCGACCGTTTTCTCTTCAAAGTCCACTTACTCTCCTCTTTCTCCCCTCCCCCTTGCCCTACCAGCTCGCAACAGAGACCAACGAGCTCATGACCCAATCCGCCAGGGCTCTCGCTCGCGACCGCAGCATTCCCAGTCAGCCGTACGGATTTCTCAACACCATCATTCAGCCGCTCTACAACGCAATCAAAGGAGTAGGTTCTGTGATAAGCCCTGTTTCATGGGCTGAATGCTCTGTGACACTACAGCTCTTGGCCATCAAGACTTAATCCAGCCCCTGCATAGTTTGTTTCCTCTCCCTTCTCTTCTCCCTTTCTCTCATATTCCTCGCAGAACGCTTCCCTCCAACCCCACTTTCCCCTGCACGTGTTTCCGCGCCCCTCTCCCCTCTCCCTATACCAGGAAGCAGACAGCAATGTGGGCGGCAAACTGCCGCACGCCAAGTGGCGCAACTACGACGACTTCAACGAGTTCTTCTGGTCGCCACGCTGCTTCGACACCCTCTCCTGGCCGCCCAATCAGTCTGCTGTCTTCTTCATCCCACCGGTATTGCCTTGCCACCGCCGTCCTTCACCCCGTCTGCTATGCTGTCTTCTTACTCAGTGTCTTGTCAGTGCTGCTTTGTCATCATTGCAACCCCATCTGCTCTGCTGCCTTCTCATCCTGCCGGTCCTTTTGCCGCCATCTTTGCACTGGCTCTGCCTATTTGTCACCCACCCTTCCAGTCTGCTGGTCCTGTAAAGAAGAAGCCATGCTGGTGGCGTAGTCTCTCAGTCGGGTCGCACACTCTCTGTCTGCACTGTCACCATCCTCAGGATGTTTGGACCCCCCCCCCCCGAACACCCGTGAAAGCAATGATCCATGCATGTGCGTCGTTTTCCGCATCGTGATGCGACTTGCTCTGCTCCTGTGCACGTGTGTGCAGAACAAGACGGGCCATGAGGGTGGCAAGACGGGCTTTGTGGAGCAGCGCACCGTCCTCAACATGTTCCGCAGCTTCGACCGCGTCTGGATTCTCCTCATCTTCGCCTTCCAGGTGAGTAGCTTGGTTCTTGAGTGCCCCCCCTCTCATCCCCATGTGTGCCTTAGCATTACCCTTGCCTCTCTCGTGCTCCCCCTACTCATACCCTCTCCCACCTTCCTTTCAGCCCTTTCTGGTTCCGCTATCCACTGCCCAATATTCAAGCAAGAGTTTTGTTTAGCAGTCTCAAACACATGCTTTGCTGCCTGCCCCCCTGTGCGCCAGTTGATGTTCATCACGGCATGGAAGGCGGAGGGCATAGACAACCCCTTCACGTACCTGGCGGGAGACAGAGACACCGTGGCGCTGCTGCTCACCTGCTTCATCACATGGGCCGGCATTGACCTCTTTCTAGGTGAGGAGCGGTGCTGTTCGGTTCGCTGGTATATGATGGCATGCGGTGCTGTGTTGTGAAACACAGTGCTTCTGTGCTGGTATTAATCGCTTTCGTGGTAAGGTGAGGGTACTACGCCACTCACTAGTCAACACCCATTATGCACGAGCTCCGTCTGTCCCATTTGCACTATCCATTTATCACTGCACCTATCTGGATGTCCCGCTTTTGCGTGCTTATCCCTTCCCCTCCTTTGTCCCTCTGCCCCCCTAAATTCTTCCCACTTTGCCTTGCCTGTCCCTTCCCCCCCCTCTTTGTCCATTCCCCCCATCTTTCCCCCTTCCCCCCGATTACACTCATAGCTTTCGCGGATTTGGTGATGGAGTGGCGTCTCATCCGCCCCTCAAACATGCGCTTCAACGTCCGCCTGCTGCTGCGCCTCCTTGTTGCCATCGCCTGGTGCATCGCCTTCACCACTCTCTACCTGTGCGTACCGCTCTTTACCTGTGCATATCATTCTTTACCTGCATGTGCTCCTCGCCCTCTACCTGTTTGTGATTCGAGTCTTCCACTTCCCCTTCCTTCTCTCAGTTCCTGGTACTCCCCTGTCCCACCTCCAAGGCCTCAAATTTATTCCCTGCCATTAGTGAGAATCCCCCTTGCGCTCTCTCCTCTTCCCTTCTCTCACCCCCCACCTTCACCTCCCTCCCAGCATGATGTGGAACGCACGCTACTGGTCGCCGGCAGCCAACACAGCGCTGGTCTCGTTCCTCATAGCAGCGCTCGTCGTCACGACTCCGCACCTGCTCTTCCGCCCTCTCCTCTTCCTTTTCCCCCCCTCCACTTCCCACCCTTGCCCATCTCTTCCCCTCCCAGCACGATGTGGAATGCACGCAAGCAGCCACCTACTGGTCGCCGGCAGCCAACACAGCCATGGTCACGTTCCTCATACAGCGCTCGTCTTCATGACCCCGCACCTGCTGGGCATCTTGCTCTTCCTTCTCCCCCTTCTTTTCCCACCCTCACGCCTCTCTCTCCCTCCCAGCATGATGTGGAACGCACGCAAGGCAGCCACCTACTGGTCGCCGGCAGCCAACACGGCCATGGTCACGTTCCTCATAGCAGCGCTGGTCTTCATGACGCCCCACCTGCTCGGCATCCTGCTCTTCCTCACGCCCGAGCTAAGCCGCCGCGTGGAGGCCTCCAGCTCCTCCTTCATCCGCATGCTCGTTAACTGCCTCGAGGTGAGAAACGTGGAGGGGGTACATTTGCCCAGAGGTGAGGCAAGTGCTTATACATGCCTTGAGGTAAGGAATGAGGGAGGGAGTTGAGTCAACTCAAAAGCCGCCGCGTGGAGGCCTCCAGCTCCTCCTCCATCCGCATGCTCGTTAACTGGCTCGAGGTGAGAGGGGTGCTCATCACGTGCCTCAATGCCTGCTTGAACGACCGCTGGATAGGCTACTGGCCTTGCTCGGCATCCTCATCTGCCTCACGCCCGAGCTCAGCCGCCGCGTGGAGGCCTCCAGCTCCTCCTTCATCCGCATGCTCGTCAACAGCCTAGAGGTGAGGCACAGGGGGAAAGGTTCACTTGCCTTGACGTGAGACAAGTGTTTGTCACGTGCCTTATGATGAGGGTGAGGGTGGGGGGTTCTAACCGACTCAAGAGCCATCACGTGGAGGCCTCCAGTTCCTCCTTTATCTGCATGCTCGTCACCTGCCTCGAGGTGAGGCGCATGCTTGTCACTTGCCTTGTGGTGAGGTTCTTCCTTGGTATGTGCCTAGTGGTGAGGCGCATGCTTCCCCTCCGCTTTAAACGGCGGCAGGTGCTCGTGTTAACCACTCACCTATATGCACTAATATTCTGAGGATCAGCCCTCCCTCCGTAGCTTATTCTCCAGCCATTTCCGGTCCTCCTTCCACTCATCTGCGTCTTATCCTCCATCTGTCGGCTCTATCAGGATGATAACTTTGTGGGCAGGGGAATGCGTGAAGACACATGGGACTCCATCAAGTATGTCCCTGCCCGCCCACCCACCCACTGCCCATCAACCGTCTGCTTCCCTTCCCGCCTGCCTTCCACCTTACCCACCTGGCTGCCTGTGTGCCCGCCTGCCTGCCTGCCTGCCTGCCTTCTGTATGCCTGCTGCTGTTTCTTGCACTTGACACCTCACATGCTTGCAAAGGTCCCCCTGTATCAGTCTCTGTCTCTCCTCTCCTCTCTTCTCCTCTCGACCCACCCATTGCTGCTGCGGTCTGTCTCAGGTACTCTATCTTTTGGCTCCTCCTCCTCACTGGAAAGTTCGCCTTCAGCTACTTCCTCCTGGTGAGCGAAAGCTGTAGCGGTGTGCCCCTATCTCTTCGTCCATCTTCAATATCTTCCTGTTCTTTTCCCCTCTACTGTTTCCTTTCCACCACCCTTCCTCCCAACCAATTTCGTCCGCTTGATTCAGCTGTACCGTCACGTTCCTTTCTTCCTCTCTCCTCCCACCCTGTCCTTACCTTTTTCTCATCGCTTCCTCCTCGTGCATTCTCGTCTTCTCTCCCTCTCCCCTTCTCCCCTCTTTTCCTCTCCCCCTTTCCTCCCTTCTCCATCCCGTGCAGATTCGGCCTATGGTGGAGCCCACAAAGGCACTGCTCAACACAACCATCCACTACACGTGGCCAGAGCTCTACAAATCAGGTGCGCACCCGCTGCATGCCATGTCATCCCATCCTATCTCATCCCATCCCATCCTATCTCATCCCATTCCATCCTATCCCGCCCTTTGCCATCTCATCCCACCCTTTGCCACCTCATCCCGCCCCTTCCTGTACCATCCTATATGCGTGGGTACCATCATGGATTTGTGTGTAATAGCTTAGTCACTGCCTGCGTCTGGATTGTGTGCATGTGTGCTGATGTGGCGTGTGCTTGTACATGTGGGCATATGTGCTTGTGCATGTGCGTGTGTGCGCATGCATGTGTGTGCGTGTGTGCGCATGCATGTGTGTGCGTGTGTGCGCATGCATGTGTGTGCGTGTGTGCGCATGCATGTGTGTGCGTGTGTGCGCATGCATGTGTGTGCGTGTGTGCGCATGCACGTATGTGTGTGCTTCTCTCTGTGTGCCATCAGGCAACTACGTCGCCGTGTTCTGGCTCTGGGCGCCAGTTGGTGTGGTATGTTCCCAATTCTCCCACTTACTCTCCATCCAACTTCCATTCCCCGATTCACCGACCTTTCAAATGCTTCCCGCTTCCATCCTGCAATTCTCCCTCTGTTCGAGCAATGGCTGCATCGTTGCTGTGTGCAAATCAAAAGATGATGCAAGCATGCCAGCTCCCTAGGCACTCTCCATGTCCCCATCCACTTATGTGCCTCCATCCCCCCAATTTCCTACACCCTAAACCCCCCATACCACCGTGCCCTTGTGCAGATCTACATCATGGACCTTCAAATATTCTACGCCATTTTCTCCTCTGTCGTGGGCTACATCATGGGCGTCTTTGCTCATATCGGGGAGGTGTGTAAGGGGGACGTGAGGGATGGAGGTACACTGGATGCAAGAAATCTCATTCCCAGAACCTGCTGCCGTATACTTGAAGGATAGCTGAAATGTGTTTGCAGAGGAAATGACACGCTCCCACTGATCAGCCTTGTGAATGAAGCTGCTGTGCTGTGACTGCACGTCCTCTCCTCCCTCCCTCTTCGTCCCTCCATGCGCCATGCCACATGTCTCATGTCTGAACCACCCCCCCCCCCCCCACCATGCCACCATGCCCCAACCTCCCCTTGCCACAGGTGAGCCACGTGAAGCTACTCACGCTGCGCTTCCGCTTCCTGCCGCGTGCCATGCACCTCAACCTGCTGCCGCCCTCCACCAACACCCAGCGCCGTGGCGGCATGCGCAGCGCCATGGCTCGCATGTGGAACCGCATGGTCATGACCTACGGGCTCGTCTCGCCTGACACATGGGTACGCTTGCCTCAACCTGCATGGCTTGAACAGATTATTTCCAGCATCACTCAGTGCTCTTGCCTGGTGCTCACCCTAGCGGCTTATTGCTTGAATGAATGGGCTGGCATTGCTTGTCTGTGTCTGCACGTGCAGGAGACGGACGAGCGGTGGGTGGTGCTGTGGAACAGCATTATTGCGAGCTTCAGAGAGGAGGACCTGCTGTCTGACGCGTGAGTGGGAGGGAGAGGGGGGGTGATTGGGGAAATGGAGCGAAGAGAAATGATGAGAGAAGAGGAACCAATGTCTGACGGGAGAGGCAAGAAGGGGGATTTTAGAGCAGTTTTTAATTGCAAGCCAGAAAGCAGCATCTGTCATTAAACTACTACTTTCCAATTTCCCATCCCCTCCTACCCTCCTTCTCCCTTTCTCCCCCCTGCCTTCCTTGGCCCCTCACATGCACTACAGCGAGCTGAACCTGCTCTCTATCCCTGAAGCGTACACCATTGCCACTGTTTCCCGCTGGCCCATTGTGCTGCTCGCCGATCAGGTACGGCTCGATGTGCTAACCTCAATTCAGGCTTGACTTGCTTGTGACGTAAGCATTGCACTGCCTCGCTAAAGAAATGCTTTATTTTATTGCACCAGCTATGGTGCATGGTGCTGCTGTAGGAGTACAGATCATTCCAACCTGCCAAGATCTGTACCAAACATTGCACTGCTCTTGGCAGGTGGTGAAGTAGGCGGCACCAGGTGGTGAAGGCCATGACCATCGCTGGCAGGTGGAAGAACTCCTCCTCCTCCCTCTGGCGCCGCCTCTGCTCGTCCGACTAGCTGGTTATTGAGAAGCCTCAAAGCCCAAATCACAGAGAGGTGGTGATTCTTGAGGGCTCTTTGAGATTCGTTTCCTCCCACGTCCCTTCCGCACCACCCTCTCCTTCCACCCATACCACCCCCCCCCCCCAACCAGGTGGGGAAGGCCATGACCATCGCCGGCAGGTGGAAGAACTCCTCCTCCTCCCTCTGGCGCCGCCTCTGCTCGTCCGACTTCTGCCGCTGCGCCGTGCTCGAGACCTTCGCCCTCTTCCGCCTCCTCCTCTCCCACCTGCTCATCGCCGGCACCCCTGAGCACCGCATGGTGCAGCAGCTGCTGGCGGAGATCGATGGTGCAGCTAGCGGCGCAGCAGGGGAGGCGCACACCGATAGGGACTTTGTGGATGACTTCAACCTGGGGAAGCTGCCTGCCGTGCAGGCGAAGCTCGTGGCCCTCACTGCGTTCCTTCTTAGAGGGCCTACCGAGGAAGAACTTCCCAAGGTGGGTCATCTTTCTTGACAGTGCGGCTAGCGGCGCAGCAGGGGAGGCGCACACGGACAGGGACTTTGTGGATGACTTTTACTTGGGGAAGCTGCCTTTTTTGAGTCGACTCAAAAATCGACTCATCACAGGGACTTTGTGGATGACTTTTACTTGGGGAAGCTGCCAGCGGGGCAGGCGAAGCTGGTGGCGCTCACTGAGTTTCTGCTCTCAAGGGACCCACTGAGGACGAGCGTACCAAGGTGAGTGTTGACTTGAGGCACGTGCAAACAGCAAGTATACTCAATGCTCCTCGCCACCCTCCACCTCTGCACTCCCAATTCCACGTGCCCAACCCCATCACCCTGGCCTCCCCCTCCCCTCCCAGGCCATCATGCTGGCCATCACAAAGTGGCAGTGCGGGACTTGTGGAGCGCCGGAAGCTACACGCTGCTGCTCTCTGTCCCTTGTCCGCTAACTCCCAAGTCCACGTTCCCACCCCCACCACTCACGTTAACAACCCTATCAACCCTTCTAACCCCTGTACCCTCACCAACTCACCTTTTCCACCCCGCCAGGCCATCATGCTGGTGCAGAACCTGCACGAGGTGGCAGTGCGGGACTTCTGGAGCGCGAGCAACTACACGCTGCTGCTCTCCAAGGGCGTCATCCCGCGCTCCACCCCGCCCGCCTCGCCGCTCTACGTGGGCGCCATCCGCCTGCCCGACCCCTCCGACCCCACCTACTTCGCCCCGCTGCAGCGCCTGCACTCCCTGCTCACCTGCCAGAACGCCATGGCTACCATCCCCGCGAATCCCGAGGCCAGGAGAAGGGTGACGTTCTTCTGCAACTCGCTGTTCATGGCCATGCCGCCCGCGCCGTCGGTGCAGCGCATGCGGTCGTTTTGTGTGATGACTCCGTATTACAACGAGTCTGTGATGTATTCGCCGGATGAGCTGCGGCGGCCGAATGAGGATGGCATTTCGCTGCTATACTACCTCCAAAACATATTCCCAGGTATGCTATCGAGTCGACTTGAAATGCATGAAACACACGACACCACATGGTGCAGCGCATGCGGTCGTTCTGTGTGATGACGCCGTATTACAACGAGTCGGTGATGTATTCGCCGGATGAGCTGCGGCGGCCCAACGAGGATGGCATCTCGCTGCTCTACTACCTCCAAAACATCTTCCCAGGTATGTTTTAGGTTTGACTCAACACACACAAACACCACACCGCGGTGCAGCGCATGCGGTCGTTTTGCAGGCGAGTGGAACAATTTCTTCTACTCCTGCAGTTTTCGTTGCCCTTGATCCTGTTCCCGCTTTACTCCTACTCACGAACAGCCTTCTCTGCTGCTCCTGCTCTCTGTGCTCGCCTGCAGACGAGTGGAAGAACCTGGAGGAGCGGCTGGGGGTGCGGGGCAGGGAGGTGTGGGAGTTTGACGACGGTGCTGAGGTGTGCCGCTGGGCCTCCTACCGTGGACAGACCCTTGCTCGCACCGTGCGCGGCATCATGTACTACCACAGGTGCGTGCTGCAAGAGGCATTCCCACTCACACCACAGGTGCAATCATTGTGCTATCTTCTGGAGCTATCACAGGTGCGTGCACGGCAATGAAACTTCTCAAACACTTATTGCTGCCATGCCATGTGCACTGTGCTACCAAAATTTCCGTGCTTCATTCATTTCAAGGGATGCTGGAAGTTTGACTCCCCAAACCCCAAACCCAGAACTCCCCATGGGCATCGTGCACACCACTGACAAGGCACTTGACCTGCTCTCCTACTTTGGCACATGCCTAGACGCCCCTCATTTGCCACACCTTATAACCGACACTGACCATGGCCCCATCCTCCCCCCTCCAACCCCACTCACAGGGCACTGGACCTGCTTTCCTACTTCGACACCGACCCAGACGCCCCTCCCACCGAAGGTCGTGAGCTTCATTCCAAGCCCCAACCCACCGCCGCACCTGCCGCCGAAGAGGTCTCCGCTGCCGCCGCTGCCGCTGCTGCCGTCGCCTCCGCCTTTGGCGGCAGCGGGAGAAGGCCAGACGCCAGCTGGGACTCCCAGGCTTCACTAGAGCAAATGCGGGAGCAGATCTCGCAGCACCTGGGGCAGCAGCGGGAGTACGACCCCCAGTTTTCCCTCGCCGACGTGAAATTCACGTATGTCGTCGCGTGCCAGATTTACGGCGAGCACAAGCGCAAGAACGACCCGAAGGCGCGGCACGTGTTGGAGCTCATGCAGGAGAATCCCGCGCTCAGAATCGCATATGTGGACGAACAGCCGCCCACGCCGGGATCGGGCGGTGGGACGCGGTACTACTCCGTCCTGGTGAAATGGGACCAGTGGAATCAGCGCGAGGTGGAGATTTTCCAGGTGCAGTTACCCGGCCCGATCAAGATCGGCGAGGGGAAGCCGGAGAATCAGAACCACGCGATCATCTTCACGCGCGGGGAGGCGCTGCAGACGATAGACATGAACCAGGACAGCTATCTGGAAGAGGCGCTGAAGATCCGGAACTTTCTGGAGGAGTTTTCGGAGTCGCGGAGAAGGATTCTGGGGATGCGGGAGCATGTGTTCACGGGGAGTGTGTCGTCGCTCGCAGCGTTCATGTCGGCTCAGGAGACGGCGTTTGTCACCATCGGGCAGCGCGTGCTGTATAATCCCTTGAAGGTGTGTTGCTGGCTTGGGTCTCACGCTGTCATTGTCGGGATGAGGGAGCATGTGTTCACGGGGAGTGTGCTGTCACTGCGGCATTTATGTCGGCTCAGGAGACGGCCTTTGTGACCATTGGGCAGCGCGTGCTGTACAACCCCCTGAAGGTGTGTTGCTGACATGTCTTGTGTTGTGGGTCTGGGGATGTGGGGGCTTGTGTTCACGGGGAGTGTGGTCATTTCCTCAAGCGTGTTGTCCCATGAAATGGGAGATGGGAGTGTTGACCATACGCTCCCATCTCCCCCAAGCGTATGGTCGCTGACTCGCTGGCTTCCGATCCATACGTTCCGTCTCCAAATCGCGCCCCCTCACACCCTTTCACATCCCCTCTTACCCCGTTTTCTGACCCCCTTTTCCAGGTGCGCATGCACTACGGGCACCCAGACGTGTTTGACCGCGTGTGGTCGCTGGCACGGGGTGGCATCAGCAAGGCGTCGCGGGTGATCAACATCAGTGAGGACATCTTTGCTGGCTTCAACACCACTCTCCGACGCGGGGCAATCTCCCACCACGAGTACATTCAGGTGAGATTTTATCCCCTGGTGTACTATGAGTTGACTCAAGAGGTATCAGCAAGGCGTCGCACGTGATCAAAATCAGTGAGGACATCTTTGCTGGGTTCGACACCACACTCCGGCGCGGAGCCATCTCGCCCACGTTCAGACCCCGGGATGGCTCCACGCTCTCTGTTTGAAGGCAAAGTAGCAAGCGGCAACGGAGAGCAGCTGCTGTCACGGGACGTGTACCGGCTGGGCCACGGGCTGGACATATTCCGCCTGCTCTCCTTCTACACCACCTCCATCGGCTTCTTCTTCAGCACCGCCCTCTAATCTACTCTACTTCCTTTCAGCACCTCACACACACGCCATCTTTCCTCCACCCTCCTTCCCCACCCGCAACCCCCCGGCTTCAGGTGGGCAAGGGGCGTGATGTGGGGCTGAATCAAATCTCCCTTTTTGAAGCCAAAGTAGCAAGCGGCAACGGAGAGCAGCTGCTGTCACGGGACGTGTACCGGCTGGGCCACGGGCTGGACATATTCCGCCTGCTCTCCTTCTACACCACCTCCATTGGCTTCTTCTTCAGCACCGCACTCACCGCCATGGCCGTCTACGCCTTCCTCTGGGGGAGGTGCTATCTGGTGCTGTCCGGCGTGGAGGCGACCATTGCGACGTCAGACAACCAGGCGCTATCCACTGCCATCAACCAGCAATTCCTCGTGCAGGTATGCTGTGGGTGGTAGTAGATATGTGAGAAACTTTTGAGAATTATCAAATGTACGCTGTATGTCAGTATGCCACTTTTGAGAATTCTAAAAAAAGACCTACAAAAAGGCTCTTCCTACCATTTCAAGCTGAATTGGCCTCTTTATGTCTTCACTAATATGCTCACTAATCACATTTGCCAAATGACTGGATGCCCACAGCACAGCACATGCACTCCTCCTTTCGTTTGCCTCTCCACTTCCTCAAACCGTCCTCCTCGGACCTTCCTCCTCCTTACGTCTCTGCCAATGCTGATGAATGCAAATTACATTCCTCCTTTGTTCTCCTGCCTGCCCTCCTCAGATTGGGCTGTTCACGTCGCTGCCGATGCTGATGGAGCTGATACTGGAGAAGGGCACGGGGGCTGCGATCTGGGAGTTCCTGCTCATGCACGTGCAGCTCTGCTTCGCCTTCTTCACCTTCTCCCTCGGCACGCGCGCTCACTACTTCCTGCGCACGCTCATGCATGGCGGGGCCAAGGTGGGACGGGCGTGTGTCTGCATGGAGGAATTCTCAGAACGTTCATGCACGATGCATTCAGGGGTTTATTAAACACGCACACTCCTCTTCCCCCATACTTCCCTTCTCCCTCTCTTTCCTTCATCCTTTACCCCTCACGTCTCCGGCTCCCCGCTCCCCCATTCCCCCCCATCCTCTGCCCATCGTCAGTATCGAGCAACAGGGCGTGGCTTTGTGGTGAAGCACGAGCCATTCCGCGGAGAACTACCGGCTGTACACCTACCACTTTCCCATCCTCCCCACACTCACCTCCCACCTCCCACCTCCTCTCTCCCCCCCCTCTCTCCCCCTTCGCATCACTGCCTTCCCCAGTATCGAGCAACAGGGCGTGGGTTTGTGGTGAGGCACGAGCCATTCGCGGAGAATTACCGGCTGTACTCGCGCAGCCACTTCAACAAAGCAGTGGAGCTCCTCCTCTGCCTCGTCATCTACATGCTCTACTCCTCCCTCCGCGCCTCCACCGCCTACTGGCTCCTCTCCCTCTCCGCCTGGATCCTCGTTCTCTCCTGGCTGGTCGCCCCCTTCGCCTTCAACCCCCTGGGGTTCGACTGGCTCAAGTGTTGTGATGACTGGGAGGAGTGGACGGCGTGGCTGTGGGCGAAAGGAGGGAAGGGGGTGACGGAGAAGCAGGCGTGGGTGGTGTGGTGGGATGAGGAGAGGGCGCATCTGAAGACGACGGGGTGGGGCGGGTTGCTAGTGGAGACGCTGCTGGCGCTCAGGTGGTTCTTCTTCCAGTATGCGCTCGTGTACCGGGTAAGTAGAGTGGACATGTATAGGAGATTGTCAGAGCCAAGTGAAGAACCACGTTTGATTCATGAAGCACACACTTAGCCACATATTTTTTCACCTCCCTCCGCTCCCCCTCCCTACCTCCTCGTGGCTCTTCATCTTTGCCATGGGGCTCGCCTGAACCTCCAAGCTGACCCCAAGAATCATCTCTGTGCTCTTCTTTCCTCCACGTCTCCTATCCCGGTCTACCCAGTTGGATGTGGCGAGTGCGAGTACGAGCATCCTGGTCTACGTGTAATCGTGGCTCTTCATCTTCGCCATGGGCCTCTTCTGGATCTCCCTCACACTCTGCGACCTCTACCTCTCCCACATGAAGCACCCACTCACCCGCATGTTTTCCCCACCTCCCTCCCCACTTCCCTCCCTCCCTCCCTCCCCACTCTCCCCACCTCCCTCCCTCCCCCAATCTCCAGTTGGACGTGGCGAGTGCGAGCACGAGCATCGTGGTCTACGTGTACTCGTGGCTCTTCATCTTCGCCATGGGCCTCTTCTGGATCTCCCTCACTCTCTGCGACCTCTACCTCTCTCTCCGCGCGCACCGCCTCGACCGCGCCATCAAAACCACCATCTGCCTCGTTTTCCTCGCAGCCTTCATTACCGCTCTCTCATTCACCAACCTCTCCTTTTCAGACGTTTTCCTGCTTCCTCTAGTCTTCCTCCCCACCGGATGGGGGTTCCTGCAACTGACTCTTGTGGTGGCTGCGGCATTCCCGGTGGTCGAGACTTGGTGGACATGGGGGCTTGTGAGGAGCTTTGCAAGGACTTATGAGTTTATTATCGGGGTAATTGTGTTTTTGCCGATGGCCGTGCTATCTTGGCTTCCGGGAGTTCAGGACATGCAGACGAAGGTGCTGTTCAACCAAGCTTTCAGTCGTGGGTTACAGATCACGCGGCTTGTTACTGGGGCGCATCCAAATGCAGGGTATTAGTTTTTAGATGTATGGGTGGTGTGGGCATATCATCTAGCGTTTTTTTGTGATTTCAGAAGCACTGGCAGGTGCTGCATGTGTATGTGTATGGGTGGATTGAGCATGAAAATTCGAGAATTGAAACTTTCAGATGTAAGGTACATAACGTGTATTGTGTTTTCATTATAGGTGCCTATCATTTGAAGACAGCACACCATTCGCTGCCGACTACTAGCGCGGTCACCTCCTCATCGTCCTGACTCAGACGGAATCCGCGGTGTGCCAGGTCACCGCATCTACGCAAGCCCTGATCACCCAAACCAAGTCAAATCGATTCAGCTTGTGGCTGAGAAACCTCCCTAGCTGGTATGGGTATGGGACCACTGTGGCTCGGCTCGGATGCGAAATGTGAGGTGTCTTGTCACGCTGGACTGGATCAATTCGACATTCCAACAAGCAGCAGGTTCCGAAAGTACCAAATTTACCATGCCGAACCGTACCGTGTTTGTCTAAAAACTACAGCACCCATGTGGATAAGAAGCATGACCGTCCTGAATACTCGAAGGAGATTTTGATGCCCATATCTCTGTTTCCTGTCGGACACTTCACACCAGATGCTGTTTCATTTCTTAGGGATCAGAATATTCATACAGCACGAGTAGCTCACAGAGAAACTGGAGAATAGACATCAGTCTCAAGGGTTCTTGCGCTGCATTCAAGCCGCGGTATTGAGACTGCTGCTATTACGAGTCAAACTGGCGGCAGAGTGAAGACGCCGCGGCTGTTACTCCTTAGCGAATCTGCATTCCCTAGGTTGATCAGCTTAAGATCAGTCAGTAAATCCACACAGCATCCCAAGGTTTTCTTGGAAGCGCAGCGAAGCAGTCTGTGGCATCAGTCAGTAAATCCACAGGCATTCCGAGGTGTTCTTGGTAGCACAGCGAGGCAGCCATGGGGTTGGTGGGGGAGATCCTGGGCCATCCAGACGAGTTCATGCCGCTTTTACGAATTCGGCACATGGCGAAGATGGTGGCGAAGCTTCCCGACGACGAGGATTTCGCCTTCTGCTACGGCATGCTCAACCGCGTTAGTAGGAGCTTCGCATTCGTCATTCAACAACTGCACCCGCTGCTGCGCGACCCGGTACGAAGTAAACAAATACGAACAAATGTGACCTAAATGAGTATTCCTCCCCATAACAACGGCAAGGATGGCGAAATTTCGAGTTCAAGCTCCAGATTCGAGCGCGCAATGAAGGAAACCCTATCGCTGTCCAATGCTCTGAACCAGAACCGTTAGTTGAATCAAGAGGTACGAAATGTGCGGTCATCCATTCCTTCCGTCTGAGGTCTCGACTGAACGTCGCGTTGATGAGACTAGCGTGTGTTCCGCGTGTCCCCTGCAGGTCTGCATCTTCTACCTCGTCCTACGCGCGCTCGACACAGTCGGTACGCTCCACCCAGCTGTGTCCGTGTCTTTCCCTTCCGTGTTTCCTTTCTCCATATATGTATCTGCTCGTTACCTGAGCATCGTGCCTGCTCGGTTCAACAGTTTCCACATTCCTCTTCTCCATTCCTCGTCCCCATTCATCCGTTTGACTTCCTTCCCCATTCGTGCTACCCTCATCTACCAGCATTCATTCACTTCCTTTTACCCCACATCCCCATTCTCACTTCAAAACTCTCCCTTCCGCACCTACTCTCACTTCGACACCCACTCTCCCTTCCACTCCCACTCTCCCTTCGACACCCACTCTCCCTTCCACTCCCACTCTCCCTTCTACACCACTCATCTCCTTCCCCGCCCACCAGAGGACGATATGGCAGTACCCATAGACGAGAAGGTCCCCATCCTCATCGCCTTCCACCAACACATCTGCGACCCCGACTGGAAATTCGTCTGTCAGTGCCCCGTCCCTTCCCTCAGCTCCATTTTCCCCCACGCCCAACCCCGTCCCCTCTCCCTCCCCTCCCACCCCTCTGCGGTTCACCAACCAAACGCCATTGCAATGTATTGCTCCTCGCGTGTCTTCGTACCTCTACTCCCCCTCTACTCCCATTTCTTCCTTGCTCAGCTGCATGAGGTCCCTGTAGTCCTTGGTGCGGCCTGAGCAATGTATTGCTCACCTGCGACCTGACCTCCCCCCCATCTCCCCACCAGGCGGTACCAAGGACTACAAGGACCTCATGCAGCGGCTCCACCACACGCTTCCCCCAACCGACCTGCCATTCCCCCTTCTCCCCTTTCCCCCACCCCCCCCCTTCCCCATCTCCCCACCAGGCGGTACCAAGGACTACAAGGACCTCATGCAGCGGCTCTACCACGTGCGCCACGCCCTTGAGAAACTCGAGCCCAGGTGAGACCAGACGAGGTGCGACACAGAGCCCAGGTGAGACCAGACGAGGTGCGACACAGAGCACAGGTGAGACCAGACGAGGTGCGACACAGAGCCCAGGTGAGACCAGACGAGGGGCAGAACCTGAGAAACTCAATGCACGTGCGCCAGCACAGGTACGGCGAGGTGCAGAACCTGGGTAAGACGAGACGAGCTGAGGCCAGGCCGTTCCACCAGACTAGAAGCTAGTGCGTGACCGAGGAGGTATCACAGACGAGAGCCCAGGCACATTGACTTGTGGTACAGCCAGGCCCATTCAGGTTAGAAGCTGGTGTACGCACACTAGATTCTCGGTTCTGGTGTGGTCCTGAAGCGATCCTGGAGCTGGTGTGACTCTCGGTTGTGGTGGGGTTTGCGATATAGTGCCATCACATCCCATTCCATCTCGCGCTTCCCCACTTCCTATTCTTTCCTCCCCCATCCCCTTCCTCAAACCCTAAACCCTGAACCATGGGCCCACAAATGCACCCACACGTGGCAGGTACAAGGCTGTGATTCTGGACATCACAAAGCGCATGGGCGCAGGCATGGCGTCCTTCATCACCACCGAGGTCAGCCCCTCTCAGCCCCTTTCAACCACTCTCAGCCCCTCTCAGCCACCCCCAGACCCTCCCAGCCACTCTCAGCCACTCTTAGCCACTCTTAGCCACTCTTAGCCACTCTTAGCCGCTCTCCGCCGCTCTCCGCCCCTCTCTGCCACTGTCCGCTGCAATCCAAACGCTTAGTGGCCTTTGTCTGTTCCTCCCTAGTGGGCATCGCTTCCCTCTCTGCCTCCCTGCCTTAGCCCATTCGTTTGCTCGTTCCTTGTAAAGCCCCCCGCAGGTGTACACAGTGGCACAGTACGACGAGTGCTGCCACACGGACTCACATCGCCCTCCACCTCTCTGCTGATTTTTGAATCACCCTGCCCTAATCATGTACCCTAAACGTTTACCCCCAGGTGGACACAGTGGCGCAGTACGATGAGTACTGTCACTACGTGGCAGGGCTGGTGGGCATCGGGCTGTCTTTTGAGGTGCATCACCGCCAGTAAAGACCTCTCTACCTCTATCCCGCATGATATCCCGCATGTTATCCCCGCAGGTGGACAAAGTGGCGCAGTACGATGAGTACTGTCACTACGTGGCAGGGCTGGTGGGCATCGGGCTGTCAGACCTCTTCCACGCCGCCAACCTGGAAGAGGCGTTTGAGGAGTCGCTCTCCAACTCCATGGGGCTCTTCCTGCAGGTGCGTCCGTCCGTCCATCTGTTTGTTGCGCACCTGATGTTCTGCTGTGGCGCGGAGATGCCTCGATAGTCTTCCACGCCGCCAACCTGGAAGAGGCGTTTGAGGAGTCGCTCTCCAACTCCATGGGGCTCTTCCTGCAGGTGCGTCCGTCCGTCCATCTGTTTGTTGCGCACCTGATGTTCTGCTGTGGCGCGGAGATGCCTCGATAGTCTTCCACGCCGCCAACCTGGAAGAGGCGTTTGAGGAGTCGCTCTCCAACTCCATGGGGCTCTTTCTGCAGGTGCGTCCGTCCGTCCATCTGTTTGTTGCGCACCTGATGTTCTGCTGTGGCGCGGAGATGCCTCGATAGTCTTCCACGCCGCCAACCTGGAAGAGGCGTTTGAGGAGTCGCTCTCCAACTCCATGGGGCTCTTTCTGCAGGTGCGTCCGTCCGTCCATCTGTTTGTTGCGCACCTGATGTTCTGCTGTGGCGCGGAGATGCCTCGATAGTCTTCCACGCCGCCAACCTGGAAGAGGCGTTTGAGGAGTCGCTCTCCAACTCCATGGGGCTCTTCCTGCAGGTGGGTCCGTCCGTCCATGCGTTCATTTCTAGTCGACTCAAAAGTCGATCTTTGAGTTTAGTAAAAAATCAACTCAACCATGTTCCCCATGTCCCCATCTCCCCCATGTTCCCCGTGTCCCCATGGCCCCATGCCCCCATGACCCCACATCACAGAAGACCAACATCATCCGCGACTATCTAGAGGGCATCAATGAGGAGCCCGCCTCTTGCATCTCCCCCATGTCCCCTATGCCTCTCATGTGCCCTCATGTCCCCATGCCCCCCATGTCCCCACGTCACAGAAGACCAACATCATCCGCGACTATCTAGAGGATATCAATGAGGAGCCCGCCCCGCGCATGTTCTGGCCCAAAGCCATCTGGGGCAAGTACGCCTCGCGCCTTGAGGTGAGCCTCTCTGGGAGGGGAGGGGAGTGGGGGGCGGAGGCGATGGGAGGGAGGGAGTGTATGAGTCGACTCAACAATCTGGGGCCACAACATGAATCTGGGGAGGGGGCGTATGAATCGACTCAGCAATCATGTTCTGTTCTGGCCCGGAGCCATCTTTGGCATGTGTTCTGACAGCCTCTCTGTCACCCCTCTGAACCGCACACATCCACCAGGACTTCAAGGACGTGGAGAACAATGGCGCAGCAGCAGTGAAGTGTGTGAACGAGCTGGTGACCAACGCACTGGGCCACGTGTCTGACTGCCTCACCTACATGCACCGCACTGCCTCTCTCTCCCCCTTCCCCACCCCCACCCCCACCCCCACCCCCACCCCCACCCCCACCAGGATTTCAAGGACGTGGAGAACAATGGCGCAGCAGCAGTGAAGTGTGTGAACGAGCTGGTGACCAACGCACTGGGCCACATGTCTGACTGCCTCACCTACATGCACCGCACTGCCTCTCTCTCCCCCTTCCCCACCCCCACCCCCACCAGGATTTCAAGGACGTGGAGAACAATGGCGCAGCAGCAGTGAAGTGTGTGAACGAGCTGGTGACCAACGCACTGGGCCACGTGTCTGACTGCCTCACCTACATGCACCGCACTGCCTCTCTCTCCCCCTTCCCCACCCCCACCCCCACCCCCACCCCCACCCCCACCAGGATTTCAAGGATGTGGAGAACAATGGCGCCGCAGCAGTGAAGTGTGTGAACGAGCTGGTGACCAACGCACTGGGCCATGTGTCTGACTGCCTCACCTACATGCAACGCCTCAGAGACCCCCAAGTCTTCCGATTCTGCGCCATTCCCCAGGTCCGTGAGTGACAGCTCAGCATTCCCCTGGTTTGTAACTGACAGGTCAGCATGCCCATGGCTGACAAGCCGTCCTCCCATTTGTCGTCATGCTCCCATGCGGTCATGCTCCCATGCGGTCATGCTCCCATGCGGTCATGCTCCCATGCGGTCATGCTCCCATGCGGTCATGCTCCCATGCGGTCATGCTCCCATGCGGTCATGCTCCCATGCGGTCATGCTCCCATGTCGTCATGCTCCCATGTTGTCATGCTCCCATGTTGGCATGCTCCCATGTTGTCATGCTCCCATGTCGTCATGCTCCCATGTCGTCATGCTCCCATGTTGTCATGCTCCCATGTTGTCATGCTCCCATGTTGTCATGCCTCCACATTCTTCCATGCAACCATATCTCCCTTGCCCGTTCATACTTTCCCTGCAACCACCGTGCCATGTTGCAATGTCCGCTCCGCACGATCCCATCCCAAACACCTATGCATCCTCTCTCTGCCCTGTCCCCCATGCCGATCATGCCGATTGAACTCACGCGAGAGTGAGACGCCCCAAAGGTTCCCAGCTTCAAAGCTGTCTTGCTGCTACCATGCATCCACTGCCCACCCGCCCCCCATGCAGATCATGGCAATGGGCACGCTCTCACTGTGCTACAACAACATTGGCGTCTTCGAAGGCGTGGTCAAGATGAGACGAGGTGCTGCCACTCTAGGACCTTTTGGGGGCTCTCAAATCTCACTTTAGGTTCTTTTGGGAACTCTCAAATGTCACTGTAGGACCCCTCACCGCTCGATGCTCGTGGCTGAAGCGTGTGTATGGTCGTACGGTTAGACGGACCCGTGGGTTCTACTCGCTCCTATCTGTTTTTCCTTTCTTTCTTGTTTCTTCTTCCCCGCACTCCTTTCACTTTTACGTTAGGGGCTGTGTGTAATAGCCTTGGCGCTCGCTCACCCATCTCGACCTGTCTTCACCTCTTCCTCATATTGTGCCTTTGCCTTGCACACGCCACACTCTTCGTCGCTCAACACCCTTCCTCGCCCAACACCCCATTCCGGGAGGCAGGGCTGGCGGCAAAGGTGATGGAGCAGACGTGGAGCATGGCAGATGTGCGCTCCTCCTTCACTGACTTTGGCTTCGAGATCCTGAAAAAGGTACGCCCTGCCTACCCCCGCCGTGCCTTTCCATTCATTCATTCTTTTCATGCGCCTGCAGCAGTCTCTGCGCAGACGTGGGTTTCTCCTTCACTGAATCTAGCCTTGAGATCTTGAAGACAGTACACCCTGCCTTGTGAGAGGGGGGTGTGACCCTACCCTGCGTTATGGGAGATCTTCATTCCCCTCTTCCCCTTCCCTGTATTGCTCCATCCTTTCTCCTTCACACACCAATTCACGCCCCTGCCCTCCTCCACGCCCTAATACCCCCGCATCTCATGAAATACAGGTGGACGATTCAGATCCAAACTCGCAAGCAACGCGAGAGTGTATTGGCAAGATCATCGCCTCTTGCAGAACAGAGGGGAGGCTTGTAAGGGGACGCCTGTCAGTCTGCGACAACGCCAAGTGGCGGTACCTGTTTTATTTATTCCTTATTGTAAGGGACCTTTTCCCCAACCCCTCCATCCCTCGTGTCTGATAACTCATTCTCAGTCCCTTCTTACTCATTCCTCTGTTCTTTCACACGTGCTCCAACCATCGGCAACCATCAGCATCCATCTGAATCCATCTAAAGCCTACCTGCATCCATCTGCATTCTGTTGAGGCACCGCCACAGCACTGTTGCTCTTGTGTTTCTGAGGGCGTATTCCTATCCTCTTATCAAGAAAACCTCTTATCAAGATCACACTGAAAAATCCCCTAAACCCAAAACCTCTCGCTACTTTTACCAGGCAAAAGGTACAATCTTGATAGGAGGTTTCTTGATAGGAGGCTGTAGGAATACGCCCTGACTATTGGATCTTATCCTAACTAGTCTGCTCCTTTATCTGCAGGTTACACTGATCTTCTATGTGGTTTCATACTTGAGTAGCGCCTTATCATCATAGGGGGGCTGCTTTGGACTGGTTCCTTATCAAAATCGTATACGTGTTTACTGTGTAATCAGTCTAAAATTTATCCTGAGCATTGTGAGTGCACCACTGTGCATAAACATGAGTCGTATGGCTGCTGTTATGGCATGATGAAGGGGTGAATCCATGGCACTGCTGCTGCCTCTGAGTGCACGTGCTGTCACCAAGGAGGACGGCAGGGCAACACACGAGAATACAACGCACTGTATGTTTTTTTTGTAATCTCATACATATGGCTACAAAAGGCCAACAAGAAGGATTCCAGTTGCCATAGCCATTAGAAAAAGGTGGCGTGGATGATGACCATCAGAAGAGGTAATTTTGTGGCCCAATCAAGAGCACCAAGAATGCTAAAGCAATGGATGGATACACTGGACATATAATCCAATTAATAGCAATGAGCGTTTACTAGTTATACCGTACGAACGTGTAGAGTAGATTTTCTGTTGAATTTTGCTGTACGTGAATGGTCACCGACTTTCAGCCGCTGACTCGGACACCGCGAGAAGATACGAAGTACAGAGGGCAAGCCACGTGTTTCGCGAACCTTCCACCGATACAGGAAGGCGCGAAACCCCGTTGCCTCCCCTCGACTTCGCCCACCTCTTCCCCGGCTGCCCAAATTCACCCCTCCTCCAAGCCCTGAAATTTCCGCCTGGGGAATACCGCTGCCATCTCGAAGGGTCAATCAAAACGGTCGACGACGATTTGTCGTCCTCCCGAGCATCAGCTTCAGCGTCCGTCCGATCTGGACCATCTCCACCAGCAACGACGGTCATTGCACTACACCCCGTCGCGCCTCCCCGCAACCTTTTTTCCCCTTTCCCGGGGCCCCTCCGCAACGAATCATCTTCCCCTGGCCCTTCCCTGTTCCTGCCTGATTGCCAGTGCAGATTCCAGGAGCCTAAATTGGCCAGAATCAACATTTCTTGAATTGAATCTAGCCCGCCCTTCTGCTGGACTTGCTCCTGGTTCCGTGTTTCTGTCAAAGCCTAGTCTTACAGAATCTGTAGCCATGGGAAAGTCCTACCCTACCGTCAGCGAGGAGTACCAGACGGCCGTTACCAAGGCTAAGAGGGAGTTGAGGGCCCTCATTGCGCACAAGAACTGTGCTCCCATTATCGTTCGCCTTGCGTAAGTACTGGCCTGCGCTACACCGATACGGTTCTTTGGCCTGACCGTTTTGCAGACTCAATGACGTAGGTTGACATGAAAGCTGATGGTGGTCTCGGTTCATGAGTCTGAATGCAGATGGCACGGTGCTGGCACTTTTGATGTCAAGGATAAGTCCGGAGGTCCCTTCGGAACGATCCGCAAGCCGGAGGAGCTGGCGCACGGAGCGAACGCCGGTCTTAAGTGGGCTGTTGACCTCCTTGAGCCCATCAAGGCCAAGTACAACATCCTCTCTTACGGAGATCTCTACCAGGTTCGTGCTGCTGTCTCGTTCCGATCTTGAGCTCGTTGACCCCACCCGTTGGCGTCTTGATGATACATTATCGTGTGCTTGCGTCTAAACCATGTGACTTTGTGAACAGCTTGCTGGAGTCGTCGCTGTGGAGGTCACTGGAGGCCCAGAGATCGAGTTCCATCCCGGACGCAAGGTAAGTGACACGTTGCACAAACCCAACCCTGAATTTCTTAGTTTCCACGTTTAAGGTCTGCCAAGTATTGCTCGTATAGTATCTTGAGAGTTCTTCATTCATGTGAATGCTCCCAGGACGAGGACAAGGTCCCGCCTGAAGGCCGTCTGCCAGATGCCACGGGGAACTCCAACCACCTGAGGGACATTTTCTACAAGATGGGCCTCAACGACAAAGAGATTGTCGTTCTTTCCGGCGCTCACACTCTGGTGAGTAGGGTCTGATAGTTGGGAGTCATTGTCGACGCCAGATCCGTTTTGCATCGCAACGAGGCCACTGGGGAAAACGCCAGAATAACAATGTGATGAGTTTTATCACTGGCAGGGGAGATGCCACAAGGAGAGGTCTGGATTTGAGGGCGCGTGGACCACACAACCCCTGAAGTTCGACAACGAGTACTTTGTGTAAGTGGACAAGCAGTCATTGAAACGCTAAATCCCCCCAGTAGGAGTCACAGTCAAGGAAAGAATCTCATCATTATCGTGTTTTCTACTGCAGCAACCTTCTGAGCGACAATGACAAGGGTCTGCTGGTCCTTCCCAGTGACAAGGCCCTCGTGGAGGACGCTGAGTTCAAGAAGTTTGTCGAACTCTACGCCAAGGTGCGTTGTGATTTTGTAACAGACAATATTTGGCTTGGCTTACAGTGCGTACATGTTAAAGCTCACTTTTGATCTGTGGCTTGGGATGTTACAGGATGAGGATGCCTTCTTCGCTGACTATGCTGCTGCCCACCAAAGGCTATCTGAGCTCGGGTAAGCAGACTGAAGAGGACTAACATATCCAACATAGGGCAGCAAGCTTGGCATGGTTTCTTTGATGTTGTATCATCTCGTCCTCATCCCTGTTTGTTGATTGTTTCCTTGCAGGTTCGCTGATGCTTGAAGTTAAAAGTTCAAACACCTACGTATATTATTGTGGATGTCTAGCCCCTTAGGCTGTTGTAATGGCGTACCTAACCATCCGCAATGAATCATCAAACCATGTGTGAAAAACGCCATCAGTGCAAAAACATCCGAGGCATGCAAAGCAGACACTGTTACGAGTTGCAGTGCAGATCACAAACCTGGTTTGTGCTCGCAAAAGGAAAGGAAGGAAACTTGAACAGAAATCCAATTTCGCTTAAACTGATACTTGGCTGCGAAACGAAAGTGATAGTCTCTCAGGGTACATTCCTATGGCGGGTCTGACATCAGGTCATCCGCCCTTAGTCTCTGATTTGTCTCTTCACAATGTTGATTTGCCCCTATTTCGAACCACTCCGAGTCTTCCGAGCTTCTAAGGACGGATGACCTGATGTCAGACACGAGCTAGGAATGTACCTCAGTCTCTACCCAACCTACTCCTCCTCCCACTTTAGGGAGGCCACTAATTTTAGGGCAGGTATGTGTGTACGGAAACCCATCATCAGCCTGCTAGGTTCCTCATTCAAAGTACCTAATACAAGACAGTTACAAGCTCACTGCATGCTTTCATTTAATTTCCATTTCAATTCACTGCAATATCGAGGGACCCTGTTTCGAAGCTTGAGTTCACAACTTGGACAACGTTGAATCCGCTGGACCAAGTTCGCTGGATACCGAAGGCACCAGTCCCAATTCGAAGCATTCGCGAAAGCAAAGATCTTACGAACTGTCCCGAGCTGACGTGGTGCTCTCCAATTCGGGTACAAAATACTCAAAATAGCCTCGCCACAAAAACTTCGCATTTTCCCAAACCCGACTCGCGTAGCATTCGCGCCTCGATTTCACACTCAAACATCGGTTCTACCACTGAAATCCGGAGTATTATTCACTCCGCATCTCGAACATAAATACCTCTCAACGAACTTCCAGCAAATCGTCCAGCCACTTCATTATCGTCTCTGCTTACCATCTGAAGCCACCCCTCCTTCGCCAGCTTGTGCTCAGCCCTCCGCCAGCATCATGGCTGCTCTCTCCACCTCCACCGCGGCTTCCGCCGCTTCCGCATTCGTCGGCTCCAGCGCGGACCTCGCGGCGAAGGTCCGCAACGTGGAGTGTCGCGTGACGATGCGCAAGGCCGCCGGCAAGGCCGACAACCTGAGCCAGTGGTACGGCCCGGACCGCAACCTGTTCCTCGGCCCGTTCAGCGCGCCGCCCGCGTACCTGAAGGGCGAGTTCCCGGGCGACTACGGGTGGGACACGGCGGGTCTCTCCTCGGACCCCGAGACGTTCGCCAAGAACCGCGAGCTGGAGGTGATTCACTCGCGCTGGGCCATGCTCGGCGCGCTTGGCATCGTCTTTCCCGAGCTGCTGGCGCGCAACGGCGTGCCGCTGCAGGAGGCAGTGTGGTTCAAGGCGGGCGCGCAGATCTTCTCCGAGGGAGGGCTTGACTACCTGGGAAACCCCGGACTCATCCACGCGCAGAGCATCCTCGCCACGCTCGCCGTGCAGGTGCGTTCGTCGCGCAAATGCGCTGCGAAAGGCGTTTATATCGTAAGCCGTTTTTCTCTCACATTGACTGCTTTCAAGCCATGAGGTTCGTCCGTTGCTGGAAAAGAAGATCGCCACGAATTTTTCGCCATTTATTCTTAGCTTGTTCGACCCGACCTCACGCTTCTTATGTGGTAACCCGACGCTCTGTTCCCCAGGTGGTGCTGCTGGGAGCGGTGGAGAGCTACCGCGTGGGCGGTTTGGAGGGGTTCCAGGAGGTGGAGGATCCGATCTACCCGGGCGGCGCGTTCGACCCGCTGGGGCTGGCGGACGATCCGGACGCGGCGGCGGAGCTGAAGGTGAAGGAGCTCAAGAACGGCCGCCTGGCGCAGGTCTCCGCGCTGGGCTTCTTCGTGCAAGCGATCGTGACGGGCAAGGGGCCCCTCGAGAACCTCGCGGACCACCTGGCTGACCCCACTGCCAACAACGCGTGGGCGTACGCGCAGAACTTCGTCCCTGGGGCTTAGAGCGGTGGAAAGGGGTTTGATGAGGTTGGACGAGGTTTTGAGGGAGTTTTAGTTGCCACGGTGTCTGAGATATGGTGAATTTGCACATATCTGTACAGCCAAGATTTGTACGTAATGCCATGTACCTATGCTATGAATCTGAGCAAGTTTATCCGAATCATTTGCTAGCCTTGCCCTCCGTCAGCTGAGTGAGACGCCTTGCCATGCGACCAGACAAAGCATTCGGACTCACAAGAAAGATGAGAGATCAGAGATCAGAGATACCCTCACAAGGCCCGTGATCAGAGATCTGAGGTGTAGATACCCTCGCTCAGTCACTGAAAAACTCAGTCCAAGTATTTTATAATAGGGATGGATGCAAGTCTCTAGTCTCTTCATGGTTCTGTTCTGTGCGTACAATAATGGTTAATGTTCTTCGACGCGGATATTCTCTGAAATCTCACGGCTAAGACAGTCCACTCCATTCCTGCACAGTACCACCGGGAGAACAGATAGAACTCTTGCCACCACAAACACTAGCATATATTTGTTACAGTCCTTTCTAGCTTTGCAAAGCTACAGGCTTTGAACAAAAACCGTTTTTTAACATTCCAGTACTTCTGCCTGCAAGTCAAGCAGTAGCAATTGCTGAAGCTCCTGCAGCCGGAGCGTCGCCAAGGTCTTGTGTGATGACTCCCAGAAGAACCAGAGACGCCCTGAACATGAACCAGGGTGCACAATCAATACACACATTTGCCATCAATGAAGCTTCTTGTAGCAAGCGTGCACAGAGCTCTCCTATTAAATGAATGGGTGCGCACACATGTTAGAAAGGTGGTACCGGTAGGTGGCTGGGAAGGAGGAGAGGAAGGAGAGGAGGGAGGTGGGGCAAGAGGAGGCGGGGTATGTGAAAGAATGGTTCACGGGTTAGGAAGATTCAAGGGATGAGAGAAGCGAAGAGGACAAGAGGCGTGGATCAGAGCACTTATGGCATATGCCGCGAGGTGAAAACAAGTCTGTTGTGTGATGACTTAAATTAGGGTCGGTACCGTGGAACAGAGGGCTGCACAGATGGTTGCGCAGCATGTGCTGCAAGGTGAAAGCAAGTCATGTGATGACTCAAAACAGGGTGGATGTGCATACCGGGGAACAGAGGGCTGCACAGATGGTTGTGCATGTGCTGCAAGGTGATGACATTTTTAATGTGAGACGTCTCAAAACAGGGTGGGTGTGCATACCGGGGAACAGACGGCTGCACAGATGGCTGTGCAGCATGTGCTGCGAGGTCGGGGCGGAGCGATGGCTCTCGATTCAACGCATCCTCCAACTGTGCTGCTGGCAGCTGTGGGCGCGGGGAGGAAGTGAGGGGGGGAGGATGTGAGGAGATTGGGAGAGGGGAAGAAGGATGAGTGATGCGGACGGGACACCTATGCAAAGGCAGAGGGGAGTGCAGGTGAGCGTGAGAGTGAGCGTGAGGGTGAGGGTGGTGAGGGTGGTAAGGAGGAAGTGGCAGGCTGTGAGAGGGCTCACTTGTAGGAGAACAGGGAAGGAGAGTGGCTTTGTAACGAGGCAGCACTTAATGAAGCCCAGCCACAGTTGAGGATGGGCTCTCCACACCTGCAGGGTGGAAGGGGTGGAATGGGAGAAAAAAGGAGAGCCCGAGTAGAGATGGACTATCAGGATGATGATGTGGAATCAGATAGCAATGGGTCGCATCAAATGGCATGGGTTGCCATGAGGTGAGTGTTAGAATTATATATTGTAGCATGCTAAGCACATGTGACTGTACACCAATTGTGGTGTACAGTTGGGTTGGGACTACACCCAACATTGGGTGTAGTCTTGCACTTTGGGGTGCCAATCCACCCAATTGTGGTGGAGCCCCCAAATTGCAACCCTCTTGACTTTTGGGTACCTCACTTCCTAATTGAGGCCACCACAAGCCAAGTGGGCCTAGGGTTGCCACACTTCTTAGAAGTGTGGGCAACCCAACCCACCCCACCTATGGTTGCCTCACTTCCCAAAGTGAGGCCAACCCAACCATAGGTTGGGTTCCTCCTTCCCTTCCAAGCTTCTCTTCCCAAACTATGTATGCTAGGTTTGCTCTCTAATCAAATCACTTGTTCAATTCACATCTTTCACAGTGAGGTGCTATGGGATAGCATGGTCAGCAGAATGCCCACATCAACATCTGAACACCAGCACATGCACACACATGATACCATACCACACCATACCGTACCGTGCCGTGCCGTACCATACCGTACCGTACCGTACAGTACCGTACCATACCATACCATACCGTACCGTACCATACCATACCATACCATACCATACCATACCATACCATACCATACCATACCATACCATACCATACCATACCATACCATACCATACCATACCATACCATACCATACCATACCATACCATACCATACCATACCATACCATACCATACCATACCACACCATACCACACCACACCACACCATACTTTAACATACTATACCAGCACAATCACCTGTTTAACCACCACAGCAGAGGGAATGTGCGCCCTGATTTTTTTTTCCAGATGCATGTAAAGACGTGCTTTGACTCTGATCCGCTCACCTGTTTGGTTATGAGGCGCGAAAGAATGTCCGCCACAAACGACGCCTGGAGCGCACACACACAGCGAGACGTCATGAGACAACGAAACACGAGAGAGGAAACCACCAGTGAGATTTACCATTACCCAACGGTCAAAACACGAGTGTAAATTTTCAGGCGGCTCAGACACAAAAAAGGAAATCACAAGCGCGATTCACTAGTACCCCGACAAATGGTATGGCATGAAAGTGCAAAGAAACAAACTTGTGAGTAACGCAGGGCGGGTGGTGTGCTATGGGAGTGAGGACGGGAGTGTGGAGGGAAGTGAGGAGGGAAGAGAGCAGGGGAGTGAGAGAAGTGAGGAAGGGAGTGAGGAAGGGAGTGAGGACGGAATTGAGGAAGGGAGTGAGGAAGGGAGTGAGGATTGAAGTGAGGAAGGGAGTGAGGAGGGAAGTGAGGAAAGGAGTGAGGAAGGGAGTGAGGAGGGAAGTGAGGAAGGGAGTGAGGAAGGGAGTGAGGAGGGAAGCGAGGATCTGACAATGTCAGGGAAGGCAGCAACAGCCTCCATGGCGGTGCGGAAGAGGAGCATGGGGAGGGGCGTCTGTCCGACCTGCACAGTAGAAGAAAGCAGGAAAAAAGAAGGGAAAAGAAATGGACACGCAAAGATTTGTACCAGGAATTCTTTTGTTGAAGTGGACAAGCTTCGTAGAGAGCAGGAGAATGGTGGCCTGGTTTTCTAAACGAGGGGACAATGTTATGCATACGCATAGCCGTGAATAATGCTGTGTTGTGAAAAACCAGCAACAGCACTGGCTCAACAGAGCACAGGTTCATGGAACAGTGGTCCTGGACTTTGATGCATCAACAGCAGCACCGTTTGATGTATGAACACAAGCAGCATACCAGCTGGTTGAGGACTTTGGCGATGACTTGCTGTGTGTAGATGGCCCGCTGGGAGATGCAGAAGGAGCACACCGCCATGATCTGACAGAGGCACAAACACAAGGAGTTGATGTGAATTAGAACAAGTGGATTGTTGCTCTGCGAGGAGCAAGGAGCTCCTCTCAGAGCTCCTCTCAGAGCTCCTCTCAGAGCTCCTCTCAGAGCTCCTCTGAGTTCCATAGAACCGGAAGGGTCATATGGATGATGTTTCATCACCATGTAACATGTTATGTTACTCAAGAAGAGTTCCACGGACAATGCTTCAAATGGGTGCTGTTTCTCTGGTTTCAAGGCTTTCCGAAACTCACAAATACCTTTTTCAGCGGCACGTTGTCTCTCTTGGGCTGCACCGCGTGCAGTGTTGTCATCAGCTCCACTGCTGTTAGCAGCGGCGGCGTGTGGGGTGAGCCCTGGGGGAAGAGGGAGAGAGGGGAGAAAGGGGAACGGCTGGTGTGAAAGAAGAACGGAAGGAGGGGAGAGCGCAGCATGCAGTGTGGTCATGTGCTCCACTGCTGTGAGCGGTGGTGGTTTGTGAGGTGAGCCATGGGAGGGAGTGAGGGCGGAAATGGGGACGGAGGGGAGGTAAGAGAGCAGTTAGAACTTAGAAATGCATGCAGATATTTTATTCTTCTCTCACCAGCACCGCTTTCCTCTCACTTGCACCACTCTCCCTCTCACCCTCACCACCCTGCCTCACCTGCAACAGGCGATCCTGGGCGATTTTGAAGAGCTCCAGAGGCAGATGCAGCAGGCGAGGAAACACCTCCAGTGCCTGCCACGAGTTGGGTATCGTGATGTTTATGAGGTATGAGGGAACGGGAGGTGCAGAAAGACGAATGGAACATGAGCAGGAGATAAACAGAACAGGAACTTGATCCATCTGCCAGAGACAGAATAGAAAAGAAGGAAAAAAAAAAAAAAAAAGACGCCTCTAGAAACTACTATACGCACCTCGTTTTTGGAGAGAAAGGGCAGGATGGGAATGAGAAGCTCCGGTTCCTGGCGTGTCAAAGAGAAAGGGGAGTGAGTGGGTGAGAGAGTGAGTGTGCGAGTGATGTGACAAGTAAGTCCAGGACCAGGTGCAAAGTATGTTGTGGAAGTGATGTGAACAGGGAGTGAGTGAGTGAGTGAGTGAGTGAGTGAGTGAGCGAGTGATGTGACAAAGTATCACTGAAGGATGAGGTGCAACGTAGACCAGATGCTTCACAAAGACGTCACAGTCGAAGGTCATGTAACAGCACGAAGGGAGTGAACCATTTCACATGACTTTCAAGCAAAGTATATGGGAGGAGTGATGCCACTCTTGCCGTGCTACTAGGAGGCTACTCTTCAATAGACGGCTGTGAGGATTCTTGAGGAGACTCAGAAAGTGACGCTACCCAGCATGTGGAGGGATGAAGCGGAGAAAAAAACATATAGGGCAAGGGGCATGCATCGTACCGCGGGCCTGGAAGCAGAGAGGGTTTTGACTGCAGCAATGAAGGGCGGGGGAGGGGCGGATGGACGCGGTGTGTCCGCCACACAGTGCAGCAGCTGGGGGAAGGGAGGGGGGAGGATTTTGAAGGGGTGAAGAGAGGTTGAGAGTAGTATGAGGAAGGAGAGTGGCAAGGCATGGCGGCAGCAGGAGCGGCAGCATCACTAGATTGCCTTAGAGCCTAACCCTAACTACAGCCTTACCTTGAGCAGCAGGCGCATTGAGCCCTCTGGGGGGTTGGAGATGAGTGTGAGGAGGTCGGGAGTGGTGGAGGGGAGTGCGGCGAGCATGAGAGGCAGCAGGTCCCGCAGCATGACGCGCTTGGCCACTGGATTCACTTGCGCAAACACCCGGAAGAAATCCGCCAGTAGTGAGGGTCTCTGGTGCATAAGGGGGTAAGAGGCCGGGGGGGGGGGGGGGGGGGGGGATGCATTGTGGGTTGGACTGAAGGCCCAACGCATGGGCATGACCTACATGGCCAAGGGGTTCACTTGTCCGAACAGAACACTCGGAAGAAATTCGCTAGTAGCTACGGTCTCTGGTGCGAGCAATGGGGTTGGAAGGGAAGGCGACGAGAAGGGAATTTCGGGGCAGGGTGAGCGAGTGGGGTGGGTGGGTGGGTGACGAGCAACAAGGAGCAACAAGGAGCAAAGCAACGGAGCATGCAGTCATTGCAGGCTGCTGTGCTGGTGCCATGCCATACCCGGGAGCAGAGCGCACAGAAGAGAGCTAATCGCCTCTCCACCTCGTGCCCCACTGCCTTCTGCTGCTCGCCTGTCAGCTGCGAAGGCCCCCCTCCCCCTCCCCCACCTGCTTGCCCCTCGCCTGCCTGCCCCGCTTCCCCTGCTGCCCCAACTTGCTCTCCTCCCCCTCCTTCCTTTCCCACACCACCACCCGCACCACCAGCAGCATTACCACCACCAGCGTCACCAGCCGCAGCAGCAGAAGCAGCACCAGCAACCGTAGCACCAGCAGGTGCCGGCAGCGCCATGCCAGGCAGCGACAGCAGCTGCTTGAGCGCATACCGTTCAATCGGCACCGTAAGATACGGCAGGGCGTGAAGACGATTAGCCACCAGCGCCACCCCTTTAGAGCGAATATCCGCGTGGGGGTGCACGGCACACTGCAAGGCCATGGCGAGACACCGCCTGCGCACGGGCGGGCGCAGGACCAGCAGCCGCCAGAGCACCACGAGGGACTCTTTCACTCGCTTTAGCTCTTCCTCTGACCTTGGTCCCTCTGGTTCGTTTTCTGCTTCCCCTCCCTCTGCCCCGTCTCCCCGCTCTCTCCCCTCTCCTGCCTCTCCTTCTCTTCCCTCCCCCTTTCCTCCTCCGTCCACATCCCTTGCGTTTTCCCCCTCATCCCCATCACCCCTCTCTTCTAATCTCCTCTTCCTGCCAACCCCAATCCCTGTGGCCCTTCCAATCCCCCCCTCGCCCTCCTTCCGCCCAAGGCCCTCCAACCCACACGCCTGTCCCAGCAGGTTGAGCAGTGAGGGCGGGAGGAAGGGAGCTTCAACGAAGAGAGGCAGCAGGAGGGACTTGAGCCCGCCGGGTGCAGCCGCAGCAGCAGCGGAGGAGGGCGAGATGAGGGACTTCAGCTGCAAGGTGGTTACGAGAGGGGAAGGGCGGGAATGGGGGAAAGAGAAAGGGTTGTTTTCTGGGGAAAGGGAGGATCGAAGAGGTAATAGAGAGGAAGTCGATTTTTGAGTCGACTCAAAAACCGACTCATCTGTTTTGTGGGGAAAGAAATCGAAGAGGTGATGGAGCTGGGGTGTGGGAGGAAGGAAGGTCGCTTTCACAAAAAGATGAAGCAGGAGGGCTTGTTTGAGGATCAAGTGACTCCATAACAGGCACTCACCACGCGAGAAAAGAAAGACGTGTAGAGAGGAGGAATTTGAGAAGATGCCAAGTCCTTGGCACCACCAGCTGGGATGGTGGCAGGAGTAGCAGTACCGGCAGTGGAAGCACCTGCAACAGTAGCACCCGCTTGGCCCCTGCCATCCACTTGAATTGCATCACCTGCTGCGGCTGCTGCTCCTGCTGCTGCTCCTACTGCTGCTCCTGCTGCTGCTGAAGAATCTTGTGCAGATGCGGAGGATGACGTTGTTACTGGTGGTGCTGGGAGAGCGGGGACGTCGGAGGAGGAGGAGGAGGGCGGAGGGGAAGAGTGGTCCAGTGCGAGAGCATACAGCACGGAGAGTACAACCTGTGAGCCCTGGTACGGGGAAAGGGTAAGAAGGATTGCATGGAGATTACTTTTGGAAATTCTCAAGGAAAAGGTGATGAGCAGTCAACTGGCATAGCGTGCAGCACAGAGAGAGCAGAGCCCAATGTGTGAGATGGAGGTGGGGAAGGGCAAGAGAGGAAGAATTTGATTCTAAGGTATGCACGCCAATCCAACAACCAGTTACGTAAGATCCGCTGCACACATCCATGTGACGCACACTGCACACATCCCCTTACACGCACTCTCAAGTCTCAAGTCACCTCAGATTCCACCTCACCTTGACCCGGTTGCAGTTAGCTAGCAGGTAGTTCAACAATGCATCCCGCACCTGCTGCTGCTGCCGCCTGCTTGCGTAATAAAGTGTTATCACAGCTCACTTCAAACAACACTAACTCACCCTGACCCGGTTGTAGTCTGGTAGAAGGTAGTTCAACAGCGCATCCAGCACCTGCTGCTGCTGCTGCAGCTGCTTGCAATGTCTGGCGCCTCTCGAGAATCAATCGATTCACCACAGATATCAGCTCACCTTCACTCGGTTGTAGTCTGCTAGCAGGTAGTTCAACAGAGCTTCCAGCACCTGCTGCTGCTGCTTGCATCTTACAGTGACTCTCTCAAGTCTCACACGTGCTGTTACCACAGACATCCACTCACCTTGACCCGGTTGTAGTCAGCTAGCAGGTAGTTCAGTAGCGCGTCTAGCAACTGCTGCTGTTGCTCCTCCTCCTCTGCTCCCCTCACCATGCCCACCAGCAGAGCCACCCACAGCCCTGCTTCACCCAGCAGCACCGCTCTGAACCCCCCAGCCACCACTCTGCACACCGCTGCCTGCTGCGCTGCAGCCAGCTGGGGGGGCGAGAGCGGAACCAGTGCCACAGGGGTGCGAGGGACAGAGAGGTAGGCTGCAAGGCGGGGAGAGAGAGGAGCGGCTGGAGGGCCTACAGGGGAGGAGGGTACTGGCACCAACGCACTGGAGACACCACCAGCAGCAGTAGCGGTAGCAGAAGGAGCAGCAGTGGTGGTAGTGGTAGGAACGATAGCAGAGGTATCGGCAGCAGTGGAGGCGGGGAGGCCGGTCTGCAAGGCTGCGTCTTCTGTCTTGGGGCGGGTGGTATCTGTTGTCCTGTCTGCTGCCGGATGTAGCGGCGGCTGTAGCCCTTGCTCATCCTTCACTGCGCCTGCTATAGCAGCACCACCAGCACCGGCAACACCACCACCACCACCAGTGGAGTCTTCTGATTTGGCCTTCACTCTCCGCGGGTCATGGCGACGAGCTGGCCCCCTGCCAGGCTCCCTCTTGCCATCACCATCCACCATTCCCTCCTCACCACCACCACCAGCAGCACCGCCTGTACCATCACCACCACCACCAGCACCACCACCAGCACCACCACCAGCAGCAGCAGTGCCAGCAGCACCGCCAGCAGCGGCAGCAGCGGGAGGGGGAGAGGGAGGGAGGTGCTGCATGAATTCAATGACCAGGTCTGCCAGCATGCCGGGGGGCAGAGAGGCAATGAGTGCATCCACTGCCAGCATGCCCTCGCTGCCCCGCGCCACCAGCGCACTCAGTAGGGTAACCAGCTGCTCCACTGGTAGAGTCGCTGCTGATGGGTCTACGGCTACGGCTTCCGCTGCTGCTGCTGCCGCCACTGCTGCGGCTGAGGCTGCTGCTGTACTGGCGTCTCCTGCTGCTGCTGGTGCTGCAGTGCTTGCGGGAGTGGCTGTGCTGGCTTGGGCAGCAGTGGACGGTCGGATGCGCTTGGAGTCTCGTGCTGCAGCGTCATCTACGGCCTCAGATGCTCGCGCGCCAGCAGCCGTGGCAGCGGTGGCAGCCGCAGCAGAAGCAGCAGCATCGGGACCAGCGGCAGCACTGCTACCAGCAGCACTCGTACCACCAGCACTGGTAGCAGTGGCGGAGGTGGCGCCTGGTGGGGTGGCAGCACCAGCAGCCCCTGTGTCAGCAGCTGCACCCCTCGCTCTCTTCACTCCTGCTGCCTTGGCCTGGCCGAGAGACGCGTGCAGAAAGCACAAGGGGGAGCACATTATCGAGGAGATGGAGTAACCGGGAGAAGAAGAGAAGGGTGAGCGGCAAGGAAGACAGAGCATGCGACAGCAACCACACACATACTCAGATACAGGTGGACACACACACACGCACACAACCGCACACAACCGCACACAACACGCACACACACGTAGGTGTACTCACCCGTGGATCAGCAGGTCGACCAGCGGCCTTCCCTGACCCTGCAGCCGCCTTTGCTGCTGCTCCCTCTGGCCCCAGCACCACCAGCAGCAGCAGCACCACCACTCCCAGTCCCACCACCGTTCCCACCCGCACCAGTACTTCCCCCAACAGAAGCACCAGAAGCACCAGAGGGACCATCAGCAGCAGCAGCAGCGGCGGCGGCAGCGGCAGCAGAGGCAGCAACAGCAGAGTTGCGAAGAGAACGGTCGATGTGCCTCAGGGAGGAATCGACAGCCTCTCCTGCCCCTAGTGACTCCTTCAAGAGAGATGTCAAGCAGTCCCGCCACTGGTGGAGGTGGTGGGTGGGGCGAGGGGACAACAGGAAGGGGGGGGGGAGAGAAGGGGTCAGAGAGATCGGTCGATGTGTCTGGGGGATGAGTCAACAGCCTCGCCTGCTCCCAGCGACTCCTTCAAAAGCGATGTCAAGCAGTCCCGCCACTGGTGATGGTGGGGCGAGGGGGCGAGAGGAAGAAAGAGAGAAGCTGAGTGGGAGGTTGAGAAGGTATAGGTTGATGTGATGTGCTGGCCAGGTTCCTCGCTCATATGAAAAGTTCTAGTGCTGGAAAGAACAGAGTCACACCCCTCACACACATCCACACCCAACAACCACACCCACACTTACACCCACACCACACCACCACACCCACATCCAACAACCACACCGAGTTGACTTTTGAGTCGACTCAGAAGTCAACACACCACAACACCCACATCCAACAACCACACCCACACTTACACCCACACCACCACACCCACATCCACACCCGCTCCCACCCACCCACCTTCATCCCGCCTGGAGCGAGCGGCATGAGCCGCAACATGACAAGCAGCGCCACCCGCACGCCATGCCTTCCCGGACGCCTGCAGCAGCTGCTGCACCACCCCACCCCCACTCTCCTCCCCACTTGCCACCGCCACCGGCGCCGACGCCGCTGACGTGGCAGTGGGCGGCACAATCGCCACTAGCGCCGGCACGATGTGACTGTAAAGAGCGGGGCAGCGGCGGGCTATCCCAGTCAGGCTGCTGGTGAGCGTGAGGAGGAGCGGCGGCGAGAGGGAGGCGACTGCGGGGGGTTGCAGGAGAGAGGTGAGGGCGGAGAGGGAGGCGAGGGAGTGGGCTTTAAGCCACGGGTCGGAGTCAGGGTCAGGGAGTTGTAGCACTCCGTTTGCCATGTCCTTGCCATCAGCCCCGTCCCTTGCGGCCCCGTCGCTTGCGCTGCTCCCGTTCTGCCCACTGCTGCCGTTACCACCACTACCACTACCACCAGCAGCAGAGGCAGCGGTTTTGCCGCCTGCTCGGCCGAGCAGCACGATCATTTCCACAAAGCCCACAGCGTGCACGCGCACACTATCCGCGTACTGGCCTGGCAGCATGTCCCTTATCAGCGGCACCAGCGCTGATACCTGCTCCCATGCTTCTGACCACGGCTGGGACTGACCAGGATGGTGTAAGGGAGCAAGGGAGGGAAGAAGGGGGAGGGAAGCGGAGAGGAAGGGGAGGAAGTAGGGAGTTGTGAGTGAATTCAGAACCCCCACAGCATGCACGCGAACGCTGTCCGCATACTGGCCTGGCAGCATGTCCCTTATCAGCGGCACCAGCGCTGCCACCTGCTCCCATGCCTCTGACCACGGTTGGGACTGATGAGGATGAGGAAGGGAGTAAGGGAGGGAAGAATGGGGAGGGAAGAATGGGGAGGGAAGAATGGGGAGGGAAGGGGAGGGGGGAGAGGAAGTGGGAAGGGAGCGCAGGGAGCTGTGAGTAATCTCAAATGCCCACTGCATGCATGCGCACGCTGTCGGGGTACTGGCGTGGCAGCATGTCCCTTATCAGCGGCACCAGCGCTGATACCTGCTCCCATGCTTCTGACCACGGCTGGGGCTGACCACCAAAAGAGGGGAGAAGGGGGAATGGAGAGATGCAAGTAGGCGAAAGGAAGAAGGAAGGGAGGGCAGGGGATCGTGAGTGGATGGATGGATGCAGCCAAATGCTGATGGCATATTGCCCATGTGCCTAATGTTGTGAATTGATTTATGATGGATTTTCAGAATGCGTCTAACGACCTGGCAGCATGTTGCTCGTTCATAGGGGGTGCTGGAGTTGATTCACCTCGCCCACAATGGGCGCGCGGGGAGAGGCGCGCGGGGAGAGGCGCGCGGGGAGAGGAGAACGGGAGAGCAGCAGCAAGAGGCTCACCTCGGCTGTAACAGGAGTGACAGCAGCGAAGGCGCCATTAACGAGGGCGGCAGCAGCGGAGATGGCGTGCTTGACTGCCTTGGTGCTCGCCACAGCGGCAGGGGACAGGCGCGTGGGGAGAGGCGTCAGTGCCGCAGCCACCGCCGCCGCCGCAGCAGCAGCAGCAACACACAGCAACAAATCAGAACCCGCCTCACCTGAAACAGGAGAGCAGCAGCAGCAAGAGGCTCACCTCGCCTGTAACAGGAGTGACAGCAGCGAAGGCGCCTTTAACAAGGGCGGCAGCAGCGGAAATGGCGTGCTTGACTGCCTTGGTGCTCGCCACAGCGGCAGGGGACAGGCGCGTGGGGAGAGGCGTGAGCGCCGCAGCCGCAGCAGGGGAGGGCGCGGAGGAGGAGGACGGCGGGAGGGGCATGGGCGGACAGGCGCGGATGATGGCGGCGAGCGCGGAGGCGATGAGCGCCGGGGCGTCGCGGTTTTTGATGGTGGAGCCAAGGCGGTAGAAGAGCCTGGGGGGAAGAGGGGGACGCGGATAGGGGCATGGGCAGACAGGTGTGGATGATGGCGGCGAGCGCGGAGGCGATGAGCGCCGGGGCGTCGCGGAGCTTTACGGTGGAGCCAAGGCGGTAGAAGAGCCTGGGGGGAGGAGGGGGAGGAGCGGGGGGAAGAGAGGGGGTTCAATTAGGCGGAAAGGTGATAGAGAGGAACGAGGTGGCATGGCAGCCACGGCAGCAGGACGTCTGGTAGTCAGCTCAGCAGCACATTACACGATCAGCAAGCATACTCATCGTTACGTAGAGCACTCACTCGACAGAGTTTTTCCGGACGAGAAACGTGGAGTCCGCCTGAAGCTCTAACAGGCGCGGCAGCGCGTCGGGCAGCACGGTCGCGCGCACGTCGGGCGGAAGGCCCGCCAGATACTCCACCGCCGCCTCCATCCGCTCCGCCTTCTCCTCCGCCCCGCTACCCGCCTGCAGCTCCGCCAGCATCTCGTCCGCCTTCCGCTGCGCCTCCTCCATTGTGCGCGGAACGGGGTGTGTGGGGAGGCGGGGGAGAACGGGAGGCGGAAGCTCCGACTACAAGGAGGAAAGCAGGATAAAAGGAGGTCTGTTCGCACTGTAGACCGTATAGGCTCTTTTCGACTTGTTAAATGTGAACGGGGTAGTTGGTAAGTTGAATGCAGGTTGTTGTGACTACGGAATCGCAAATGCTCAATCAACTAAGGAACGTCCTTCAGCGAAGCTACCCTTCCGCGCGTAGCGCTCCGAGTGGCAGAACCTACAAGCGAGCGACCCGCTATGAGCCTACTACGAACAGCACCTTGAGTGCTTTCGATCCTTTCGCGAACCCACAAAAGCATCTCGTCGAAATCCTCGAAAGGTGTGCGAATGATCGATCCAGGAAACGGGAGTTGCGAGCTCACTAGCAGCCGACAGGCGTTCCTATTCGTAAAAACGTCGACGATCGTGCGGCTGCTGATTCAAAAGCAGCCTCCAGACTGCCTAGTTTCCTTGGTGTGACTGCATGTGTTTGGAGAGGCTACACCGAGGGGAAGCATGGTTATAGCTCTCTAGAGCGGTGAAGGTTTTTAGCAATTAGGGTAATCAGGACCAGTTGGCGCTGGCAGCCTGACAGATCTTCGAAGTCTGTGTTACAAATTCTTTAGCGAAGAACATGTTCTAGCCAGCACGTCGAGGAAGCAAAATACGCTTTTAGTCACATCTCGAAATCTCGTCGCAGTTCGCAACACTCGCCAAAAGAACCCTAGATTCTGCACTCCCTCTTCATAAATTCGACTCCTTCCTTTCATTCCTCTCCATTCCTCTTCGTTTTTGCTTCTCTGGTTTCCGCGTCGCCATTTTCAGGCTTCAGGACTCGGGAATGCAGTGGAGGAATATCAGCTGTCGGTCATATCCTGCAACGATTACCACGAGCGCTGTGCAGCTCTCTACGTCTTGATTAATCTAGTTTCGCGACGTGGTGAGGATTCGAGTCTCTCGACCTTGCTTTCGCGCTATCTCGGCGCATGCGAGCTTGCTAGACGTTCCTTCGCATAAGGTCGTTCAACATGCCAGGCGAGACGCTAGCTCTTCCGGCGCCGCCGCCGGGCGGCTTGAAAGACGCTACACCGTCAGTCCTGACGGCCGAAGAACGGTCCGGCCAGCAGAAACCGGCGGAGAAGCCGAAACCGGTGGTGGTCGCAACACAGACGAAGACGATCGGCATCATTCATCCGCCTCCCGATATTCGCAGCATCGTCGACAAAACCGCCACGTTCGTCGCGCGCAACGGCCCGGATTTTGAGAAGAAGATTCTCGCCGCCAACAAGGGAAACGTCAAGTTTAATTTCCTAACACCCACGGATCCCTACCATGCGTACTACCGGCACAAGATTAACGAGCAGCTGGCGCAGCTTAATCTCCCCGCCCAGCCGGAACCTACAGCTGCCGAGCCGGCAGCAGGCTCGGCAGCCGGAGCTCCGGCCGGGGCAGCTCCGGGAGCAGCCGGGGCTGCAGCTGCGGTTGTCAAGCCTGCAGGCCCGGCAGGGCCTTTTCCGGAGGCTGGAAAAGACGCAGCGGCAGCAGGGGCTTCGGCAGCAGCGGCGAAGCTTCCGGATCTGCCCGAGCCGGAGCAGTACACGGTTCGGATCCCCGAAGGCATGTCCGGGCAGGATTTGGACGTTATCAAGCTGACCGCGCAGCTCGTGGCGCGCAACGGCAAGACGTTCCTAACGGGCTTAATTAGTCGCGAGCACATGAACCCGCAGTTTAATTTCCTCAAGCCCACGCACAGCCTATTCACCTTCTTCACCGCTCTCGCGGACGCATACTCGAAAGTACTCATGCCTCCTAAGGAGGTATTGGACAAGGTAAAACGCGACGCGGGGCCGGGCGGGCCGGCCGCGATCATGGCACGGATCCAGACGCGGCTCGACTACGAGAAGAAGCAGGAGAAGGCGCGGAAGAAGGCGGAGGACGAGATCGAGCAGGAGCGATTACAGATGGCTTTAATCGACTGGCACGATTTCATAGTCGTAGAGACTATTGAGTTCGCGGACGACGAGGAGGCGGAGCTGCCCGTTCCGATGACTATAGAGGAGGTGATTAGAAAGAGCAAGCAGCTCGGCGCGGACGAGGAGTTGGAAGCGGAGGACGCGGCGGCCGTCGCGGCGGCGGAGGCGGGCGCGAAGCCCGGGACGAAGGCGGCGGCGGCGGCGGCGGAGAAGGCGCGGGGGGAGAAGGAGGCGGCGCAGGCGATGGACGCGGAGGAGATGAAGCTGGTCGAGGAGGGGATGCGCGCGGCGGGAATCGCGGAGGGGGAGCGCGGGGAGGGGGAGAAGGGCGCGGAGAAAGGGGAAGGGGAGAAGGCGGAAGGGGAGAGGGGAGGGGAGGAGATGGAGATGGAGGAGGAGGGAGGTGCGCCTGCTGGTGTTCCGCCGCCCCCGCCACCACCGCCGCCGCCGCCTGCTGAAGGGGAGGAGGTGAGTGGGACTGAGCGTGCGGGTGGGGTGGGTTAGGGCTGTTTTTTCAGACTTCTCAAATAGCAGGGCTGGATTTGTTTGCTGGAGGTGGGTGAAGGCTGCCAGTGAGGAGGTGGGTGGGACTGTGCCTGCGAGGGGGTTCAGTGCTTTGGTTGTTGATGCGCCAATGTCCATATCTCACTCATCGACCCCAACTGGAAGCAGCCCACCCACTCTATCTCCTCTCCGCCAACCCTCCCTCTTTCTTCCCGCACTCCTCTCTCACCAGAACGAAATGGACATGGAGGAGGAGGAAGAAGAGGCACCAATGCGCATTGTTCGCAACTGGAAGCGACCGGAGGAGTGAGCAGCAGCGGAGCAAGACCCCACCAAGGTGGTGGTCTCCCCCATCACGGGCGAGCTGATCCCTTTGCTTCGCTCCCTCTCTGTCTCTCCTTGTTGTTACCTTCCCTTCCCCTCACTCCTTTAGAACGAGATGGATATGGAGGAAGAGGAAGAGGAGGCACCGATGCGCATCGTGCGCAACTGGAAGCGGCCAGAGGAGCGAGCAGCAGCGGAGCAAGACCCCACCAAGGTGGTGGTTTCGCCCATCACGGGCGAGCTCATCCCGATCGCAGACATGGCAGAGCACATGCGCATCTTGCTCATCCCTTTGCCTCTCTGCTTCCTTCCCTCCGTCCCTCCCTCTTCCTGCCCCGTCGCTCTCCCTTTCGCTGTTCTCTTCCCTTACCCCCACGACCAGAACGAGATGGATATGGAGGAAGAGGAAGAGGAGGCACCAATGCGCATCGTGTGCAACTGGAAGCGACCCGAGGAGCGAGCAGCAGCGGAGCAAGACCCCACCAAGGTGGTGGTCTCCCCCATCACGGGCGAGCTCATCCCGATCGCGCATGCTCACACTATTCCCTCTCTGCCCACCCACCCCCTTTTTCCATGACCCTCCCTTCCCCGCAACACCAGAACGAGATGGACATGGAGGAAGAAGAAGAGGAGGCACCGATGCGCATCGTGCGCAACTGGAAGCGACCCGAAGAACGAGCAGCAGCGGAGCAGGACCCCACCAAGGTGGTGGTCTCCCCCATCACGGGCGAGCTCATCCCGATCGCCGACATGGCGGAGCACATGCGCATCTCGCTGATCGACCCCAAGTACGGAGCAGAAGGAACGCATGCTCGCGAAGCTGCGCGAGAACACCCTCGCCAACGACGACGAGATCTCCCGCAACATCGTCGGCCTCGCGAAAACCCGCCCGGATATCTTCGGCACCACCGCGGAGGAGGTTTCGGAGGCGGTGCGGGCGGAGATGGAGAAGAAGAAGGACGAGGGCGCGCCGAGCCGGGTCATGTGGGACGGGCATACGGCCAGCATCGGCCGAACCGCCACCCAGGCCTTGCAGCAGAGCCTCGCGCAGCCGCCGGCTGCGGAGAAAAAGGACGAGCCGAGCCGGCCGGTTTCGGGCCCGCAGGCCCCGCCGCCGGCTCCTGCTCCTGCTCGGCCTGCGGCTCTCCCGCGCCCTCCTGCTGGGGGTCCCCCTCCTGGTATGGCGCACATGCGTCCTGCAGGCAACATGCCTCCACCCATCGCCACCATGGCTGCGTACGGCATGCCCCGCATGCCCATGCCAGGGATGCCTGGCATGCCGGGTATGCCTGGGATGCCTGTTGGGATGATGAATCCCATGCTGATGGCTCAGAACCAAGCTGCGGCTGCTGCGGCTGCTGCGGCTGCAGCAGCAGGAGGGATGTTTGGCATGCGGCCGCCCATGATGGCGGCGCCAGGGCAGGCAGGGATGGTGCCGGGAGGGTTCCCGGGGTTCCCAGGGGGCATGCCCATGGGTGTGCCGATGGGGATGCTGGGAGCGGTGCAGATGGGTATGGGGATGGTTCCAGGGGCTATGGTGCCTGGAGGTGCTGCGGCGGCGGCGGCAGGAGGGGGAGGGGAGGAGGAGCATGATGCGAAGCGGCAGAAGACAGAGGAGAATTTGATTCCGGAGAATGTGTTCCTTGCACAGCACCCGGTTAGTGCCCTCACGTCGCCATGCGCTCACACGCTCTTTTCCCCTCATGGTTTTCCTCGTCTCGCGTATGCATTCTGGTCGTACGAGGAGCAAGACGAGCTATTCAGCTTTGCTGTCCACCCTCGCACAAACTCGCATGTTGCTAACCTGCTTCTCATCCCACCACACCTTCTGTTACAAGTTTCGTGATTGCTTTCCAACCCCATACTTTTTTTCCCATCTCTTTATCTTCCATTCAGGGTCCAGTGCGAGTGGTGGTTATGCTTCCCTCGGTGGAGGGAGAGCCGGCACTCAATGGCCAGAAGGTGGAGGTGCTGGTGTCGTCACTCAGCGAATCAACGGGTGCATTCAAAGAGCACATTGCGCAGGCTCTGGGTGGCAGTGTGCCGGCCAACAAGCAAAAGCTCAGTGGCAAGGCGGGCTTCTTCAAGGATTCACTCTCGCTGGCGTATTACAATGTTGGTCCAGGGGAGGCGGTAGTTATGAGCTTGAAGGAACGTGGAGGCAGGAAAAAATAGGCTTCTTGAGTGGTATTGTGCAACGTACAGGTCGATGTAGCACTGTCCTGTGGTTTTCTCCTCCTGTGTGGCATTAACAAACAGGGCTGGTGAAATTCAAGAACAGGGTTTGTGTATCCAACTATTTCTAAGTGTAGCCAGTGTAGTCTCAGGGCAGTAGTTTACTTTCATGGTTGAAAGGATGCCACGCGCAGGGCTGGGGTGGGCAGATTTCAGCATTGATCCCAAATTTGCGGTATCCACGTCAGCTGTTCAGCCATATGCCGCCACGTCAATGCTCACTCCACCACTCCGGTGCTGGCCTGGTCACACGCCTCTCTCGCACACCAGTCCCCTAGATACAGGCCATATCCGTCAACACAGTGCGATCGGCTGTGAGTGGCTGGTACGTATTCGCGAAGGAAAGCGAGATCCGCAAATGCTGGTATCAAGTAGCCAGTTCGCCATGCTTAGAAATCATTTTCAACAGGCCTTTTGCTGGGCCCAGCAGAGTTCAGGCCCCACTCCAGAGTTTAGCAAGAGTCAGTCCAGACAAGGAATCAAGTTCACTCAAATAGCAGAAGCGTAGCAGAGTAATTGAGATTGCAGTACCACCAGATTTCGCCTCTGCACTGCACGCCTGAGCATTCCACGAGAATCTCGAGGTTGCTTGCTCCGCTGTTTCTTCCTCCGCCGTCCGTCCCGGTGGGTTGAACTACCGCATCGGACACTGCGCAGCAATCGCTGAGGCGAATCTGCTAATAAAAATTGTCACAATTCTGTTCCACCGACTGTGAAGCGTTTCAGTAAATCAACTCTAAGATGGAGCTCGCCACAAATCAAACAGTGCTGACGTGCAGCATGATAGCTTCGCCGCAATACCGGTGTCCTATTAGAAACCAGTCCGGCACCGTTCATTCTCGTCCACATTCAATGCACCCCGTCGCTTTACCCTCTCACTCCCGATGCGCCTTACGCCTAGTGGACCGTACCCAACCGAGACGCGATAGTCTACTTATAGCCACTGCAGGCAATATTTGTTTCGGCAATACCGGTGCGGCTAGCACCAGTGCGAATGGTCTTCAGCGGCGAAGAGACAGTTTTTTTACAGGACATACCCGTTTGCGAACGAATTCGTTAACAGCAGTTCCAGGCCTCATTGGCTCAGGCCCACCACTGCGCCTACATGTCTCGGCTTCGGGAAACAGGGAACATGTGAGTGATGTTATGTGCGTCTTTGTTGTGTGAACGTTTTTCGCTTACTAGTTAATGATTATGTTGCTCCAGGACACGAATGGAGACACTGTCCGATTATTATGAGGAGAGTAGGTTTCGGGAATGCTGAATCGGCTGTTCAGCACGAATTTAGGCAAATTTGGTACGGAAGTTTGTCTGAGTCGACGGTACATATGTTCTCTTCTTTTCCTAAGCTCGCATTTCTGCAGTTTCGTCTCCTAATCTCACATTTTTCGTTGCTCGAGGCGTCCTTAAGCCGGTGCCACAATTTGCGTCCATATTTTTCTTTTTCTTATTTTCCTTTGCTTCTGCCAGCAACCCAAGGCGGTACCAGAAGCAGCAGAGGCATCAGCGCTATCCGGTACTAATAGCGAAAGTGAGAGTGACAATAGCTGGAGTGGCTCTACCGGGAGTGACAATGAGGGTGAGGGCAGCAGCAGCAGCAGCGACGGCGAGTGGCTCATAGTCCGCAACCCGCTGGAAGCTCAACGGCCGAAACTGAAGCGGAAGTCTTGGAGCAAGCGGAAACACCTGTCGCCGTTCTACCTGGGGAGAGCGACCACTCTTCGCAAGGGCAAGACCAGTCGCAGCAGCAGCGGTAGTGGTAAGGCTGTCACCACCAGCAGCAGCAGCAGTACTGGCAAGGCTGTCACCACCACCACCACCACCACCACCACCACCAGCAGCAGCAGCACGGCCGAGCTATTGATAGACGCGTCTGGGTCCGAGGTCAGCATTTTGCGAGAAACCAGTACCGAAACCTTTGCAACGGGTATAGGAGAAGTGCTGACAGGGCGAGGGCGGAGCGAGGTGGAGCCGGAGGACGATGAAGAAAGCGAGGAAGGTATTAGGTTCGTTACTACGGCGTCTGGTGCGGTGCTGTCTGAAAATGACAGGGGCGGGGATGCAGGAGAAGGTGTGGAAGGAAGAGCAGAGGGGAGAGTGGAGTCAGGAGGGGGTGGTGCTGCCTGGGCTGCTGATGTTGCTGGGTCGGCGGACGGGTGGGTGGATACGGGGAACGGAAGCAGCATGAGCATGAGCATGAGCAGCACGCTTTCCAGTGTGTCTGGTAGCTTTACCTCCTTGGGCAGTGGTGGGGTGTATAGCGACACTGACAGTGACACCGAGGACGACAATGCTGCAGATTACACTGCAATTGTAAACACCCTCAGCGGCGCGGCTCCCAGCACCAATAGCAGCAGCAGCAGCAGTAGCAGCAGTATGAGCAGCGGCGGCGGCAGCGGCAGCAGCAGCAGTGACTCGGAGGAGGGCGAGTTTATCGGGGGGGACATGTGCGCGTCGGCGACGGGCGTGGTGCGCGTGCAGTCGCGGAAGAAGGCGGAGATGTACCTGGTGCGCACGGATGGCATCAGCTGCACTCGCGAGAAGGTTACTGCTTCGACCCTTGCCTTCTCGCACCCCTCCACGCAGCAGCAGATGCTCATGTGGCGCACACGACCTCGGACTGTTCTCCTGTTGAAGAAGCTTGGCACGGAGCTCATGAGTGAAGCCATGGAGGTAGGTGGGTGGGCGAGGGGGAAGGAGGGACTGGGAGAGGTGGAGGGTGGGAGTGAGAGAGGTGGAGAGTGTGAGGGAGGAGTGTGAGTTTGAGTGGGATGAGGGAGAGGGAGTGAGTGAGAGTGGGAGAGGGTGGGGGAATGGTGCGCAGGTGACCTTCTCCCACCCCAGCACGCAGCAGCAGATGCTCATGTGGCGCACGCCCGCGGACTGTCTTGCTCCTCAAGAAACTGGGGACAGAGCTTATGAGTGAAGCCATGGAGGTGAGGGGGGGTGGGTTTGGTAGTGGGAGAGGGGGGGAGAATGGTGTGCAGGTGACCTACTCCCACCCCTCCACTCAGCAGCAGATGCTCATGTGGCGCACGCGCCCGCGCACGGTTCTCCTGTTGAAGAAACTTGGCACGGAGCTCATGAGTGAAGCCATGGAGGTGGGTGGGTGGATGGGCGAGGGGGAAGGAAGGACTGGGAGAGGTGGAGGGTGGGAGTGAGAGAGGTGGAGAGTGTGAGGGAGGAGTGTGAGTGTGAGTGAGTGGGATGAGAGAGGGAGAGGGAGTGAGTGTGAGTGGGAGAGGGTGAGGGAAGAATGTGCAGGTGACCTTCTCCCACCCCTTCACGCAGCAGCAGATGCTCATGTGGGCGCACGCGGCCTCGGACTGTTTTGCTGCTAAAGAAGCTTGGCATGGAGCTTATGAGTGAAGCCATGGAGGTGAGCGCGTGGGGCGAGAGGGAGGGAGTGGGAGATGGCAAGGTGGCACAGGGCATGAGACTCACGGGGGCATGATGACCCGTCCACAGGGAGCGTGGTTTCTTTTGAGTCGACTCAAAAGCCACAGGGGGCGTGCTTTCTGGAGGGCGAGGGGGGCTTGAACGTGGCCCCCTTGTACCTATCTCTCGTAACCTCAGCTTCCTGCACCACACTCCATTCCCGTTACAATCACACCAGGTGGCGCGGTTCCTACAGTTTGAGGACGGCATGAACGTGATGGTGGACTTGGGGCTCTCATAACTCCATTCCTCTCCATTCATTCCATCCCTGTTATAAACACATCACATCAGGTGGCACAGTTCCTACAGCGCGAGGAGGGCATGAACGTGATGGTGGAGCCGGAGCTGCATGACACGCTCGCCCGTATGCCCGGATTTGGCTTCCTGCAAACCTTCTACGCCCAGGACACCAGGTGGGGGTGGGGGTGCTACGCCCAGGACACCAGGTGGGGGGGTATTGGGGGTGCTACTCCCAGGACTCCAGCTGGGACGGGATGGGGAGGGAGGGGGGTGCTGCTTCCACGACACCAGGTGGGGCGAGGCGGGGAGAGGAGGGAGGTGCTACTCCTAGGACACCAGGTGGGAGTGAGACCAGGTGAGGGGAGGGGGTGCAATACTACAGTCAGGCAACCAGGTAAGGGGAAGCTAATCGGGCAAGATCAAGGCAAGCACATCAGCTGTGGGAGGCGGAGGAGTAGCGTGAGGTGGCTGAGCATCACGCTTCTAAGCTGGGGTAGCAGGTGGCGTGGCTAGCCGGTGATATGATTACAGTGGAGGAGCTGGTGACGATGACCGCGCACAAAGACCTCATGGAGGCAGAGGTGGATTGTCTGACAGCACTGGCAGATGGAGGATCCGGCACAGTTGGGGATGACGCTGCTGGCGGGGGTGCTGCGGATGTTGAGGATGGGGGGTGTGTTGGCCGCACATCCCCGCGCCCTCAACATCCGCAGCACCCGCGCCAGCAGCATCGTCCCCAACTGTGCACGTTCCTCCCTCCGCCAGTGCTTGTCAACCGGTCCACCTCTACCTCCATGAGGTCCCTCTGCCTCTATGGGGATTGTGGGCTAACGTTGTATCCGTTGTTCCTTTTCAATGCCCTACCTCTCCACTACCTCTTTCCCAACCAGCAAGCTGCATGAGAAGGTGGACTTTGTGGTGTGTCTGGGGGGCGACGGGGTCATCCTGCATGCATCCAACATCTTCAGCTCCTCCGTACCGCCCATCGTCTCCTTCAACCTCGGCTCCCTTGGCTTCCTCACTGCACACCCGGTACGCACGCACACTGAGGATTAACTCGCTGTGCACCCATTCACAGCACTCGCTAGGCGGTGGTTCACGAGCAGGAGCAGACGGCCGCCGTGTACACAATGCTGCGCATGCTTTCAAGTGCGAGCTCGTGAAGGGGGGCCACCCGGCGCCAGGCAAGTCCACTCTGTATGTCACTGGCGCCCCAGAAGCACACGACTCTGTGCATCAGGAACTTGGGTTCCACATCCCCTGCTCACTCTCCCTTTCCCTCTTCCTTCTCTGCCACCCATCACCCTCCTTGCGAAACAGTACGAGCAGTTCAAGCAGGACCTTAGGGCAGTCATTCACGGGCAGGAGCAGACAGCAGGCGTGTACATAACGCTGCGCATGCGCCTCAAGTGCGAGCTCGTGAAGGGCGGCCAGCCGGTGCCGGGGAAGGTGTTTGACGTGCTCAACGAGGTCGTGGTGGACCGCGGCTCCAACCCCTACCTCTGCAAGATCGAATGTTATGAGCGCAGCAAGCTCATCACTAAGGTGAGGAAGCAGGCACAGGCATCCAGTAGGGTGGGTAGGGGAGTGAGGAGGGAACCATGGGGAGCATGCAGGGAACCATGCAGGGGAGCGTGCAGCACTGAGTCGAGACTACTTCCTCCCTGGCTGCATTTCCTGTCTTACCTATCACATCTCATTTGAGGTAATTCTCTTGTTTCTCTGCTGTCGACAGGGTGATAATAGCAACGTGCATGGGCAGCACCCTCACCTCCCCTCTTCTCGCTACTCCCTTCTCCTGCCTCTCCCTCGCTGCAGGTGCAAGCGGATGGGGTGATAGTGGCAACACCCACCAGCAGCACTCTTAGTGCACTCTCCCCTGCCTCCTCTCCCCTGCCTCCTCTCCCCTGCCTCCTCTCCCCTGCCTCCTCTCCCCTGCCTCCTCTCCCCTGCCTCCTCTCCCCTGCCTCCTCTCCCCTGCCTCCTCTCCCCTGCCTCCTCTCCCCTGCCTCCTCTCCCCTGCCTCCTCTCCCCTGCCTCCTCTCCCCTGCCTCCTCTCCCCTGCCTCCTCTCCCCTGCCTCCTCTCCCCTGCCTCCTCTCCCCTGCCTCCTCTCCCCTGCCTCCTCTCCCCTGCCTCCTCTCCCCTGCCTCCTCTCCCCTGCCTCCTCTCCCCTGCCTCCTCTCCCCTGCCTCCTCTCCCCTGCCTCCTCTCCCCTGCCTCCTCTCCCCTGCCTCCTCTCCCCTGCCTCCTCTCCCCTGCCTCCTCTCCCCTGCCTCCTCTCCCCTGCCTCCTCTCCCCTGCCTCCTCTCCCCTGCCTCCTCTCCCCTGCCTCCTCTCCCCTGCCTCCTCTCCCCTGCCTCCTCTCCCCTGCCTCCTCTCCCCTGCCTCCTCTCCCCTGCCTCCTCTCCCCTGCCTCCTCTCCCCTGCCTCCCCTCTCCTGCCTCCCCTCTCCTTTTTTCTGCCTCTCACCTCCTTGCCTGCAGGTGCAAGCAGATGGAGTGATAGTCGCAACGCCCACGGGCAGCACTGCGTACTCCTGGTGGATTTCAGATCGACTCAATAATCCCCCCTCTGCTGCCTCTTTCTCCCCCACTGCAGGTGCAAGCAGACGGGGTGATAGTCGCAACGCCCACGGGCAGCACTGCGTACTCCACTGCTGCTGGCGGCTCCATGGTGTGTGGATGGGGGAAGGGGTATGGGGTGGACATGTGTGCGGCATGGCTGTGGAAAGAAAGAGGTGTTGGGGGGAAGGTGTGTGGGGGAGAGGTGTGCGTAGCTGGGCGTTTGTGTATGCGTGTGTGGATGTGTGTGTCTGCATGTACGCGTGCAGGTCTTTATTTTCTCGCACTCTTATTCCGCTGCTCCGTTCCCTCACCTCCTCGTCTCATGTCACATTCCTCTTTCGACCGTTTCTCTTTTCCCATCCTATTTTTCCTAATCAGCCCTTGTCCATTCACCCCTCCCACCCCTTTTCACTGCTCCCAACCCACGCAGGTGCATCCCAACGTGCCGTGCATGCTCTTCACGCCCATCTGTCCGCACTCCCTCTCCTTCCGCCCCATCATTCTGCCCGACTCCGCCATCCTTGAACTGCGAGTAAGCTCCTCTGCACCCACGGGGCCCTTTCCCTATTCGTCGTGTGGTCTCCAGCCACTTCCCATCTACTGTGTCACCTCTTAGCTGCTCTTGTGCATGCCTGATGAAATTCAACTCCACCCCTGGCGCCACTTTTCCTCTCCTTTGCTCCTCGCATCTTCCTATGCGCAGCTTCCTTCTCCTCTTTGTCTCCCCTTATGCCTCGTCCTATCGCCCATATTCTCCCGATTTTTTACCCGTCACCCTTGATTCTCCCTCTCTCTTCCCTCCTCAACCCCCCCAGGTCCCTGCTGACGCGCGCAGCAACTGCTGGGTGTCATTCGACGGGAAGAAGCGTCAGCAGCTGTCACGGGGGGACTCGGTGCGCATTTCCATGAGCGCGCACCCTGTTCCCACCGTCAACAAGCGTGACCAAACAGACGACTGGTTCGCCAGCCTCGTCCGCTGCCTTAATTGGAACGAGCGCATGGAGCAGAAGGGATTCAACACTGTCTTCTAGAAGGCTTTGTGTATGCTGGGTTGGGTGGAGAATACTGATTAGTGCGCAATCACATGAGCACACAACCTGTGCCCACCGTCAACAAGTGTGACCAAACCGATGACTGGTTTGTCAGACTCGCCAGGTGCCTCAACTAAGACAAGCGCACAGAGTAGAAGGGGTTTCACACCGTACCTTTCAAAGGCCTGCGTGTGTGCCCATGTGAGCCAAGGGGTGTTAATTGGTTTGGGAAGGAATTATCCTTCCAGCTCGCTGGCTTTCTGGGTTACTTGCCAACTAAACTTAAGGTAGCAGCTGGGCTTGTTTTGTTGTGTGTTGGCGTCTGTCAAAGTTATGTTTAATATATATCCTGCGTGCTGTAGTTACTGCAGTTATTGTTCTTAACTATTTGGTGGTGCACCACTGTGCTCACCTTCCCTTGAACTATATCATGTATCTTGCTCATTAGTGTAAGCCCTCTTCTTCCGTTTCTCTCGCTACTCTCTTACCCCAAAACCCTAGTCTACTTAGGCTACTATTCTAACATGGTATCAGAGCTGTAAGATCCTAAGGACCTATTTTTTTTTAGGATCATGGGCCTAGCGTGACACGATTATTGCGATGGGTGATTTTGCCACCAAATGGCACTGCATATAATGAACCACTGCATTCAGCATTGGGGTTCTCTTTGGGGTTCTCTTGTGCCCGTCTGATGCCTCTCAAGCACGTGTGTATACTGCTTTGTTTCAATACAACCTGGAGGTGGCAAAATTCACTGTATTGGCTGAAATGATTCACCAGTAACATTACCATATCAGATGCGAAAGTTAATTCACCGTGATGTGAACTTTCTGTAACAAGCATGTCAAGTTCGACAACACACACAAGGCACTGCGAACCAGGAAAGTTGTGGTCCACGAAACAGGATAATTTCGTTGCACGCGTGAGAAGAACGGCTGCCAAGTACCGAGCCAGGCATGCGATCTAGCAGAAGCAGTTTTTGCCTCAAATTTTCGATCGAAAGTAGATTTTTTGTCTCAGACTAGTTTGTGCCACGAACCTCACACAGATTGAGCGCCGACATGTATTTTTTCGTTTTGCACTGTTGAACCGTTGGAGGCCTAGGAAACACAAGGCCAGTAACGAGCCGGGCTGGCGTGCGCTGTCAAATAGAATCTACGCTGGGATGGTCGTCACGTGATGGCAACTTTGGTCTGCACATGGCCGCTTCGAGGAGCCTAGCGTCCCTCAACCACCAGTGAAGCTCAGAGAGTATCCCACTGGAGCCGACGTGGAAAAGTGGGCAGCTGAAAGTGTTCTTGTGGATACGGTTTTGACTGAACCATTTCAAGGCGCTCACAGCCACGAGTTTTTCAGAAAAGGACTCTCTTACCCCAAGTTCGCTGGGTGTTCCGCCAACGAGGTTGATCGCCCCCACAGCATGATTGATCTGCCCGTTTTCCGTGTTCTGCGCGCAAACACGTCAGCTGTAGAAAAAAGCTCCGAAGTGCTTGACAAAAAGGACGCACCCAGCGCTTGCCTTTTTTCCGCTTTCCTTTTCCGCATCATCACCGCGGACAGACCTCCAGGGGGAGAGGGGAACCGTTTCGCGCCTCCATGTGCAATTCTCCACCACAAGTCTTCCTCGTTCTACTCGTTCCCCTTCCGCGGAGGTCTTGTTTTCGTCCGCCGCAATGGTTCCACCTTCCGCAATGCGCACATCCACAAGCAAGACTCCCCCATCGGCCCATCGTCCACCCCGGGACTGTCTCCCTGAACCTTGGGACCGTCTCGTCATGTCTCCATCACCTTGAGAGTTGCGTGAGTCGGGAGACTCAAGGAATACTCTCTTGCTACGAGCTGCTTTCTAGTATTGTCGATTTCATGTTTCAAGTTGATTCAGCTTACGAGATGCTCCATGACCACCCAGCCAAAACTCTCCATGATCGCTTGGAGTGAGACAGATCAGTTAATACAGGTCACGTATTCAGAACGCCAGAACTGAAATCAAACAGGCGTTTGTTAATTTCCTGGCAGACAAGTTCAAAAGGTGCCTTAGACCGAGCGAACGGATATTCTATTGCTGCTATTGACTTATCAACCGCAACGGCAATTCTCAAGTTCAATCTTCCTCACTTTCAGATGGAAAGCCCACCTTACGTAGCCGCAGCTGTTGGAGGAAAGCGTAAGAGAGAGGACGAAGAAGAGGATTTTCATCCCGAACCCAATGGATCATTTAAGACCCCAGTTGTTGCATCCAGCTGTCCGTTTGACCAAACCACAACATCATCCCATCCAGTGCTCGCTTCTCCTCGCGAGAAAGACTTTTCTCGCGTCTCGCAGGACGTTCCTTGCGTATCTGGCGTTCCAACGAAAGCCGAGACGGTTTTCGAAGATCACGAGAACGCGTCGTTACCGCTATCGCCGTCCAGAAATGTCACCCAGATGGTCCCTCCGCCGGCAGTTGTATCCCAAGAAATGGCTGCTCGAGTCGTGGCCGGGTCTCAGTTAAAAGAGGAAGCTGTTGCAGCAGCAGAAGCCGCAGCGGCTGCTGACGCCGCGGCTGCTGCTGCGGCGGAAGAGGCGACGGGATGTCCTGCGGGAGAGAACAAGGCAGTAGAGTTGACCGTTGAGCAGATTGACTCCATCTGCGAAGAAGCAGCAGCGGCTGTAGTGGCTACAGCTGCCGCAGCAGCCGGCGCGCTGGCGAGCGAGAAGTGGGAGGCGGAGGCCAGCAGCGAGGAGACGAACAAACGGAAAAGAAGACGAAGAGTTCACAAGAAGACAGCGGAGGGAAACTTTCCGTCAGCGTCGAACCAACCGGAGGATGGTGGGAGGTCAGACGGAGGAAGGGAGGAGGGAAGCGAGACGACGGAAAGTGATGGGTCTGAGGAGAGGGGAGGTCCGGGATTGGATGCGAGAATTGGAGACGCAGCAGCGGATGCGGCGGCACGAGAAACGCCGCGGAATGCCGCGGGAAACATGGAAGTGACGGAGCTGGGTCCGCAGCAGGATGATGGCGGCGACGCAGGGTTGTCGCTGCTTGGCGCGGAGAAGAACGACGTTATGATGGACGTGGATGGCGGTTCGGCTGCGGCGGCGGATGCGCCGTACATTGCGGGGAACGCTGGTCGGAAGGGAGGCCAGGAAAGGAAGGAGGAAGAAGTAGCGAAAACTTCCAGGTTGGCGGCTGCGGATGAGGCGAGGATCGCTGCGGCGGCTGACGAAGATGACGCCGTCAATCACGGCAAGAATCCCGCGCACTCTCGGCGGAAAGATGCAGCCGCGGATATCGCACCGGAGGATGCGGAGAGCCAGCATGGCTCGAAAAGCCGCGCCGGGAAGAGCGCCGCCGCACACGGCGGGAAGGTGACGGCGATGGCGGCGCTGTCGCAGGTGCTGGTTCGCACGAGCCTGGAGTCGTGTCGGACGGTGGTGCTGCGAGTCCGGCCGAGCGACACCGTGGACGACGTGCTGTGGCAGATCCAGTGAGTGACGTACGATTATGTCAGCACGCATGCCAAGAAGTGCGTCCTTTTTCCAAAAAGCAGCATTTTTCTTCGTTCCCTCACTAACCCTCTCGACCCCTCTCCTCCTCCCATTTCTCCTGCCCTCTCCCCTCTCCCGTTCCCCTTTCCTCTCACTGATAGGCGGAAAACGGGCCTACCCGCGCACGAGCACCGCCTCATTTACGCGGGGAAGCAGCTCGACACCTCCGCGCGCCTGCAGGACGTGCCTGTGCCGCACGATGCCACGCTGCAGCTGATCGGACGGCTGAGATCGACGCTCTTCCCCGACGTGTGGCTGCTGGTGGCGGAAATGGAGGCGGGGCTGGCGCAGCTGCAGCGCCTGGAGGCCGTGGGCGCGGGCGTGGGGGAACCTCCGCCTGGCGCGGGGAAAGGCGAGGGGGGCGGAAGGGGTGGAGGCAAGGGGAGTGAGGGGGAGGGAGGAAGGGCGGACGGAAGGGGGGATGGGGGTGAAGTCCCCATGCACGAGCAGCGCGCGGAAGTGGCGGAAGGGGGGAGGGGAGGCGGAGGAGGAGGTGGAGATGCGTGCAATTGTGCAGTGGAGAGGGGAGGGAGGGGGAGAGGTGGGGGAAGAGGGCGGGGGAGAGGGAGAGGGAGAGGAGGCGGAGCAGCAGCAGAGGGTGGGAGTGGAGGTGCTGAGGAGGTTGAAGCAGGGGATAGAGTCGATGCCGTGGAGCAAGAACCCGCTGAGACGCAGCACCAGCATCAACAGCAACAACAACAAACACAGGCGGGCCAGCAGCAGCAGCAGCAGGATGAGCAGGAAGCGCCGGGAAGAGGGGGGGGCGGCGCAGTGGTGCAGGAGGCGGGTGGGAAGGGGCGGAGGCAGCGGCTGAGCAAGTACTACGAGGACAAGATCCACTGCGCCATGGCGCAGCTCTTCGTGCGCGCTGTTGACACCATCCGCTCCGGCCACGACGGCTGGACCATCAAACTCGCCGAATACATCGAGGCCTTCAGGTACTTTCAACAGCGCTCTCAGGTGTTTGAGGCGTTCTGCTCATTGTTCCCCCCCTCCCCCCCTGTTCTCTGTTGATGAATCTCCAGACGTCATCGTAACCATTCCGTTTCTTTCTCTGTCTCCCCGTTGTCTCACTTTGGTCTGCGGGCTTAACATTGCATTTGCCTTGCGCCTTCCATCTCTGCTCTGCTGGCAGGCTGGCAGGAGGAGTGCGGGCGGCCGTGCAGCTGCTGCAGCTGAAGGAGCCCCACCACATGCGCTTTGCCGACCAGACAGTCGCCAGCTTCCTGGATGAACGAGGTGAGAGAGGAGGAGGCTCTGGAGAGAGGAAGAAATATATAAAATAAGAAAAGTAAAAGTGGGTAATATGGGGTTGGGAAATGTACGTGTGGGAACGGTAAATTACTCGTAACACACACTGAAGCTGAGGACTTTCTTTTACACAACACCTCTGCTCATGCATTCTTGCCTCGTTTCCGCCCTCCATTCTCTCGCCCCCTTCCAGCCCTGATCACATACATGCACGACTACGCCTGCCCGGGTAAATTCGCGCGCCCTTTACTGGACTACCTGGGCCCCGTGCTCATGGAGCTGCACGTGCTGCTCGACTCATGCCGCCTGCGCCCTGTTCTCACCGCCAGGTGCGCAATCTTGCTGTCTTGCTGTCTCGCACACTGCATGCATTGGGATGACTGTTCACAGCACAATTGCTCACCGCACTCACATAACCACTGCTGGACTACCTGGGCCCCGTGCTCATGGAGCTGCACGTGCTCCTCGACTCCTGCCGCCTGCGCCCTGCTCTCACCGACAGGTGCGTGTGTGCGTGTGAATATCTGTGCTTGCGCACTTATTCACCCTACTATTATGTTGGTGCCTTCCTGTTGCGTGCACCTGCCACACCGCCCTTTACTGGACTACCTGGGTCCCGTGCTCATGGAGCTGCACGTGCTGCTCGACTCCTGTCGCCTGCGACCCGCGCTTACCACCAGGTGCGCTGTCTTGCTGTCCTGCTGTATTGCTGACTTGCTCGTTCGTTCGTTCTGGGTGTGCACCCGCACCACCACTACCTGGGCTCCGTGCTCATGATTTGCACGTGCTGCTCGACTCCTGCCGCCTGCGCCCCGCACTCACCACCAGGTGTTGGGACGCGCTAGTGAAGCTCTTCGGCAAGGTACAGCTGGGTCGCTTCTGCCCGCAGCTCAACCAACCGCTCGCCCCACTGGCTCGTGCGCAACCTTGTCATCTCATTTGTCGGTACCCCTACTATTTGTTCCGTCCACCCCATCATCAGGTGTTGGGATGCACTAGTGAAGCTCTTCGGAAAGGTACAGCTGGGTCGCTTCTGCCCGCAGCTCAACCGCTCGCCCGACTGGCTCGTGCGCAACCTCGCGCCCTTCCTAGAGAAAGCAGCCACGGATCTCTGCATAAGCCTGCACCAGCTAACCCTGCTCGCAGCCGCCAAGTCAGACACCCTCACCTCCCCCCTCACCTCCTCCGCGTCCTCCGCTTTCAAAACCTTCGCCTCGGCTATTGTGCTCTCGCTGCCCTTCTGCCGCCCGGCCGTGCGCCAGTCCGCGTTCTGCCGCCCGGGGTGGCTGCTGACCGTGTTTGGCTCGGTGCTGAGACACGTGGACGCGTGCCTGGCTGAGTCAGCGCGGTTTGCCAGGCGGCTGCTGCTGCTCACGGAGGGACCTGCTGTGCTGGCGAGCACTGCTGCTGCTGCAACCGCGGCTGCTGTTGCCGCTGGTGCTGCCGGCGCTGCTGCCACTGCTGCAAGCTTTTCCAGTTTCGCTGGTGCTGCTGCTGGTGCTGGTTTCGGCACTGCTGCTGGTTTCAGCACTGTTGCTGTTTTCGGTGCTGCTGCTGATCCGTTGATACCGCCACCTGCTGCTGCCTTTGGCTCGTTTGCTCCCACCTGGCCGAATTTCTCCGGCGTCCCTTCCTTCAACGCTCCTTCCCCTGCCTATTCGCCTGAAACAGCAGCTGCTGTGGCTGCTGCTGCTGCTGCCGCGCAATCCGCCCAGCTGTCCCAGTCGGCAGCATCATTGCACGCTTACCAGTACCATTCAACAGCAGCAACACCACCAGCAGCAGCAACAACAGCAGCAGGGCATGCATTCACAGACTCAAGCCATTACTCTGCCTCTGCTCTTCCCCTCCCACTCCCACCCCCCTGGCACGACCACCACCACCACCACCACCCCGCCACGCCCATGCACACCTCACCGTACCACACCCAACCCCACCAATCCCCCCAACACCCATCCCCCTTCCCGCCTCCAGCCTCCACTCCCTTCTCCCCTCCCCACCCCTCCTCCCCACTCCCGCCCCTCTCTCCCCCGGACCTAGTCGGCCGAATGGCCCTCTCTCTCCTCCCAGAACCCCTCCGGGAGTGCATTCCCGCCGTCCTGCAAGGGCTATACCTCCTAGCAGCGGTAGCAGCAGGAGCAGGAAGAGGGGGCAGTGCGGAGCAGCTAGTGGGACTCTTAGTGAGGCACAGGGGGTGTGTGAACGCGGTGATTCAGAATCAGCACCTGGCGCCGGGAGGGGACCTGGCGTGGGTGTGCGAGCACAGGCAGCTGATCGACTTGGATGTGAAGCGACGCTGGATGGGCGCGCTGCTGCCGGAACCCGCGGAAGACCATGCCAACCGATGCACCGTCATTGTGAGTCCACGTGTGATGGCTGCTTGTTAGGTAGAGTGAGAGTGAGTCAAGGTGATGGCTGCTAAGAGTCAGAGTGAGCCGCCCAGGTGATGGCTGAGTCATTGTGAGTCCAGGTGATGGCTGGTCGCTTGGCAGAGTCAGAGTGGGTCGAGGTGATGGCTGAGTGCTCCAAAAGTGGATTGTGCTCGTCAGCTGCAAGCTTGTGTCAACAGGCCACTCCCCCTACTGCAGATATTTTTTAGAAGGTCTGATCTTTACTCTGTTTCTCTCTCAACCACTCTTTGCCCATCCCAACCCACCAGGTGCACCGAGGCCCCTCGCTACTCCACGAGTCCTTCGACCAGATCTTCTACGCGCCCCCGGAGGCCCTCAAATCCGGCTTACTCGTGCAATTTGTAGACGAGGACGGCTCGGGCGCGGGGGTCCTGCGCGAGTGGTTCATGCTCGTCGGCTGCGAGCTCTTCTCGGGCGCCAACGCGCTCTTCTCCGCCTGCCCCGACGACCACCAGCGCTTCTTCCCCTCGCCCTCCTCCGCCATCAACCCCGGCCACCTCTCCTACTTCCGCTTCTGCGGCCGCGTCGTGGCCCTCGCCCTCATGCACAACATCCATCTAGACGTCACCTTCGCCCTCGCCTTTTACAAACTCCTCGCCGGGCGGGAGGTCACCTGGCGCGACTGTAAAGACATGGATCCGGAGCTGTTTGCGAGCTGTAGAGCCATCATGGCTCTGCCGGCCACGGATGTTGATGCGGACGTGCTGGGGCTGACGTTTGTGTGCAGCGTGGAGGAGGGCGTGGGCGTGGGGGAGAGCAGGGTCGTGGAGCTGTGTCCGGGCGGGGAGTTCATCAAAGTCACCAACAGCAACCGCCACGCATTCATCGACCTGCTTGTGAAGCGAAGAATCGTCGCGCCTATGAGGCTGCAGGCGCTGGCCTTTGCTGCGGGATTTTCGGAGCTGCTGCACTGCCGGGACCTCCCCATCTCCCTCGCTCTCCACACCTCCCCGCTCCATGCTTCCTCCCTCCACGCCTCCTCCCTGCACGCCTCGTCTCTCCGTCCTCCCCACTCTATTCCTGCTGGCGTCAGCATTCCTGCTGCTGGCGTCACTGTGACTCCAACCGGCCTCGCTCTGGCTCCTGCTGGCGTCAGCATTCCTGCTGCTGGCTTCCCCATGCCTCCTAATAATGACGAGAGCACTAGCCCTATCAACCACCAAGTGCCCATGGCTGCAGCAGGCAATGCGGAAGCAGGGGGGCAGCAATGGGGCCGCGCTGCCCCGCCTGCTGCTGCAGCACCGGCAGCAGCGCCAACCCCACCAACAGAACCAACCGCACCAGCAGCGCCACCAGCAGTACCAGCACCAGTAGCAGTACCAGCACCAACAGCAGCATACGCTACAGCCCCTCCCACAGCCCCCATCACCCACCCCACAGCCACCGCTACAACCGCCCTTTCCTGGCCCACCTCCAATCCGAACGCAGCAGCCACTGCCACAGCTGCAGCTACAGCAGCGGCAACGGCAGCGGCAACGGCAGCGGCAACAGCAGCAGCAGCGGCAGCTGTAGCAGCAACAGCCCTGTGGGCTGCTGCATTGCAGGGGACGTCCGGGCCTGCACCAGTGCCTGCATCCATGGACACGCTTCCAGCTCTCATGGCTGCCCATGCTACAGCCGCTACAGCCGCTACAGCTGCCACAGACCCTACAGCTGCTGCCACTGCTCCTGTTACCACAGTTGCCACACCTGCCACTGCTGCTGCTGCCCTGCATGGGGTCATGAGCACCCTGCCAACAGTCACCACCAGCCAGCCATCACTCATGGTACCGCTAGCTACAGCCGCTACAGCTGCTACAGGCGCTACAGCCCCCATTGCTATCGCCGCGCTACCCAACATCCTGCCCATGGCTACATCTATTGCTGCTACAGCCGGTGCAGGTGTGCCAGCCGATCCAGCCTCTGCTGCATCGGTTGTAGCGCCAATGATGGCCGAATCCCCCATGGCGGCTGTAGCGCCCGTTGCGCCAGTGGTGGTGCCGATGGTGAGTCCGGCTGTAGCGGTGGTGGAGAGCGGGTGGGTGATGCAGCAGGCGCTGCGGCCGCTGGACGCGGGGGACTTTGAGGCGCTGCTGTACGGCGAGGAGAGGGACATTGACGTGGCGGACTGGCGTGCGCACACCGACTACCATGGCTATCGGGCCACCGACCCTGAGGTGCGTGGTGTGAAATACTTGTGCTTTATGCTCCCTACATGTTAAGGCGCCTCAGACTTTGAGGCGCTGCTGTACGGCGAGGAGAGGGACATTGACGTGGCGGACTGGCGGGCTCACACAGACTACCATGGCTATGGGGCCACTGACCCTGAGGTGCGTGGTGTGTGTGTGAAGTGCTTGTTGAGTTGAGGCGCCTCAGAGTTTGAGGCGCTTCTGTACGGCGAGGAGAGGGACATTGATGTTGCGGACTGGCGTGCACACACGGATTACCATGGCTACCGGGCCACCGATCCTGAGGTGTGTGAAATCACCGAACCTTTTGTAACTTGGCCCCTCTCTCAGCCTTGTTTTATTTCTTTCTGTGGCTTATGATGTGAACAAGGGTCTTGCTGCTGCTTTCTTGTCTTGATAATTGTTGTTGCCCGCCCCCTTGTCACTCTTGGGTGCAGATTGAGTGGTTCTGGGAGGTGGTGGAGGAAATGACCAAGGACCAGCGCAGGCGTCTGCTCTACTTCACCACCGCCATCACACGCCTTCCTGCTTCGGGCTTTGCTGGCCTGCAATCTAGGTACGAGTTTGGCTTCAGAAGCTTCCACAACCCTGGGTTTGGTCTTTTTGTCGTACCCTCCAATCTAATCCAATATATTTAGATCTCCTATTCACTTAGTTTTTTGTTCCCTTGGCGAACTGGGATGCTTACTGTGCGTGATTTTCCTCTCCTGCAGGTTCCACATTCATCTTGCATTGACTGACACCACACACCTGCCAACCGCACACACGTGCTTCCACCAACTTGTGTTGCCACCGTACTCCTCCAAGGCGATGATGAGACAAAGACTGCACACCGTCATCGCTGATCACCTTGTACAAGGATTCGGTTTTGCATAGATGGTTTGCATGATTAGTTGGAGTAGCCATTGTGATGCTGCCCCTCCTAGGCCCATCTAAACTTATCATAACAATCATTTCCTGTAAATGGTAGGTGTGTCGTTGGATGGCAAAAGCCATCAAAAATTTTGTATAGCAGCGTTAGTGGAAGAATTTTCCTACTGAGCTCATCATGACATTTATTTTGCTGGATGTGGTATTTACATGAATTGTATATAAACACTTTCAGAATACACATTGTAAGCGGCATGAAACAAGTGTTCTCAGCTTCGCATCTGTAGTTAGCTCGACAACCTCACGGGGCTTCTAGAATCCAGACGGCTGCTTCGTTATTGGCGCAGGCAGTGTGTACTTCGGAGTGGTCTGGAGCGGTAGGTGCTCCTCCCCTCCCCTCTCGTCCCTTTGCCGCACCGCCGTACAGTACCGTACCGTAAAGCTACACACCCTCTGTCTGTCTGACCTTCGGTGCTTCCTAAGCCGTTGGTGACTGGTCAGGACTTGGCACGTTCTTCTGGCCCGTGCCTGTTCACCTTCCTCCTTTTGCAGTCCTTGGCATCCGAATTTCTGTCATGTCGCTGCGCCGTTCATATCTCTTGTTAACATTCTTTTGATTCTCAATAACATTCGTTTGGTGCGATTTTAGTGCGTCCGTCGCGCGACTTTGCCTCAGCGCCGATCCTTCCTCTATTGAACTGTTTGAACTGTTCTTCAGGGCTAATCGACTTACCTCATTGGGTTTGCTTGAAATTCGTTAGTTCTTTATAGATCAGAAAATAGAAATGGGAATCTCAAGCTCGTTCATGCATGACGACGCTTCGTTATAACGTCGAAGATTCGCCATAGCGAGTCATCAGGAACCAGGACTCGTTAATCCTCGTTCACCACACCCGAAATCGCGCCATTCCTTTCTTAGTCGTCCATCAGAAGAGGAGCGCGACTCGCAGCCATGGAGTATCTGAAGAAGCTTCGTCAGCTGGACGCGTATCCGAAGGTCAATGAGGATTTCTACAGTCGCACCATGTCAGGCGGCATCCTCACGCTCATTTCCTCGGTCGTCATGGCCGTGCTCTTCATCACCGAACTCCGTATGTCTTTTCCGTTACAATATTCCCTGTACCGTTGTGTTCCGTCGTTACCATATCTCCTTGTATCGGCATTCTCGCGCGATTAAAAAAAAAAAAAAGAAATCGTGGCTGTACCCTATCCTCGGAGCTATTGATATGACAATCCCTTTCATTCACATTGAACCTTTATCGCGGAAGTACTTATCGGTTCATTCTCCCGTTCTTCCTTCCTCTACTGATGAACAATCCCTACGCATTCCTGCTGCTCTCGTCCTTAACATAAGCTCCAGGCACATACACAGCTGTGCGCGTACTCTCTGCTCATCCCCTTCGTCTTCCATCCCCCTCTCCATACGATCCCGCTCCTTCCCGCCTGTCCCCGCTCCTCTCCGTCCATTCCCGTCCGATCAGGCCTTTTCCTCCAGCCGAAGATCGTCAACGAGCTATCTGTCGACTTGTCACGCGGAGAAACCCTCAAAATCAATGTGAGTGCTCAGGAACCCACAGATTGTCACGCCTAAGCGATTGTAGGGTTTATTGGAAGCCTTTCTTGTGGGATTCCGAGTCATGGAAGGACATGCTTTTGTTGCTTTCTGAATCCATGCCTCTTGCTCCCTCTTCAACACCCCCCTTTCCCCGCACTCTCCCCCCTCTTCCTTTCCCTCAACCCCCACCCTTCCGTTCTCCCCTTCCCCCCTCCTCCTCCCCCCATTTTCCTCATTCCGAACTCCCTCCTCCTCACGTGTCAGCTGGACGTGACGTTTCCGCGCCTGTCATGCGCGGTGCTGTCGCTGGACGCTATGGACATCAGTGGAGAGCAGCACCTCGACGTGGTATGCTCACACGCTGCTTGCACACGCACACACGTGCTGCATGCCCACACGCACTCAACGCACACGGTCGGTGTTGTCGCTGGACGCTATGGACATCAGTGGAGAGCAGCACCTCGACGTGGTACGTGTGTGATACGCCGCACGCTGTTTGCACATGCCAGGCACACACCCTGCCATGCTGTGCCCGCCATGCCCCCTGTCATGCCCTGCCCTGCTCTGTCATGCGCGGTGTTGTCGCTGGACGCCATGGACATTAGTGGAGAGCAGCACCCTGCAGTGAGCAGCCATGTTCTGCCCTGCTCTGTCACCACGACGTGGTACGCTCACTGCACTCACGCACGTTGTGTGCACATGCTCTGCCCCTGCCGTGACATCCCATCAAAAGCCACGCCATGCCATGCCACGCCCATGCCATGCCGCCGTGCCATCGCGGTTTGCCTGTTGTCTGACTACTATTTTGATTGCAATCTGGTTGAGACCGCCATATTCCGTTCTGTCTACAGACCTCTCCCCTCCCAACTCCAAACCCTTCCATCGCCCAGCTCGTCCTCCCTTTCCCCCCTCAATTCCCTTCCACCGCTGCTGTTCCCCATGTACCCCACTTCCGCCGCTCCCCCACGTCCCCCACGCCACGCCCACGTCCCCGTTATCCTCCCCAATCCCCTGTCCCCTGTGTCCCCCCCTTAACCCCTCAGTCCGCATGTCCCCTCTGTTTCCCCCTGCCCCCCTTGTCGGCCCCCTCCACCCTCCCCTCAAGGTGCACAACATCTACAGGCGATGGCTGACGCCCATAGGGGTGCCAGTGGAGGGAATCGACTTTCAACCACCAAGCCTCCCCTCACTGTCCCTCCAACCCTGCAATGCCTTCCCCACTCTCCCCATACCCCCTCCAGGTGCACAACATCTACAGGGGATGGCTGACGCCCATAGGGCTGCCAGTGGAAACCCCCCTTTACCCAAAGCTGCCCCTCACCCCGCCCTTCCTCACACACACCCACTCCATTCTCTTAGGTGCACAACATCTACAAGCGGCGGCTGATGCCTGTGGGGCTGCTGGTGGAGGGGATAGATCCGCATCCACCCGCCACCCTCCTCCCTTTCCCTCTGCACCCCACCCCTTCTCCCCCCACCCTCCCAACCATCAGGTGCACAACATCTACAAGCGGCGGCTGACGCCCATTGGCCTACCGGTGGAGGGGATAGACTCAAAGCACGAGATAGGGGCGAAGCAGCACGACGTGCTCAAGAAGCGACATATTCACCCCACCCCTCCTCACCCTTCCTCACCTCTCCTCACCCCCCAGGTGCACAACATCTACAAGCGGCGGCTGACGCCCATAGGCCTGCCGGTGGAGGGGATAGACTCGAAGCTCGAGATAGGGGCGAAGCAGCACGACGTGCTCAAGAAGCGCGACAAGTTCGGCAACGTCGTGCCCGACGACCAGGACTTCTGCGGCAGCTGCTACGGCGCTGCTGAGGTGCGCTCCTGTTTCTAAGCTTCCTCCCTCGCCCTTTGCTCCCCCTTTGCTCCCCCTTTCCTCCTCTCTCTTCGCTCTCTGATGACCTGCTCCCACCCCCCATAATCATCATCATCTCTGCACCTGCCCCCCCCATTCCCTAACCACTCCTCCCCTCTCCCTCCTCCCCTTTGTACCCACGTCAGACGGAGGACCAGTGTTGCAACAACTGTGAGGAGGTACGCGAGGCGTACAACAAGCGCGGGTGGGCCTTCAACAACGCTGACGCCATCGAACAGGTTCCTCTCTCTCCACGTCTCCTCTCCTCTCCTCTCGTCTCCTCTCGTCTCCTCTCGTCTCCCCTTGTCTCAATCTCCTCTCCTCTCCTCTTCTCTCCTCTCCCCACCTCTCTCGTCATCTCCATTTCCCTTCCGCCACTAGCTCACCATCCTCACTCGACTTGCCCCCCACGTTCCTGCTGTTTGATGACTGCATGCGTCAATTGTTGCCTGTTCTCCCCCCTCCCGTCACTCGTGTGTGCTGGGAGTGCAGTGCAAGAGGGAGGACCTTATAGACAAGATTCAGGCGCAAGTGGGCGAGGGGTGCAACATGTATGGCGTGCTGGAGGTAAGACCCTGGTTACGTGTGCAGCTGGTAGGCGGTGGGGGTGTGTGGTGAGATGGAGGGGTGCAACATGTATGGCGTGCTGGAGGTGAGGCTTTCGGTTCGAGGTGAGGCCTTTTTTTTGGGGTGGGGGGGCGGGGTTCCTTTGCACCTCTTCCCATCCTCTCTTCACAGATTCTCCTTTCCTGTCGTTATCTTCCTCCCATGCGCCCCATGCCTGCAGCGAACAAGATGGCCGGCAACTTCCGTTTCACCAAATTGGTCTTTCCACACTCCCTCTCTCTCTCTCTCTCTCTCTCTCTCTCCCTCTCCTGCGTTACCCTTCCCCTGCCGCATCTCACACACGCTCCTCCCACCTGTCCTCTCTTGCAGGTGAACAAGGTGGCGGGCAATTTCCACTTCGCCCCGGCCAAGGTGTTCTACACCGCAGGCATCTCCATCTTCTTCTTCTCTCCCCCCCCCCCCCCCCCCCCCCCCCCCCCCTCCCTCTCCTGTACTCCTAACCTTCCCCATCCCCGCTCTGCCTCATGCTCCGCTCCCCCCCTCTTCCAGGTGAACAAGGTAGCGGAGAATTTCCACTTCGCCCCGGCCAAGGTGTTCTACACCGCAGGCATCTCCATCTTCTTCTCTCCCCCCCCCCCCAACCCCTCTCTCGTACTCCTCCTAACCTTCCCCATCCCCGCTCTGCCTCACGCTCCGCTCCCCCCCTTTCCAGGTGAACAAGGTGGCGGGCAACTTCCACTTCGCCCCGGCCAAGGTGTTCTACACGGCGGGCATCTCCATCTTCGACCTCGTCATGTTCCACGACACCGTCTTCAACGTGAGTGCCTGGGGGCACCGACCTCAATGTGAGTGCTAGTTGGGTCGAGTAGCTGCTACTCGCTGGCCTTTGAGTCGTCTCAAAGGTGTTTTACACGGCAGGCATCTCCATCTTCGACCTCGTCATGTTCCACGACACCGTCTTCAATGTGAGTGGCTGGGGAGGGGATCACTGTTATCAACCATTTTAGAGACATCTTAGCACCCAAGGTCTTCTACACGGCAGGCGCGACCTCGTCATGTTCCACGACACTGTCTTCAATGTGAGGATCTAGGAACATTTGAGTTGGCTGACAATGTTTCGTGCCGTTGAGTTTGAGTCTGCTGTTTTTCAATGTGGGCTCTGGCTGGCCATAGTAGCTGCGACTCATTGGCCACACCCAGTCTTTCCCATACGGTCAGTTTTCAATTCACAACTATGCCGTCACACAACCTTTAGTATGTGCCTCATCGTAAAGGAATCACACAGTGCCATGTGTCTCCCTGTTCAATTCCCCTCCCTCCTCCTTTCCCGCCCCCTTTGCCACGTGGCACCACAACCTGCCCCTGTGGCAGATATCCCACACAGTTAACTCGCTCTCCTTTGGGGCCAAGTTCCCAGGAGCGGTCAACCCACTGGACAAGTGAGTCATTCCCAATCGAAGTGAGCTATTTTTAGTGGGTTTGGAGAGTCGGGCTTTTTGCAGCAAGTGAGCATTCCGGATTCGTATGGGCCACGCCAGTGGCAATCAACACACCTCATGCTGATCCCTCTTTTGTTATATAGCCGCGTGGCTAGCCATAATTCACCATAGTTTTGAGACTTATGTAGTCTCAATACTGGAGTGGTTGCAAAAACCATGCTTTCCGCAACCAAGCTGAGAAATCTCGACTTGTAAGTTGTTACATTGTTCTTCCTTCAAATCTTCGAATGGATGTGCCTGAAAATTGTTTCTCTTATGTCATCCATGTCAAGAATGTTGTCTTCCAGTTTCCTTCCGTCCCTCTCCGATCCCGTTCCCTTCCCACCCACTTTCCTTTCTCCCTTCGTGAGGCTCAAAAGAAATCCCCACTTCCCTACCACACTCCTCCCATCCCCCACTCGCGCTCTTGCTAACAGGGCGAAGTGGGTGCAGGAGAGCGAGTCAGGCATGTATCAGACCTTCATCAAGGTGGTACCACCATGTACACCGGCTCTCCTTCCCAGGCACCTCAGATGCCCCTCCCATTCTCCTCCCTCCCCATCCCGCCGTCCTTCCTGACATGAGCAGGGCGGAGTGGGTGCAGGAGAGCGAGTGAGGCATGTATCAGTATTTCATCAAGGCTGTACCCACCATGTACACCGACTCCCATCTCAGGCACCTCAGATGCCCCCTCTCACCCCCCCATTCCCCCACACCCCCTCCAAAACCACCCTTTCCCACACGTGCGTCCATGAGCAGGGCACAGTGGGTGCAGGATAGCGAGTCAGGCATGTATCAGTATTTCATCAAGGTGGTACCCACCATGTACACCGACTCTCCTTCCCAAGCACCTCAGGTCCCCCTCCCATTCCCCACCCTCGCTATCCTGCCCATCCTGTCGTGAGCAGGGCACAGTGGGTGCAGGAGAGCGAGTCAGGCATGTATCAGTATTTCATCAAGGTGGTACCCACCATGTACACCGACTCCCACAACCACACCATCGCCTCCAACCAGGTATGACCATTGGATGTCAAGATATACATGTATGAATGTAATATCTATAACAGAATCGTATATGTATGTTTGGACCTTCACTTCATCAAGGTCGTTCCCACTATGTACACCAACTCCCACAACCACACCATCGCCTCCAACGCTTTTCATCGGTCTTGAACCTGGTATGCATGGTTCCTCGGTCGTGTGTCTCCATTTTCTGTATCTGTCCCTTCAACCCACCTTTCACTCCCACAGTTTTCAGTGACGGAGCATTTTCGGCCAGCACCAGCGCATGACCAGCAATCGCTGCCAGGAGTCTTCTTCTTCTACGACCTCTCTCCCATCAAGGCCAGTGCCCCCATGCTGCTCACCGCAGCTCTTCCCTGCTCAGCTCTTCTCTTCCCTGCTCAGCTCTTCTCTTCCCTGCTCAACTCTTCTGTGCCATGCTGTGCCCTGCTCTGCTCTGCTCTGCTCTGCTCTGCTCTGCTCTGCTCTGCTCTGCTCTGCTCTGCTCTTCCCTGCCTTGCTGATTGAGTCCTAGAGATTGTTGTCTGGCTGCTTCCCTGCTCCTGCTGACATGTCACTCTGCCTCTGGCATGGTCACAGCATGGTCACAGCATGGTCACAGCATGGTCACAGCATGGTCACAGCATGGTCACAGCATGGTCCCAGCATGGTCCCATCATGCCCCTTCATGCCCCTTCATGCCCCATCATGCTCTGCATTCGACTCTTCTCTCCCCACTCACCTGCTGCGGCATGCCATCTGCTTGCTGCACTCTTTCCCGCTGTGCTCTCACCTTGTGCTGTGTGCATGTGTTCTCCTGTCTGCCTGGATGTCTGTCTGCTTGCTGTGCGTTGGGCCCAACAGGTGCAATATTCCGAACGCTACACCTCTTTCCTCCACTTCCTCACCAACGTGTGTGCCATCGTGGGAGGTGCGTAAGAGAGCCTTTGGCCGCACTGTTTCGGTTTTTTCAGCCGCCCTTCCCCCCTGTTTCCATTTTGATTGTGATACATTTTCTAAGACTCCCCCTTCCTCCCCGCTGTGCTTTCTCCCTTTCGTGCAGGCATCTTCACTGTTACAGGCATGGTTGATGCCTTTATCTACCACAGCCAGCGTGCCATAAAAAAGAAAATTGATCTAGGGAAACTCAACTAATTTGTCAACATCTAGTGCCTCATTAGCAGCACTAGTTTTTGTGTGCCCTAGGCACAAATCTAGAAAGCTTTCATAGGCAATGCTAGGTTAGATGCCAAATCCGTACTAGTTCTGTAGGCTCCATGACAAAGCTTGTGCAAACTGCATAATTGATAAGAAGCATACATTCAAATTTTCAGTAAAGCTCATCTATCATAGATGCACGAGATTGGTTAGTGCGGTTTGATGTACATTTACGTAATTTATTTTTCTGGAGGCCTGTCTATAGGGGAGGCAATGAGGAAACTATATTTATGCCCCGCGAGATGGCTTTTCTCGTTCGTTATAATAGACAGCACTCGAGCTTCTTGCATGGCGAGCAACGCTCAACACGTGTCAGCAAGCCGTGCCGTGCGAGCGGGGCTGGAGCTGGACAGCCAGATCAGTCTCCGAGCCGCTATCATGGAGTTTCCAGCATCGCCAATTTTCGCCTCCGCTTCAAATCTCCCGCCCTGGGCGCGAACGCTCTCAGGACCCATTTCGCTTTCGCCTATTCCTTCAATAGTTGTTGGCGGTGGTCTTATCGCTTCCGAGCATTCGATTCCGAGTTCGCGTGATTCGAGCTGCTGCGCTGTCCCAAGGAGAGACTCGCGAGAGTTGTGCTACCGCGTTGTGAGCTGCTGCCGCAAAGAACGGGCTCGTGAGACTGTGTGTGTGTGATAAGCAGTCGCCGTTTGACCCGATCGTGAATGAAGGGCATGATGCAGGAGGTTAAGGAGGGTACGCAGGAGAAGGTGGAGGGGGCCAAGGCCGGCCTCAAGGAGTCTATCGAGTATGCCAAGGCGGACGTGAAGCAGACGTTTGAGAAGCTCAAGCACCCCATGAACAGGTGACCTTACGAGTGTTCCTGCGTGTTATTTTGACTATTGTTTTGATGTGCCTCCTGTTTTGAAATATCAAGAATTATTTTCTTAATTTGTGCGGTGCAGGGAGAAGAATCTGGAGGCCCGTGACGAGGCTTTTGAGAGGAAGCTGGAAGCAACGCGGGAGAAGCTGGAGAGGAAGGAGATCGCCCACGAGCGACGCCAAGAAGCCACTGAAGGTCCGTATTCATGCCCTTACCTCGTTCCTTCTTAACATGTATATATATATTGCAAATATATGTTTTATGCCCCTGAGTGATTGTACCTTTTTTAATGGCTTTCCTGCAGAGGCACTTCACAAGGTGCATGCCTCCAAGGCGGAGCAGGCGGCTGAGAAGGGAACGGCTCAGCACGGCGTGGCGCCAGGTGCTGCCGGTGCAACTGCTGCTGGCGCTGGTGCCGCTGGCGCTGCTGGTGCTGGTGCTGGCGCGTACGGTGCAAGCCACGAGCGTGAGCGTGGAGCAGGCTTGGGAACGCACGAGCGTGGCACTGGAACCGGTTACGGCGAGGCTGGCACCGGAAGGGAGGGCGTCGTGGAGAAGGCCAAGCACGCTGTGACAGGGAAGCCCTCTGCTGAGCGTCATGCCGAGAGGGGCACTGGGTATGGCGAGACTGGTACTGGTTATGGTGAGAGTGGTACTGGTTATGGTGCCCCTCACGGCGAGCGTGGGACTGGAAGGGAGGGTGTGATGGAGAAGGCCAAGCATGCTGTGACAGGAAAGCCTTCTGCTGAACGTCATGCCGAGAGGGGCACTGGGTATGGTGAGACTGGCACCGGTTATGGTGAGACTGGCACTGGTTATGGTGCTACTCACGGTGAGCGTGGGACTGGTGCTGGCTATGGTGCGAGCCAGGAGCGTGGTACTGGAGGCGAAGGCGTGATGGGGAAGGTGAAACACGCTGTGACCGGAAAACCCTCTGCTGAGCGTGGCACAGGTTATGGTGAGACGGGCACAGGTTATGGTGAGACGGGCACTGGCTATGGTGGCATTCACGGCGAGCGCGGGACTGGTACTGGGTATGGTGCTAGCCAGGAGCGCGGGACCGGGGGCGAAGGCGTCATGGGGAAGGTGAAGCACGCTGTAACTGGAAAACCCTCTGCTGAGACTGGCACTGGGTATGGCGAGACTGGCACCGGCTATGGTGGCACTCATGGCGAGCGTGGGACTGGCTCTGGCATGGGTACGGGAACTGGTTATGGTCATGGTGCTACTCACGAGAGGGGTACTGGTACTGGCGCCGGCTATGGCACTGGCACGGGTTATGGTCACGAGGGTGGTGCTGGCACTGGCTATGGTGCTGAGGGTGGTACAGCAGCAGGGACGGGTGGTGGTGGTGGTGGTATTATGGGGACGATCAAGAAGGCATTTACTGGATCAAGTGAGCCCACGGCAGAGCGTCCTGTCGAGACTGGACGCACTGGTACTGGCGGGCAGGAAGAGTATGATCCGACTGCCCCTGTTTTCATGAGGAAGTAGTTCCGGCTGAATGAGGTATTACGTAAGGAAGTTTGTGTACATTTGTATAGCATGCTAATGGTGAAGATGCTTGTAGCGGATGATGTGTTTTGATTTTTGCACGGAACCAGTGGCACGGTTCAGCGAATATGAACTATACCAAATCGCTTTGCAAAAAACACAGGATTTGACTCATCCTCTCCCAACGTGGTCCAAAGCGGCGCGGAGGGACCCTCCGCGCTGACCAATAGGAATGCAGGCGAAAGCCGCCGTTGGAGGTTTGGGATCGCACGGTTGTGTGATTGGCTTGGTTGATGCTTTCTGGTTGTATGCTTTTCTGCCTTCATACGCTAGGTCCAACTTCACCCTGGTCTATTGATCATCGGTGGTGTTCTCTAGGCACTGGCGGAGGGGGAGCGAGGGGAAATAGGAACCTTTCCCTATCTGCGTTTTTGGTTCGACACGTCGGTCAGCCCGTAAAACCGTGCCGAGCCACCTTTTTGCCCTCCGAACCAAAACGAACGTAAATGCCAAGAGAACGCTCATTTACCCTCAGGGATGTGCACCCCTTGGAAGCTGCACATTTACCCTCCTCACCTTCCTCCTCAGTGACTCCTCAGGAAGATTTTGCCTCCCTCGCCCCCCCTTTGGCAACCACTCTTCAGGGGGATTTGGGACAGATGTAAGAGAGGAGCTGGGGAAAAAACACCCATCGGAGCCTTCCCCCCCTCGTGCCCGAAATTTCCTACCGGTTGTAGCGGGAGGTGGTGATGCCAGAAGACACCCCTGGAACGATCATCATTTACATTCGCCCCCCCCACCTCCCCCCTCCGCAGGAGTCACCAGAACACCACCATTCTATCCGGTCTGGTCTGAGCTCTAGTCTGGTCTCTCTGATGTGTGTGTGACCTTTGGTTGCCAGTTCTGGACTCTAATTTCTAGGCTCAAGTCCGTGGTCACTTGCAGACATTTGTGTCTGTGGGTGATTATTGGCCATTTTTCAGTGGAATTACGGCCTCTCGACAAGTACTCACCTACTGAGCTTGCACTCCGTCAGGGGTCAACTGCTTTGACCGCACAATGGGTTCTCTCGATCTTTCTGGCGGTGCTGCATGGTAAGAAAACTCGACAGTGGCCGACACGAACTAAATCATGATACATGGCGAACACGTAGCATGACGCTTAAGACAAAAGTGTCGGTTGTGCGGCTTCGGCGAAACAAGTGATTCCGTCTGATTACCTATAAAACCCGATGCCAGTGCTTCATGAATGGACGGTTATTTTATGTAACGTGCTGCATTGATAGAGATGTGTTGCGAGTTCTGAAATCTTCATTTGTCTCGTCTCGCTCATAATGTGTCCGTCCTTCTTTGTCTGCTTCCCTCGCCTGCTCTTTCCTGTGCATTTCGCAGGATGGGCCGTGTGGTAAGCCCGATCAAAGCTCAGCGTTCTTTGGCCATGACCCCAATCGCTGACCTAATTTAATGCGCTGGGTCCTCCTTTTCATTTATCTGTGCTTCCCCGGTGCTCAAACCTTTTTACGTGTTGCTGGCATTGACTATCCATTTGTACTAACGTTATTGTATCGAGCTCCTCCTGTTCTCGTATTCTCCTTCCGCCAATGACAGAAGCCCTTTCTTTGTTTTGTTTTGTTTTGTTTTGTTTTTTTTTTTACTTCATTCGTCACTTGCCTTGATTTCAGGCCAGCTTATCCATTGGCTCCCGAGTGGCGGGTTTCGCGGGTCTCTGCGTCGCCTCCAATCAGGACGAGCAGGGCGCTCAGCGTCGGCGACGTGGCGCACGCCGATTCGCCGGACTGGTGCTGGTGTCGTCAGCCGCCGCTACAGCCCCACCCGCAACAGCCACCCCTGCTACTGCTGCCACAGGCGAGAAGAAGAGCTGCTGTGGAGGGAAGAAGAAGAAGGTCGAGGAGAAGAAAAAGAGCTGGCCGCAGATCATTCTGGGTAAGGTCTTCTGCTATCTGTTTTTTACGAATTCTCAAAAACAGTTTGAGAATGGTGAGTCGAAGAGCTGACCCCACATCATGTTAGGTTTTCGCCTTTTCTCTTGCTCGTCTCTGATAGACAGGACAACCAAAGCTCTGTGACTGAGTTCCTGGATTACTCATTCCTGGTGTATGTGAGACAGCTCAAGAGCATGCCATGTATCTGTGCCTTCCTGACACCCTTCCCTTCGCTTCCATTTGCTTCCCTCTCCTCCCTTCCCTGCTCCTCCCTAACAGAGGGAGCAGTGGCAGGTGGAGCGGCAGGTGTGACGGTCGAGACGGTCCTGTACCCCATCGACACCATCAAGACGCGCCTTCAGGTGAGCTGCACCGACCGACCGACCGACCGACTAATGCTGTGAATGGACCTCTTGCGAGGGCATTGTGTTAGCTCGCTCCTGAAAGAACCACCGTCAATTCCGGCCTACAGGAAAGAAGCATCACTGCATTTGCAGAAAGTGTTTTAAGGTTGGCAAAGGTGACTAGTTCTTGTCCACTGCTGCACTCGTAATGCGAATGCTGCTTACAATATCTCTGCCTCTGGCAGCCCAACAGCCCACTTCGGCTCTGTACCTTCCTCAATCATGCTCATCAATCATCTCTGTAGGTTACCCTTTCTTACTTTCAGAAAGGCCTGCCCTCTCTTACCCACCCTCCTTCACCCCCTGGTACCCCCATTTGTCTGCCATTCATCCCCAGGTGGCCAGCTTGGGAGGCGGCATCGACTTCAAGGGGCTCTATGGCAACCTTGTTGAACTCTTGAGTTGACTCATAGATGTTGCATGCTTGCCGTCTCTGCTTGCCATTCATCCCCAGGTGGCCAGCTCGGGAGGAGGCATTAACTTCAAGGGACTCTACTCTGTGCTCTCTGGCAACCTTGTTGAACTCTTGAGTTGACTCATAGATCCTGCATGCTTTCCCTTTCCGCTTGCCATGCATCCCCAGGTGGCCTCCTCAGGGGGCGGCATCAACTTCAAGGGGCTCTACTCGGGCCTCTCTGGCAACCTCATTGGCGTGCTGCCGTGAGTCCCCACGCTCGCCTCGTTTCTCTCCTGCTTATCCTGCCTCCTGCTCCTCCTCCTCCTCCTCCTCCTCCTCCTCCTCCTCCTCCTCCTCCTCCTCCTCCTCCTCCTCCTCCTCCTCCTCCTCCTCCTCCTCCTCCTCCTCCTCCTCCTGCTCCTCCTCCTCCTCCTCCTTCCCCCCCCCTCTCTCTCTCTGATCTCTATCTCTGTCTCTCCCTCTTCTTTCCCCTCCACTCTCCCAAGCTCTCGATCTCGACGACCCCCTTCCTGCTGGTAGTACAAAAGCAAGTTGCAACTGTTGTCCACACGTATCACCGCAAAACGAGTTTTAACGTCAAGCCACGTCACGTCACCCCAATTTTTCCCTCAATGAGGGCTACTTCAGCCGTGATCCACATGAGCCACGTCAGTCATGATCCTTGAGCCACGTCAGCCATGATCCTTGTGCCACGTCAGTCATGATCCTTCATCTTCAGTCATTGATTGAACCCTGCACCGTGCTGCACCCCGCCTTCTCATCTCCTCTTCCCCCTGTTCCATCCCTGCAGGGCGTCAGCTATATTCATTGGCGTGTACGAGCCAGTCAAGGCCTTCCTCCTCAATGCCCTTCCCGAGAACATCAGCGTTGCCGCTCACCTGGTGAGTCCTAGCCGTGCCACCCACTTCCAATTCTGTTCACTTCTCAAACTCACTACAAAAATTCCATTGAGCATTTTCTTGATTTCTTTATCTATGGAAGCACACGTTATCTTTACGTTTCATTGTATGTCTATGTTATGTTGTCACGTCAACGACCCTGTCTGTCTGTCCTTCCTGGCCGTGTTTCCAATCCCCCCCATCCAGGCAGCAGGAGCAGCGGGAGGCACAGCAGCTTCTCTCGTTCGAGTCCCCACTGAGGTAAGCTATGGCAATGCACTGTGTCCATGGTGCTCTATTATGGATGGTGCATCATGCACATCCATGATCGTCCTTTGTGATGATGCGCCATGGACATTCATGTTTGTCTATCACATGCACATCCATGATAGTCTGTTATGACCTGCCATGCACATACTTTCTCTTCTATGATGCTGCGCCATGATAGCCAATGTTGGTGCTCAGCAGTACTCGAGGTGCCTCTCTCTCTACACCAAAGCATGCTCTCCCATGCCCTGCCCTCGCACCGACCACCGCCAGGTGGTGAAGCAGCGCATGCAGACGGGGCAGTTCCCCACGGCAGTCAACGCTGTCAAGACCATTCTGTCTAAGGAGGGAGTCAGGGGGCTCTATGCGGTACGTTCCTCCTTTTATGCAGTACGTGCGCTCTTCTATGCCGAATGTGCCCTTTTTTATGCGGTGCGTTCGCCCTTCTATGCGGTACGGTCCCTCGGCAGCACACTCCAGTCACATTCCTTTCCCTGTATGGTTCGTTCCTTTCTAATGTTTTCGGGCTGCAGTGTTGTGTTTCGTGTTCGCTGTTAGAGGTACATAGATTTGCCTGTGTACCGTTTGGATTGTACAATCTATCCTTTGCTTATATTTTCCTAATTCACGTACTTATTTTTTTTCCACAAATGTGCTGATGCCACAGGGTTATGGCTCCTTCCTTCTGCGAGACCTACCATTTGATGCCATCCAGTTCGCCATCTACGAGCAGCTTAAGATCCAACTCAAGAAAACGGTGAGCCCCATATCCGATTCATAGGGTCCTAGTTGCTCGCCACAATGTCGGCATCGTTGCTACTAGTTATGCTGATTCTGCCAGATGTGTTATTTTGGTCTGTCCTTGCTATTGCTATAACCAAACTTTGTCCGTATACGTGCAGTCTTTGTGGCGGTAATGTTAACTTTATCTTTTGCTCCCGCTCCTTGTTTTGATGCTGCATGTTTTTGTTGGTGCAATAAATTCAGCTGAAGCGGGACCTTAAGGATCCGGAGATGGCAGTGGTGGGAGCAGTCTCAGGTGCCATCACAGGCGCTGTCACCACACCCCTTGATGTCATCAAGACTCGGCTCATGACCCAGGTGTGTCATCCTGCAATAATTTAGTTTCTTGATTGGGATTTTTTATGTTCAAGGGAGGTGCCTTTTTTGCAATATCTATGGAAAGATGCTGTCAGAAAAAGCAAATCTCTCATCACCGTGTGAGTTTTTGTGCGAATCCCCCTTCTTCCACCTTTCGAACACATTCACGCAAATCCAATGCAGGGGACGTCTGGGCAATACAAGGGCATCATTGACTGCATTCAAAAGACAGCAGCACAGGATGGAGTAGGCGCTCTCTTCAAGGTAGGCGTGATGGAGTCAGCAAGGCATGCTAGTCATGTTTCACCAGAACCACCTGCGCCCTGCTACTGTACATTACACCTTGTATTACTGTATGAACTTGCACTTTCAACCCACGCACACACATCGTACCGTATGCCTTCAACTTAACCCTTACTCCCAACTTGCAGGGTGTTGGCCCTAGAGTAATGTGGATCGGTATTGGAGGATCAATCTTCTTCGGAGTTCTTGAGAAGACAAAGCAGCTTATGCACAAGGCATACCACACACCTCCACCATCAGAAGCTTATTTCTAACCAGTTGCTGGTCACTTCCTGCAGTTTCAGCTCACGGCTTGCTCAGTAAGGAAATGGCATGTTTCTTTAGTGGACTTTCCAACATAACCAATGGATATATTTTAAAATGTTGATCAGGAGTTCTATTGCTCTTATTAAGGCTGTAAGTGCAAATGGAATGTTATAGGAGTTGAAACCCCAATCTTCTCACTCCATTCAAGACTACCACCAGCTGCCACAGCTTTCATCAACATCTCAACTTCTCCAATGAAATGATGGACGGCAATCAAATTTTTAAGCCCTACTCTCCCCAGCCTTGCTCAACCAGCATCTTGGACACAACCAACATCACCAGCCTAAACCATGTCCCCTCTTCTGCCAGCCAATGTAACACCAGCAGCTGCCCCTCATTACATCATCCCCAATATGAAACCTACAGCCTGAAACGAAGGATGCTGGCAGCTGCTTCAAGAATAGCTTCTTCCGATGAACGGTAATGAAGCCCCAATTCCTTCTCAGACTTACTCTTGTCAAATCTAGAAACGTTGCTCAAGTTCCGCCTCAATACCTCAAAGCTAAGAACCGGGTGGATAAATGACACTGCGTACATTAGAAGGTTTGGCATAGTGCAAGTGGGGACCCTAAAACCAGGATAGTTTTTTTGGATAATAGCTGCAGTGAACAAGCACAGGGGTGAGTAATTAGTGTCCAGGGAAGCACCTTAATTTACTGGTCACAACTCAGCAACGGGAAACGTACCTGCAATTTCTCGCATGTGCAGGGTGTCACCATTGCACAGAATGTATCGTCCCTTGGCAGAATTCTTCTCCAGTGCCAATGCATGAGCAAGCACAACATCATCAATGTGCACGATGCCAAAGTACAAGTCAGGGGCCATGAACATCCATCCACTCAGCAGCTCCTTTATAACCTGCATGAATGGAGGGAACACATAAATAAACAATTCAAACTGCCAGAATGTAAGCTCAAAATGTGGTGGTGTTCGTACACCGAGGCTTGTTCGAACATGCTCCTTTCGCGTAGCTTCACCCAGAACCAGGGCTGGACAAATGGTGACCAGATCGAACGCCCACTCTTGACACTGCATGTCCTCCACTGTCTTCCAGACATATTTTTCAGCTAGAGTCTTGCCCATCGGATAGGGATCTTTAAGGCTCAGGTCTTGGTTCCAGTCTGCTTCCGTTAGTACTTGACCTTTCTTGTTCTTGTAATCCATAATAGCTGCCACAGATGAGGTGAGCACCACTTTCCTGATGTGAAGCAAAACGGGGGTGGTTGGGAGGGGTGAGAAATAGCGCAGGAAAAAACAGCCGGAAGCGGATGAAGAGTTAAAGAAGGATAAGGCAGGAAAACAAACTGGCGTTGAGAGAGGAACTATGGGTGAAAATGGGGGAGGGGAGAGATTTGGGAACGGTTTTAAGAATGAAAGAAGATTAGGAGGTAGAGCTGACCTAGCTGTCTTATGCTTGAGGATGGAAGAAAACACATTTTTTGTGCCCTCAAGAGCTGCATCGACGATGGTCTGCGGATTCGGCGCTCTCATGCGAGCAATGGCAGCAACATGGCACACGAACTCGCATCCCTCAACTGCTTCATCAAAGCTTCCAGGATCAAGTAGGTTGGCTGAGAAGAGTTCAAGTTTCCCCGGCGAACCTTCAGCCTGCAAAAATGAAAGATTATGCCACAATCTTCAGGACAAAATATACTCAAGTCGTAGAATTTTGACATAGATACTTGCGAGGTCACGTATCCATGATGCCTTGGCGGCGTTGGTCGCGTCCCTGACTGTTCCTCGGACATGGTACCCGCGACTAACAAGCAACTTAACAAGATTGCTTCCAATGTACCCTACATGAGAGCAACATGGAGCACAGCGTTAATAAACGTGAAGAACGAGAGATGAATATGGACGGAAAGCTAGGCCAACAACATGACAGACCTGATGCTCCAGTGACGCAAACTTTTTTCCCTCGCCCCGGCAACGAGCCTTCCGCCATCTATGACTAACTTCCGGGGACTACCGCAAGCCGAATAAAAAAGGCCCACCATAGCTCCTTACAGTATCTGAATGTGGTCGAGGTAAGGAACTAAAGTAGCACCGCAGTTTGCCCCAAGCAATCCATGCTGCTTCCGATGCATGCTTCCAACACTAGCCGCTCCCGATCCGACGCATGCTTTCCAATGCATGCGCCGCGTTCTCTCGTGAAGGAGATGCGCCCCTTTTTTTTCGCATGAACAAGCTTTCAGGAAGGACGCCAGTTTCCAGTCTAGCCCGGTGCGCTTCTCGCAACAGCGAAAACTCACTCACGGGCTTGTGGGAAGATAGTATAAATTCTTAAAGGTAATATCATCAAATCAGCTGTACGCTAAATTTCAAATTATAAACAAGGGATCTGTTTATTCGAATATTAAAAAGCACAAAAACAACTATTACATGCAGATAGTATAACATGATCCAAAGCGGAAAGAGGTAGTCGTACAAGTAAAGAGGCCATGGTGATGCGGCTGCTGCTGTTGTCAATGCTGACACTACCACATGAAAGTGCACATGGCAAGCCATGGCACAGTGCGCATGTAGCAGTGGCAGCATGGGACCGCAACAGCAGCAGAAGCAGCAACAGGCATGCTAAATCCTAGTAGCATAAAAGTCTCCACCACATTCCCATCCAATCCAACCAACCCTTAACAGGCTGACCCTGCCTCCCACGATGCACAATCGCAGCACATTCTTCTTGAAGTCTCTTCCATGCATGCATACCCCTGGCTGGCTCCCAAACCAACTCCCATTCCCACCTCCCAACAGTCTGTTCACTGTTCCTGCTTCGGCAGGCCCCACACTGTCTTCACAGAGGTAGTGAAAACGCTAACCCAGATGTCCAGCTGCAGTGCCTCCAGCTTATATATTGATTCCATGGCTTGACAGACATGGACTCTGCTTCTCCTTGCCACGTCCACTACCCCGCCACTGGACCACCTGTCCGTCCTCATACTACTACATTTTTGCATCCCGGGAGCGATTAAATAGCTGCTCCTGTCCAGCAATAAAAGTATCTCCCTTTTCCTTCCCCAATTTCATGCACCTGTGCGTATGCAGGGTGCTCAGCGGGAACTGCACTTGCAGCTAACGCACAGCTATTAGACGTCGCGCGGCTCCGTACTCCCCACCTCCCCCCCCCCCCCCCCCCCACTTAATCCCGCCCTCCTCTTGCATTATTTCCGACGTCCGCCCTCAAAAACACTGCACTGTTACACCCTTGCTTGCTGCGACTGGCCCCTGCTACCTATTGCTGCTTCAGGCTTCTGAGTCTGACCAGTAGAAGAAACGTGATGAAGCGAATCAGCAGCCCAAACCCTAACAGCACCAGCAGGTTCAGCCACATATTCAGGTCTGGTTGCCCAACCAGTGTCGTCATCAGCTGCTGCCCGTCCTGTAGGCAAGTCCCTGCCGAAATGTTACTGTACGGCGTACCCGTCAAAAGCGTCCTCATTCCCAGAAAAGCTTTGTTCATCGTTGTCTCGTTAACATACGGCTGCAGCGGAGTGTTATCGAACATGCTTCCGGCGGCTATGTAGCAGGGTCCCCCGTGGGTGAATTCGCTTTGGATAAGCGCCTCGTACGCGTATTTCATGGGCGAAAGGTAGTGTAGCCAGATCCAGTAGTTGGGGATGCTGTATTTGGGAATGTAGAATCCGCTAACGAGAGCGAAGTATGCCATGAGCGCGATTCCAGCGGCGTAGGCGAGCACAACGCTGTTTAGGGAAAGGAAAAGAGACGAGAAAAGCAGGGAAAGGGTTAGCAAGTATTCGGTGGACGAGCTACGAGGGGACTTAAGTGGGACGACAGCAACAGCAAAAAAAGAAAAGAAGCGAACTTACTGGTCGACGACGACACTGATGGCGATGGCGAATGAGCTGGCGGAGAAGAGGATGAGGAAACACGTCAGCAGCATGAAGAAGAACCCCGCCGCGCCGCCAGTGAGGTTGACCGCCCACCAGTTCTCCAGTACGAAAATCGACGCCATGGCGAGCTGGAGCGGCAGGTACACGAGCGTGGTCGCGACGAGGTAGGTGGAGGGGCGGTAGGCGTTGCGCGTGGTTTCGCGAATGAAGATGTTGCGCTCCTCGATGAAGATGGGCACGGCGTCCAGGCAGCAGAAGAAGAGCACGCAGATGGAGAAGGAGAAGAATGCCAGTCGCTCCTGGAAGCCCGACAAGCTGACGACGCGGAAAACGGGGAGAGGAGGAAGGACGATAAACGGTTAGAGCACACAGATGAAGGAAGCGGAGAAATCCGTGTGCCGCAAAAGAGACGATAAGAAGAAGAAAAAAAATAAAATGTCTCTAAAAGACAAAAAAAAGGGAACACACACAAAAGAGAGCACAAACCAGGCGCGCGCCGCCAGTTCGGGCGCACTCATGCGAACACATCGAACCAGTTTCGCTCAAATCGTTGGCTTACCTCTCGTCTGGGTTGAAATAGAGCGTCGCGAGCATGAGACCCGTCACCGCCACCAGTGCGAGGCGCAGGAGGTAGAGAGCCGGCGTGCGCCATAGATTCAGCGCCGCGCGTTTCGTGATAACCATCAGCTCGCCCATCCACCCGTTGGCGTACCGCCGCGTGTCCGCCACCGCGCCCTTGTCCTCCGCTTTTTCCCCGACTATAGATTTCTGCGCGGTGATCGCGGCGGCGGATGCGGCGGCAACTACGGCGGCATCGACGGCGGGATTTGCGCAGCCGTCGATCTGCACGGCGACAGCGCCATCGGCGGCATCAGCGCGGCAAGAGTTTGCCTCAGAAGTGCATTGAGGGGCAAGAAGAGCGGCGGCATCCTTTGCGACGCTCGTTTTCGTGAGCGACGACTGAAGGGAGTCTTGCGACATGTGCGACAACTGCTGGTACGATGCGGCGTATGCGACAAGATCCGCGACCCCACGCTCCGACCGCTGATAATCCTCGATAAGATCTAGGGCGAACTCGGTGCTATTAGCGAACTGCGGCACGGGACAGCCGAACGACGCGAGGAAAACCGGAAGCTGCGGAGGCGGCCCGTGGAAAATAGTGTGCCCCGACGCGAGGAGCAGCAGACGGTCGATTAAAGACAGCACGCGGAAACTAGGCTGATGCAGGACCATGATCGCGATGCTGCCGGTCTGCACGGCGATGTCTTTAATCGCCCGCACGACGCGGTACGCGCTGGTGGAGTCTAGACCGGACGTGGGCTCGTCAAGAAAGAGGATGCGCGGATCGCTCACCATCTCCACTCCGATCGCCACGCGCTTGCGCTCGCCGCCGGACACGCCGCTGCGGGGGAGAAAGCCAAGGGGGAGACGCGAGAAGGAAAAACGATGAGGGAGAATACAATGAGGAGAAGGCGAATGGCGGTGGTGTGCAGGATGAGCAAGTTATAGGACAATGGCGAAAATAAGAGTTAGCGAAATACACCGAAAGACACCAAGATGCACCGATGCGGGGGAATGAGAAATACACCACGGGGTAAGCGGAGAATGAGAAACTATTCTTCCCGTCTTACCGTTGGCTTTCGTTTCCGATGAGCGAGTCGGCCACCTTGGTGAGACCCAACAGCTCCAACAGGCTCTCCACCTTTTGCTCCTTCTCCTCCTTCGTCACTCCGTTCGCCGCGAGCCTCAACTCCGCCGCGAACATGAGCGTCTCGCGCACGGTCAGCGCGGGGAACATGAGGTCGTCCTGCATCACGTACGCCGACATGCGCCGCATTGTACTCCCGCGAACCACTGCGCCGTCCAGCTCCACCGAGCCCGACCGCCGCTCCTTCGCAATGCGGTGCGCGAGGATGTTCAGCAGCGTCGTCTTACCCGAGCCGCTCGCTCCCATGATGGCTGTGACCTCGCCGGATCTCGCAGCGCCGTTGATATCGGCAAGAATCGTACGGGTGTAATGCTTCTTCATTGCCAGCTGTCGAGAAACAGAGCTCATCCTGCTGCTCGCTCGGCTGACGCTGCTACCATCGCTCACTCCAGTCCCGGCTTGACAAACGCTTCGGCTGCTCGCGGCGACACTTCCGGCGTCACTCCCGCGCTTACTGCGCGTAGAGACGGTGTAAGACACGTGGCGAAAGCTGAGCTCCATTGTCCTGGCGTAGAGTGGTTTCTTGAGCATGCCGTCTTCGGATTCGTCTACCGAGCCGCAGTCAATCTCCACATGATCCGATTCTGATTCGGTTGATGATGCGCAGGACGACGACGACGAAGTTCTTGAGGCCGACACGCGATCCGGCGAGGAGTCTTCGGAGTAACGCATTTGATAGGGGATGCTGACGGCGGTGTCAGCGGCGGGAGACGCGGCGTCGTTGGTGGGGGGGTCTGGGTGGAGAGGCGCGCAATGCGGAGGCGGCGCTGCTGGAGGAGAAGCGTTTTGCGTGTCCATTGTGCGAAACTGGGGAATGGCGCGTTTGGTCAACTACTAGGGGATCGGTAAGTTGACGATATGTTGCGGATACTTGGTAAATGTGATTATATAAGGTCTCAGACGCTGAGAAGGACGTGGATCCTTCAAGCTTCTCGGCACGAAATGCGAATGCTTTACCAACAATGAAGAAACAACACTGGCAGCTCTCACACCAAAATGCGGCTGTCTCTTTTCTCCAGCCGTCTCCCAAGCGGTCTCTCTTCCAAACTGGGTGCTTCGGGGGGTGGTTGAGCTGCAGCAGCTGCTGTGCTGGCTGGTATAAGTGGAAGTGGTGGGGCTGCGATTCTCGCTTGAAATGGGAGGAAAACGCCCAGCTTCAATCCAAAGTTATGCCAGGATAGTGAGCATTTCCTGCATCGTGGGGTGATTATAGTCCGGAAGTCCGCAATTTTCCATTCGCGTGACCCAGGCAGCGAGGTAGGGGAGGAAAGGACGAAGGAAAGGAGGGAGGTATGGAGGAAGCGTGGGGGAGGGGGGGGAGAGTGAGGAGGAATAGTACAGAACGAGGGGGTTGTTGAAATTGCCTTGCTGGATGCGCGTTGTCGCCGAAATCTCTTCCCAAGCCTGTTGTTGCTTCACAAACGAACTGAACCTAACCAAACCAAACCAAATGTGTCTTGTCGCACCGAACCTCACCTCATTCCAAGACCGCGGGACACAGCATACCAAACAGCCGTGTGACCTCTCCTCTCCTCCCTACATTATCACCCCTAAATTTCTTTTCCCGACCTGACCCCCAACCCCGTGCTTCCCCCCTGCCCTTCCACAACGAGGCGCGGCGAATGCGGTGGTTCCTGGTTGGCTGCAGCGAGCGCACGTTGAACGGCGTGGGTCTTAGGGCTTCGTAAAACGAGCCTGTCGACAAACCACATCGATCTGGACGAATCAGCGGAGAAGGGGGAGGGAATTGGTGTTGGATGGTTTTGACACCATTCCATGGTTTTGTACCGTGGAGCCGCAGTTTGTAGATACTGTACGATATGGCTGCCAGGGAAACGCGGTGAAAACGATACAGTAAGAGAGGACGACTATTTCGGGCAGAAAGAGATGCCCATGACTGGGATTACACTACACCCTGTTTCGCGCCACACTGACATTCGCCATATTGACGAGCCGGTTGTACTGACATCAACGCGTCCAAATTGGCCCCAGAACATACCATATAAGCACATTTACCGCACGCAACCAAACTCAAAAGCATGTTGTTTTTCAAAACCGTTGTCTACCGTTCTCCTGAAGTGCATTTCGGTTTCAAGCACCAGCCCGCTGAATCCAAGCACACGTGCGCACTGTAGCCGGGGCTCCCGATTGTCCGAACATCGAGAAACAGGGTGTACAGAGTTTCATACCTTTTCGGGGATCGGGACTTGTTGAAGCAGAGTGTCCAAAACGAAAATTGAAGAAAATCTGAACACCCAACGAAGCCTACGTTGAATTGGGCAGAAAACACCACCACGATCTGTACAGCTGTATGGTCTTGAAAACCACCACCGTCTTTCGCTGGTTCCTCCAGACCGCCAACGCAATCTCGATTTTCGACATGGCTAAGCCGATTCCACCAATCACAATAGGGGGCCCTGGTGTATCGTGTAGTGCCTGACCGCAATGACAGGTTGGCTGGCGCAGTGGTGGGCGATATCCACCATAAAACACGACCGCATACACGTGTTCGCACTTGATAATAGTACAGTGACTTGACATGTAAGCGAGTTACCTGATGGTCCATGTACATTTACCGGTAGGTAGCATTGAATAAGCACACTAACATTATTCTAGCTTATGGGGTTCACTTCAGCTCTTACATTTAAGACAAAAATGTACAACCGACTCTGGCATGCAAATCATCCCATTCCACCACGATATAGATGGTAAGTGAACACATACCGTATGACACATGAACAACTGATACACACAAGGTACACAAACAAGAGATCACCATTGAGGCATCACAAAAAGCACCCAGCTCTCCAGTCAAGCGAGAAGCTTTTAGGGAGGCCCCCTGGTGGTCTTCGGTCGAAGAAGCACAACTGCCCATTGATTGTCTCATGTCCACACTACACTACACTACACTACATCCCAACTAGCACCACTTATTCCCAACAAGAAATCGCCAACCACAGCCCGCTCGGCCTCCACAACAACACCGTACTGCTTGCACCTGCACAATATCTCCAGTCAAATACTGCCAACACCACCATCACCAAGTGCGATCCAACCTCCATCATATCCCTCCTTGTCTGTCCCCCCTTTCCTCAGGGCCCTCCTGCAATGCATATGAGGAGGTACCCAGCTTACCCCCAAGCTCCCCTTCAGTGCCCCCTCAACCTTCAACAGACTGAATACAGTGAATCCCACCTAAGTGCACAGACACTGCCAGTTCAAACAGAGCGCGCTTTCAACATCTCCTTTCAGGGTCAGTTAAGGCCTCCCCTCACTCACCCTCGCTTGGTACGAGACAGCCTCACCAGCAGCAGCCAGTGCAGCAGGCGCAGAACACACCCCATCCCCATCAGCACCGCCACACACTCCCACTTGCTCATCTGCATCAGCCCCAGCGAGTACACCGTCTGCAAGCATGTTCCCTCGCACAGATCTGCATACGGCGACCGGGCCAGCGCAGGGCGAAGCACAGACGCTGCCAGTTCAAGTTACTTCCTCCCAATCACCCTCGCTTGGTGCGGGACAGCCTCACCAGCAGCAGCCAGTGCAGCAGGCGCAGCACACACCCCATCCCCACCAGCACCGCCACACACTCCCACTTGCTCATCTGCGTCAGTCCCAGCGAGTACACCAGCAGCTGCGGCCCCGTCTGCAGGCACGTCCCCACCGACAAATCCGCATACGGCGACCGTGCCAGCGCGGGACGAAGAACAGCCAGAGACTGATTCACCTGAGCAGGCGAGAGGAGCACGGAGAGAGGCGTGGCGGCGAAGAGATCGCCTGCAGGCTGGTAGCAGGTGGAGGGGCCGGCTGCGGCGAATTCGTTGAGCGTGACTGCCTCGTAGGCGTACTTGACCGGTGAGAGGTAGTGCAGCCAGATCCAGAACGGTGGGATGCTCTGCCGCTGGATGTAGAAGCCGCAGACGAGGGCGAAGTTGGCCATTGTGGAGATGACTATAGCGTAGGCGAGGATGACACTGTGGTGGGGGGTAGAGGAGAGGAATTGAGGAAAGAAGAAAAGTCGTTGAGTGAACTGATGGTGGTGGGGAGTTGAGCCTGGTGGTGGAGATGGCATGGTGGAGGCGAGACGACTCCATGGCAATTACAATGAGGGGGGTCGAGAATGGGGGACGGGAAGGAAGGGGAGCAAAAGGAGAAACGAGGACCACAACCGCAAAAGGAGCTTCATGCACACTCAATTTGAAGCGCTTCGCATCACTCACTTGTTGACAGCAGCGCTGACGAACGTGGCATAGGCATTCCCAGTGAAGAGGCAGCAGAAGCAGACAAGCACCACGAAGCCAAAAGAGGATACCCCGCCAGACAGGTTGACACACCACCATGATTCGGCAGTGATGGCGATGGCCATGAGCACGTGCAGAGGCAGGTACACGAGCGTCGACGCCACCATGTATGTGGACGGCCGGTAGGCATGCTGCGATGTTTCCCGGATGAAGATGTTACGCTCCTGCAGATGGTGATGGGACAGTTGGAGAATACAGGTATGGGTGAAACGGGGCAGAAAGGGGTGGAAGGGGGTGAAAAAGGATGAGGCGCCACCAAGACTTGAGCTGGGAGTGATGAGCTGCCACCAGGACTCGTGATGGTACACGAGTGTCGACGCCACCATGTATGTGGACGGCCGGTAGGCATGCTGCGATGTTTCCCGGATGAAGATGTTACGCTCCTGAAGGTGGTTAGGGAGGAAAACGGGATGCAATCAAGGGATGCGAAGGGGTGGGAAGGGGTGAACAATAAATTGTGGGAGCATTGAGCCTGGCAACATGATGCGCCACCAGGACTTGGCATGGCAGTGATGCTGATGGCCATGAGCACACGTAGAGTGACAAACCAGGCCGTACCTGGTAACACACAGGGGGCACACACGGTAGCACCTGGCACACAGGGGGCTCGGGGCACACTGAATTAGCTGGCCAGGGCGAGTGCCAGCGACCTGGCACAGGGGGGACGGAGCCTCCTCTTGAGGTGCCTCATAAGCTGGTACAAAGGGTGCTCGGCGCAGGTCGTACAAGCTGGCCTGGAGGAGTGCCAGCGACCTGACACAGGGGGGACGGAGCGTATGGGCTCACCTGGATCAATACGGGCGTGGCGTGGGCGGAGGAGAAGAAGAGCGTACACACGAGGAACGAGATGAACAATTCTGAGCTGACTCACAAGGGGCTGAGACAGAGCGTATATGCTCACCTGGATGAAGAGGGGAGTGGCGTCAGCGGAGGAGAAGAAGAGCGTGCACACGAGGAAGGAGATGAACGCCAGCCGCTCGTGCAGCCCCTCCGCGCTGAAATTTGGTTCGAGGGAGCGCGGAGAGGGTTGGGGGAGAGGGCGGGAGAGGGGGGGGGAAGAGGGAGGGGAAAGGGTGGGGAGCGCGGAGAGGAACGGGAGGGTTAGGAAAAGGGAGCAGGGGGGCGAAAGAAAGGAGAAAGGGAAGGATAGCATGCAACGAAGAGTGGTAACCAGCAGAGAGGCAGACTCGGGATGTACATCAAACAGGGCGTAGCAGACATCAGTAGGCCGCAAAGCTTGCAACATTGGCCACCTAAACAAATTTCGCATGAGACTCACTTGAAGGGCGGGCGCTAGAAGAGTGTCGCGATAAGCAGCCCGGTGACCATGGTGAGCAGCAAGCGATGATGAGGGCTAACCGCTTAGACAAACCCATGATCAGGCTCACTTGCAGGCCACACGCCACTGACTCTGTGACACGCGGGGACTCACTTGAAGGGCGGGCGCCAGAAGAGCGACGCGATGAGCAGCCCCGTGACCATGATGAGCAGCAGGCGCAGCAGGTACAGCGCGGGGGTGCGCGCAATGACGCGCACGGACCGGCTCATCAGCACGAGCAGCTCCCGCCACCACCCGTTCGCGTACTTGCGCTCGCCGCAGTGCTCCGCCTGAGAGCCCGCGCAATCGCGCTCCGCGAGATGCTGTAGCTGCGCCGCATCCGCTCTCTTGTGCTCCCCAAGGAACCCCATCTGTGCGTTGGCACCGTCGCCGCCCCCGCAGTTAATCTCCGCCACTCGAACATCCGGCGAAGCACCTGAAGTAACACCTGATGAGGCGCCTGTAGGGATAGTGACCATTTCATTCGCGCTCGCCGCGGCCGCTGCAGCCGCCGCCGCGGCCGCTGCAGCCGCAGTTCTAGCAGCTACAGCCGCGGCAGTCGCGGCCGTCATAGCAGCCTGATCCGGGCTGAAGCACGTAGAGGGGCTACTCGGAGGGATGGAAAAACTCTCGCCGCCCTCGCTACTGCCGCGAGAAGAATCGCCAACACCATTGGAGCCTCCTTGTGACCAGACGGTATAGAAGTCGGCTAGCCGTTGGATTCCGTCTCTCTCGTCCGCCAGATTCGCCGCCTTCGTCTCGCCGTCCATCTCCTTCTCACCATCACAGCAATTGCCGGACGGTTGCCTGGCCAGAGATGCATCTGTCCTTTTCGGAGCAGCTTCCGCTGCCACGTGGCACTTTATAATCTCGGTACCATCCACGTCATACTCCTCCTCGTCATCATCCTCGCCGTCCACGTCGTCGCCGCGCTTTGCGCCTCCCTCCGTTTCGTGTCCCAGCCGTTGGATCACATCCAAAGCGAATTCTGTCGGGTTCGCGAACGGCGGCGGCGGGCAGCCGAACGCGGACAGGAACTCGGGCAGCTGCGCGGGCTGCCCGAAAAACAACATCCGTCCCGCGCCGAGCAGCAGCAGCCGATCCAAAAGTCCCAGAAGGCGAAAGCTCGGCTGGTGCAGAACCATCACCACAATACTCCCCGTCCGCACCGCGATTCTCTTAATCACTTTCACGACTCGGAACGCGCTAGTAGAATCCAGGCCCGACGTGGGTTCATCCAGAAACAGAATCTTCGGATCGCCAATCATTTCCACGCCAATCGCGACGCGCTTCCTCTCGCCGCCGGAGATGCCGCGGTTGTTTTCGTCGCCGATTTTGGAGTTGGCGACCTTCGTGAGGCCGAGCAGGCGAATGAGGCGTTGCACCTTCTCCGCCTTCTCCGCGCGGCTAACGCTCGGCGGAAGCCGCAACTCCGCCGCGTACATGAGCGTCTCCCGGACCGTCAGCGCGGGAAACATCAGGTCGTCCTGCATCACGTACGCCGACAGCCGTCGGATCGTGTCGCCTTTCACCGGAGCGCCGTTCAAGGAGATCTCTCCAGTAAGGTTGCGCGAAGAGATGCGGTCCGAGAGGACGTCGAGGAGCGTGGTTTTTCCCGAGCCGCTCGCTCCCATTATCGCCGTGAGTTCGCCAGCCTTCGCGAACGCGGAGACGTCGCACAGAAGCTGCTTCGTTACGCGTTGCGATTTTGGTTGCAGGAGTTTCTTGCGTTGAACCGTGTAAGAGACACCGTGGAAAGCAAGCGAAGATATCGGCTGCGCGGAGCTGACAACCGGCGCGACGAAAGGCGGGCTCCCTGCTTCCGGAGCGACGTCTACTGTGAATGTGCATTGCCGCAGGGCTGCACTTAGTGAGAAGTAGGGATCATCTGCTGCTGCCATTTTCCTGATAAGACGCAAGTATAGGGGTGAGTGGCTAGAGCTGCTTGCGTCCGTCCGTTTGTGAAGAAGTGTGTGAGAGTTGGAGATTTAGGCGAGAAGTGCGAGACTACCGTGCTGCTCGCGTTTCAAAAAACACTACAAAAGTGAGTGAGGTGGAAGGCAGTGGTTGCGACTCGATTTACAGGCTGTGTTGACAACGACCTCGGCATTTGCTAACTTTCGGCCCTGAAATTCGTTAACTCTCGGCTTGGTCCTCGGTATTTGCTAACGCTGGTCTAGGTAATTGCGAACTTCCTTGCATATACCTCGATGTTGACAAAGCTGATGCCATCAAGACTGCAAATCTAGAGAATGCACCGCCTGCCATCTAATTCCTAGGCTGCGGCGCACTATCAAGGAGCTGCCGCATGAAACGGATGTCCCTTCCGCAGTGGCGGAGATGCAGGGTGAAACAAATGGGGGAGGGCTACATTTGATTGATGACCTCGCAACGCAAGTGGGAGGGGAGCGGGATGAATTGCGGAGGGGGCGCAGTAGAAATACACGCGGGGAAAGGGGAAGGAGGGGATGTGGGAATGGGAAGAGTTTCGGTTCATTCTCTAGATTTCTGTTGCGGTGTGACGGTGCTGTGCTGGAAAATTTGTGTCGGAGCGGAGCCACCTAAACGTCAAAGTGATGCCGATCGGACGGCTAATAAAGAGCTTGCTGAAGACCCCGTGTGCGACAAGCGGTCCACGTGTATCGTTGGGGTGTCTTGCGTGCTGTGCGCACAGGCGGGTTGCTGGGCACGCGCCGTGAAAACATTTCGGTTCGACATGCAAATGTCAAAATCAGTGGTGGTGGGTGTGGGTGGGAGAGCCGCACAGCACATGTCAGAAATCTGGGCTGAAACTTCCATTTGGGGCAGCTGTCTCCTGCTGCAGGGAACCTCGAAACGCTGGGACATAGTTTGCCCTACGAGTGTCGGTTTGTGTTGTTGGCGGGAAGGAATTGGTGAAAAATAGAGGCTGGATTGATGGATACTTGTTGACCAGCAGACGCCTAGAAGGTGTCGATCAGAAGCAGGAAGTTGGCACATGACATGACCCAAAACGCTTTTTCAGTTTACGTACCAGTACACAGAGCGTTTGACACACAGTAAACTGAAAAAGCGTTTGAGACAATGACAAGGCGTGTACCCAAATTTCTCAAAAGTTTTGGGCAAAGGGTGGCCAGTGGTCAGTATCAAATCGTACACGTCACATTCCTAGATGATGGCGCTGCCCACGTCAGGCCGAATCGCCTCTCATTGGATGCGGTATGGAGTTGCTGGCATCAAGTTGAAAAATCCTCTCTAGAAGCAGGCACCATTTTGACAGTAATGTTCGGTGAAATGCGAATACTTCACGTAACAGTAATGTCGAGTATGAAACACATGCAGTCCATGTATAACCCCCATGGAAACCATGTGACAGTAAGTTCCAGCCCAACAGTGCTATGGCTGGTAATCTCTGACATGCAGCTATTTTTCCCTGGCTGAGTTTCGGGAATTCATGACGTGCTGCTAGTCGAATGAACCTTTCAGAATCGCTTGCTGCTTGCTGGTCACATCGATAGCCTCTGATTCGACGACATGCCTGAGAACGAACGGGCGATGATAGGGTAGCGTCGGTTTGCCCGTCACCCGTCGCCTGTCAGCATGCACTTTTCCGACATGCACTGCTGCTGGTCACCGAGACAACTGCCCTTGAATATCACATCGGAAAGCGACGTCGCTCTTTGCCTGTCATGTCGAATCTTGAACCGCTTCAGACGATTACCCTAGAGGTTCCCCTCCTCTACCTGCCTGAAAGTATCACAACGGAGCATGCCGTCTTCCTGCCTTTCATTCCGCCTCGTGACGACGAAACAGTCTACATTGTACTTTCGGTGCGCTTTGCGGAGTGCACTGTACCAGCGTCGCGATCACCACAAGGTTCCAGAATCATCCAGTCGGTCAAATCTGACCGTTGGTTAATGCTCTTGAAAGTGACGTGCGGTGCAGATGGTGCCATCCGTCTCTTGGATGACCAGTGAGGTTGGAATCACCGCCTCCCCGGATCAATTTCCTTCAGCGTGCCCCACCCACATGGCGATGTTCGCCAATCGCTTTCGCCAAGTGCACTTGCACGGAATTATCGAACCGCGTCGCTCCGCATGGAAGAGAGGCGATACGCGAGACGGGAGCGATGCGTCCACCGGAGCATGCGAGAGGCGATATAATTGAGGAGAGGGCCGACCCATTTGTCGCATGCATTGACTGCTTCCGTGAATTCAGCCGCAGAAAGCACGGCCTCGTTCGAATTCCCATTTCCATTGAATCGCTCGACATCCTGCGTGCTGCTCGCTGCTGCGCTCGTCTACTGAAAGAAGCCTGGCCATCTTCGTCCGTCGCTCTCCGCCGCTGCTAGCCTCGATTCCCTCGATCGAAACGCCCAGATCAGCACCCTCCACCCACCACTTCCCACCGCACTCCACCCCACACCCAAGAGCGTCCACGTCTTTCCAGTAGTACTTGTGCCGCTAGCCCGAGCACACATGGCTCCTAACGTCGCTGCAACAAGCAGCTTTCCTTCCGGCGCCGTTTCCGCCGCCAGTGTCGCTCCTTCCATGCCCTCCGCCAAGGCCGCGGCTGCTCCGTCTGTAGAGATGCGTGCGCTGCACGCTAACCGGCTCAAGCTGGTCCCCGGCCCTGCTGACGTGGCGGGCCACCCGCGCAAGTGGTCCCCACCGCCGCCGCAGGACGGCATCCCATTGGACGAGCGCCCCGAGTGGCTGCGCGACGAGGCGCTGCCGTTTCTGGAGCTGTTCGCGCGCAACGTGAGGAAGTTTCCGAGCAAGGCGGCGGTGACGTGGGTGGAAGAGAAGGGCGCGATCAAGCAGTCGTACACCTATGAGGAGGTGCGTGCGTGGATGCAAGGCATTTTTCTCATAGGCAGACCGTTGGTTTTTTTCCAAAAGGGGACTTCTGTGCATGTACAGCCGGACGCGGGTGCAAGGCGTCGCTAGCAGCCATGGTAGCTTCCCACTGAGATGTATTCGTCACCTTCCATCTCACTCCTCTCTCCTCTCCCCCCCCACCCCCCAACCCTTCCTTGCTTTCCGTCCCTCATCCCCCAACAGCTGGATGCACTGTCACGCGCCGTGAGTGCATCGCTGGTGGGCGAGTGGGGGGCAGCGAGGGGCGACCGAGTGGTGCTGCTGTACCCGCCGGGCCTCGACTTCCTCATCGCCTTCATCGCATGCCTTCGCTCTGGTGGGTGCCCTTAGCGCATGAGAGCGTGTGTGATGTGACATGTGCGGTGTGGGGTGTGGAATGGGCATATGGCATGTGACCGCGGGGCGACCGAGTGGTGCTGCTGTACCCGCCTGGCCTCGACTTCCTCATCACCTTCATCGCCTGCCTGCGCTCTGGTGGGTGACGTGGCATGTGATACGTGGCATGTCGCATGTGGAATGCCATGTGCCGGTGACATGTGGCATGTGGTGCGTAACTGTGGCACGGGTCATGGGGCACGGGGCATGGGAAAACGCTCTCCCTTACTCACCTCACCTCAAACCCCCTTAGCGCCTTTCCGCGCTCCCACTGACCATCCTCTCCTCTCCCCTTGAGCACTGCAGGAGTGGTAGCGGTGCCAGTGTAGCCACCCAACCCCCATGAGCTGAAGAGGGACGTGGAGAAACTCAACCCTTCCCCCTCCTTTCTTCCCTCCCCCCTTCTGTCCACCCTCGTTCCTGACGGTGCTGCAGGAGTGATCGCGGTGCCAGTGTACCCGCCCAACCCCCGTGAGCTGAAGAGGGACGTCGAGACGCTCACTCGTTCCTCGCCCTTCCCCCTCACTCCCCCTTCTGTCCACCCTCTTTCCTCTCGTGCTGCAGGGGTGATAGCGGTGCCAGTGTACCCGCCCAACCCCCGAGAGCTGAAGAAGGACGTGGAGAAGCTCACTCGCCTTGTCAACGACTGTGGGGCGCGCATTGTGCTCTCCACGTCCGAGTAAGTGCACCCCTCTGAGAGAGTCCGTGCCTGCTGCTCGCAGGCAGTGCTGCTGCTGCTGCTGCTGCTGCACTATTACTAGGTCGCCAACTTGCACTTCCCCAGCCATTAATTCTCAGCAACTCGTATCTGTCTCAACCCTTGGAAATCTAACTGTGGAGTGCTGACACCTGGCATCCCTCTCCTCTCCCCACCATGCTCCCTCATTCATCCCATCAGGTATCGCTCCAAGATCCGCCTGTCACTGCTGAAGCTCGTGCGCTGGCCAGGAGAGCACTGGTACAACACCGACGGCATCAAGCCTCTCAGCCGCAACGCGGACGAGAATGGCAACAGCAGCAGCAACGAGAATGGCACTGGCAGTAGCAGCAGCGGTGATGATGAGATCGCGTTTCTGCAGTACACGTCCGGGTCGACTGCGGATCCCAAGGGCGTCATGATCACGCACACCAACATCGCCCATAATGTCATGTTCATCCGCAGGTGCGTGCTGCACCAGAAAATGTATGTTCAGCCACATGTGTGTGCTGGTCTGAAAGATGAAATCTCTTGTTTAGGAGGGAATGAGGAGATTATGGCGCAGGGTTGTATGGAGATTGTGGTTCACTGGTATTGCTTGTAACACAACACGGTGACTCAAACACGTGTTTCCCTGTGGCCTCTCCTCGCCTGTCCTTCCAGGACCCTTCGCATGCATTCCGGGATCCGCTTCTTCAGCTGGCTTCCTCAGGTGAGCTTCTTCTTCTCTTGCTGTTAAAGCCGGTAGCCCAAATTGCACAAGTCTTAAAAAGATGACGAGAGGGAGTTTTTGAGGTTTGGGTTTTGGCGAGTGTTTTTTATTTCGTCAAATTCGTTTTTTTTCGCCAAACCCAAAAGGCCCCTCGATTTCTCCCTAGTGAGTGTGTTGGACTTCAAAAGTCCCAAATTGCACCTGCGGTACCTTTCAAAGCTTGAACAGGGCACTTCATCAAGTTTTAAAACCTTGACCCGCGCGGCCCACAATTTGGGCCGCGGGCTTTAACCAGGTGACTTTTGAGTCGACCCAAGAGTCACCTCAATACAGGCTGCTTGTGCTATTGACAGGAGGAAGTGTTGACCTGTATGTACAGGTGCACATCACATGTGCATCGTATCGCATACATTGCATGTGCGCACTCATAGCAAGCGGGTGTCACCCATTTCCCTCCTCCCCCTTTCATCACCTTTCATTCCTCCTCCCTCTTCCATCCCCCCTCACCCCCCCCAACAGTACCACGACCTGGGGCTGATAGTGGCGTATCTGAGCACGCTCACAGCGGGCGGCAGTGGCGTGTACATGTCGCCCATCGACTTCATCCACCGCCCCGCCTCCTGGCTGCAGTGGATGAGCCGCCTCAAGGTGAGCACAGGCACAAGTTCGTTCCCTCCAGAGATACCGCCCCTGTTTCTTGAGTCGCCTGTTTTCTGTGTGCCCTGCCCTCAGCTCGTTCTCCCCTTCTCCTCCACACCTTTCCCCTCCCCGCCCCCCCACACCAGATCACCCACACAGCAGCACCTAATTTTGCTCTCAACCTCGCCACGCGCAAGTTCGTCCCCTCCAGAGATGCAGCCCTGCCCGCCCCCTTCCTCTCCGCCTCCCTCCCACCCTCCTCCTTCCCCACCCCTCCCAACCCCTCTTCCTCCCCCTCCACCGCTCTCAACCCATCGGCTGCGCTTCCCACCACTCTGGACCTCTCGTCGCTGGAGTGCTTTCTGAACGCGGCCGAGCCGGTGCGGCCAGAGGCGATAGAGCGGTGGAATGCGGTGCTGGGGCGGTACGGGTGGGACCCGTGCGGCATGTGCCCGTGCTACGGGCTGGCAGAGCATGTGGTTGGCGTGTCAGGGTGGGGCAGCAAGGTACGTTGAACCTAGACTTGGTGGAGCGTAGTAGAATGGAGAATGTGGGTTGCACCTTTCAGCATGTGCCCGTGCTACGGGCTGGCAGAGCATGTGGTTGGCGTGTCAGGGTGGGGTAGCAAGGTACGTTGAACCTAGACTTGGTGGAGCGTAGTAGAATGGAGAATGTGGGTTGCACCTTTCAGCATGTGCCCGTGCTACGGGCTGGCAGAGCATGTGGTCGGCGTGTCAGGGTGGGGCAGCAAGGTGCGTTGAATCTAACCTGTGGTGGAGCGGTTTTATGGGGAATGTGTGTTGCTCCTTTCAGCATGTGCCCGTGATACGGGCTGGCAGAGCATGTGGTCGGCATGTCAGAGTGGGGCAGCAAGGTACTGTCAAATATCAATCTAGACTGTTGCAAGTTTTTGTAGGTCTGTCAAATATCAATCCCTTTCCTCGCTATGACCCGGCACAGACAGCAGCGATCACTGCGGGTGAGTGGTGAGGTGATCACCTCACTACTTGCCCCTTTTACAGCCATCAAATTGCCTGCAAAACCAACCCTCTACCTCCACCCCTGTCCCACCTTTCCTCACGTTCCTCACGGCCTGCCCCTACCCACCAGCTGCTGCATCTCCCAGACATCATCCTCCACAGCAGCGGTCACCTCGCCACGTACCCAGTGGACGGGCGGGTGGTCATCGTCAACCCCGAGACAAGGGAGGAGTGTGCTGAGGGTGAGGAGGGCGAGATCTGGGCGCGCAGCTGCCACGTGGCGCGTGGCTACTGGGGCAAGCCGGAGCTGTCAGAGGAGGTGAGCCCACTGCTTGACATGTAATTTATGCTATCCATATTGGTTGTTGGATGTGTTAAGTCACCGAACATAGCACCTGATTCGGCGCCACCTGCCTGCCTGCCTCCCACCCTCCCTCCGTTCCTCGCACTCACATGCGCTCCATCCATCTCCACCTGTCCTCCCCAGACCTTCCGGGCGCGAATGAAGGAAGGTGCACCGGGCTCGGACAGTGGAGCCTATCTGCGCACGGGGGATCTGGGGCTGGTGGTGGCGCAGCAGCTGTTCATCACAGGGCGCATCAAGGACCTCATCATCGTGGGCGGCAAGAACTACTACCCGCAGGTGGGGCATATCAATTTATGACACGTTGCAACATTCCACATGCAGCATGCCCCTTCGCATCAAGGACCTCATCATCGTGGGGGGGGAGAACTACTGCCCGCAGGTGGGTGGCTGGGCTGGCATATCATGCCAGTTGCACTTAGCGATATCCCTCTTGCTGCATGTTCCTTCGCATCAAGGACCTCATTATCGTGGGCAGCTAGAATTACTACCCGCAGGTGGAAGCGGCGTGTTGTAGTATCATAGCATGTCACTCTATCATTTTCTAGTCCCAGTTGTTGTAGCGGTGTGCCTGCTATGTCATGTGTGCCAGTGTGTGGTTTGTTACACTTGTCGTCGTTCACCTTCCTGTCCCATTTCCACCAGGAAGCTCACAGCGGAGTCCGTTCCAGAAAGCAGGGGCAAACTTTAGTCGGAGGCGATTTCTTTGCAGAGGTGTGACTCAAACGTCGCCTCTCTCATTCCCCTTCCCTGCCCCTTCCCTGCCCCTTCCCTGCCCCGTCCCCACCAGGACCTCGAGCTGACAGTGGAGGCCGTTTCAGACAGCATCCGCCCCGGCTGCTGCGCTGCCTTCAGCGTGAACAAGATGAGCCACGGGGCGGCAGCGGGCGGCAAGAAAGGGACAGCAGACAAGGGAGAGGAAGCAGGGGAGAAGGGAGAGGAGGAGGAGGTGGTGGCAGTGGTGGTGGAGGTGAAAGCGGTGGCGCAGGAGGGGTGGTGGCGGGGAGGTGGAGGAGGGGGGAGCGGGGAGGGTGGGTTGACGAAGCAGCAGATGAATGAGCTGGCGGGGGAGATTCGGAGCGCGGTGGTGCGCGCGCATGGCGTCATGCCCGCCATTGTGGCTATCATCCCGCCCCGCACGGTCAGTGTAGTGGTGTGGGTATGGGAGGAGTCTTCTTGATGCCATGGCATGGCTTTCTGCTAACTGTCTTCACATTTGCTAGCTAGACGGGTGAGCCTACTGCTGCTGACTGATCGCTCCTTCCTCCCCTGTTGCTTCCGCCACCCCTCTCTATTTCACTCTCCTTTGGTCGCCCTGGGTGTCAGATCCCCAAGACCACGAGTGGCAAGATTCGGCGTAAGGAGACGAGCCACCGACTCACTGCAGGGGCACTGAACGTGCTCAACAGTAACTCGCACATGGAGGGAGGCGCAGGAGAGACCATTGTAAGCCCAGTAACTGTTTTCTAGGCAACACATTGAATGACCCTCTTTCTTTATGAGGCATGAGTGACAAAAAGCTTTCATTTGTGAGACGCTTGTGAGACCCTATATTGAAATGCTATGCGGGAGGAGTGACTGGCAGGCATTCCTGCGTAGTGACATTATTGGTCATGTGTTTCCTACGTTGTCAATTTCTCCTCTTCACTGAATTTCTCTGCCCATGTCTCTCTTGTTGCCAATTTCCCAGGAGAGTCTGCACTCTATTCCCGAGCCTTCTGAGTCGAAGGGAGGAGAGGAGGACGTGGTGGTTATCGAGGAGGAAAGCTCTGCTGAGGTGGCTCGGAAAGAGGTGCTGATTGGCCAAGAGGAGAGTGAAAGTGGGGAAAGGGAGGAGGCAGCAACCAGCAAGAAGGTGGATGAGGAGGATGAGGGACAGGTGGAAGGAAAAGGGATGACTCAGGAAACAGCTGTGGAGGTGGAGGGAGGGGAAGCTGGAGATGGGGCGAGTGTTGCTGCAGCAGCTACTGTAGTAGATGCAGGAGCAGGGGTGCGGACTGAGGGAGCAGATGAAGTAGAGGAGGAAGCAAATGTAGTGGCACCACTGGCAGTGGCATCAGAAGCAGCAGCAGCAGCAGCAGCAGCAGAGGGCGAGGTGGCAGGGGCAAAGGATGGGCAGGGCAAAGATGCAGAAGGGGATGGGGCTGCGGAAGCTGAGGAGGATGTTGGTGCGGCCAAGTGGGATGGCATGGGTGTGGAGGCAGCTGTGAAGGCCATCATGGGGATCCATGTGAGCGCCTCTGCTGATTCTTTTTCTTTTCGGGGGGGCTTCCGCTTGACGTTTGTTTCTTCTTGCTTTTCTTGCTTAGGTGCACTGTTCTCTTCCATGAACACAATGTCAAGCAAATGCTTGTATACATATTCACCTCTCCTGGTATCTCCCCTCAGGACTTTAAGATAGCAGGCGAGCCTCTGCTGATTGACATTGGTCTCACATCAATGAATGGCATGGAGGTGCTCGAGCTGCTGGAGAGGCGCTGCAGGTCTTAGAAACTCAAGCACTCTTCTTCTGTGCCTTACGTCCCCTCCCAGGACCTGGAGATTGCCGGAGAGCCACTGCTGATCGACATAGGCCTCACGTCCATGAATGGCATGGAGGTGCTCGAGCTGCTTGAAAGGCGCTGTGACCGCAGACTTGTTGTCGATGACATGGAGGTGAGCTGATGGGGAATGACGTGGAGGTGAGCTGATGGGGGATGACGTGGAGGTGAGCTAATGGGGAATGACATGGAGGTGAGCTGATGGGGGATGACGTGGAGGTGAGCTAATGGGGAATGACGTGGAGGTGAGCCGATGGGGGATGACATGGAGGTGAGGCCATAGTGGCGGCATGACGGCGCAATGACTGGTGGCTAATAGGCAATGTTTTTTGTTGCCTTTCACACATTCCCGTACCCCCATCACAGCGACTCACCATTGGACATTTGCGCCGGCTGGATCAGGGCATTCCTCTCCCTGACACATTCGAGGTGATGTATTGGCTTAGTATTTAGAACCATGACCATGCTTTCACTGCTAGTGTGGTGCTGTGCTATCCCATTTCCACCTGCTTGTGTTTGTTGTTCACTCTTGACTAACAATGGTTTTTCCTGCTGGGTGTTGGATTTGTCAACTTTTTTTTCCTCGCTGCAGAGTGATGATGAGGATGAGGATGAATGAAAGAATGAAACTACTTGTTTATCCTCCCACGTGGAGTTGTATACGGTTAAATTTGTATGTATGTATGTATATAGCAGTATCTTAAAGATAAATCATACAGCATCCACTCCAAAGTTAGTGAGCCGTTGGAAGGAAATGCGTCGTAATGGAGATACACAACGGCTACATTCCACTGCACCCGGACAAATCCAGCACCCCCTACCTGTCGCACAAAACCTTGCAGCCGAAACGGGGCGAAAAGAAACGAAAGATGGGGCGAAGAGGCGAAGCGAATCGCCACGAAGAACGTTCCATCCCCTTCAAGTGTACGTTTACACGTTTTCGCGTTCCGCCGCGGCTTGCAAACTTGAGTTTCAAACGGACGTCAGCCCTGGCGGCGTCACCACCTCGCTAGGGCATGAATTTGATCTCAAAATTTGCACCGTGCTTGGCTGAGCCATGCCTAAAGACTCGAATTCCTTGCACTTTATTCCCTGACGTCTACTTTCCGCATACCGATTAGAGGTTTTGCACATCAGTGCCCACTCACGTCTCAGAGCTCATTATTCAAAAATTCACCAAGGGCATTCAATTGAGTTGCGCGTCGGCTTGTTATTGTCAAAGTGCGCTTTTAGTGGCGCGTTCTAGGTTCGATTTCTCCACCCTTACAATAGGATCATTCCAGAAATACCAGACAGATTACTCTACGACGACTTTCGGTGGCCATGGCCGCAGCTATTCTGTCTCGATGTCCATTGGTGCGAAACAGTTAAACCGATTGCTCAGTAGCACTGTACGTCACTCGCATCTTAGAGTAGAACGCCTCAGCTGATCCATCTTGACATTGATACGAGGCGCTATTTTCGTTCAGCTCCTGTACAGAGCAAGGCCAGAAGTAGGGTTTGAGCATGGCGTTCCTCACGGTTCAAGAGTCGCTAACTTGGGCGATTCTGTTCTGGATGGTGGCGTTTCTTGTCTCAGCAGCATTAGTGGGAATCGTCATGTACATGGTGCGTTTGCGTGTGGTCGAATCTGGTTGTAGCTGACTAGCACCTGAGGCCGCGGATCATGCTGATTCTAAATCTCCACAAGAATCATGCGGCAGAGCTGTCAGTTGCTCCCAGCTCTTTTACGCCCAACAGTTCGATGCTTATCGGATACTCATATACAGCCTGGTGCAAATCGAATCCTGGTGCATATCGAATCCATCCCGTTTTTTCTAATTCGTTTCCTCTTCTTTCCTCTTTTGGCTGGACTCCCTTGTTCCTTCACCTTCTCATCCAGCTCATCTGTATATCGGACCTCGAAAACGACTTTATCAACCCACATGACGCCGCCAGAAGAGTCAACGGCTTTGTCTTTCCAGAAATCTCCCTCCATTCCGGCCTGACGGTTGTCTTTGGCCTCACCGGCCACTGGCTCATGTTCCTTATCAACCTTCCTCTCGCTCTCTACCACCTTCACCTGTGAGTGTCACCATTACTTCATGCATGATGCTGTTATTATCAACCCGCAAGTTGAGTTCCTCTTCCCTCTGGAGCAGTGCTGTCAACAACATCTGGCCTCCTACTTTCGCTTTTGTCCATACAGATACCTCAGGAAAGAGCACATGGTGGACGTGACGGAAGTTTTCAACCAAATAAGCGTTCAAAGAAGACGGCAACTAATTAGATTCGTCATCTACCTGACTTTAATGATCGCCACTATATTCAGGTCAGTCAGAAGAGAAAAAAAATGCATATACCATGATTCTAGCCTGTCCAAAAGCTGCCCCCCAAACTCCTGCTTTGCTGGCTATGGCTGAGCAGTTTTTCTAGCTTCTCCATTCCCGTTCCCTGCCCTTCTCTCCACCCAACAGGATGGTGGAGCGAGGGGTGACAGCAGTCATGGAGAGCCATGGGGGAGCAATCCATGCCAAAGTTTTGGGAAACGTGGCAGGCCTTTCCAACATGTCTTATATGTAGACCACAGATAAGGTGGTGAATTGGCATTCACCCACGTGACAGGCACATGGACGGAGGTTCCAAGTTTAGGAAGAACTGCCATAGCTTCTCTCCGTCTTCATCTCTGTCAAGTGCTAGGGCTTGTAAGTGTATAATCTTGTGCTAACTTGCTTGGTTAGCAATTTAGGACGCCGTGGAAGGAAATATTGGTGCTAGTGTTGCCTGAAAGCAAAAATTGAGGAGCCTTGGCCTCCTGATTAGAATCACATGCACTTGTGGGACAGGGCTAAGGGTACATTCCGCTGTAGAATATGTCCCAATCGATGTGTCTCAATCGATTGGGACGCGTACGGCCAGCATATGCTGCCAGGTGTCGGAATGCCGTGGCGCCCGTCTCTATCGCCGACTGTATTTATCATAGGTTGGCGTGATTCACGGAACAGTCGCCAGCTAATTGCAACACGCCCCATCAATCGCACGCGGCACCAAATGTCATCCCATGCATAATGTATCTGGACCACATTTTGCGAAACCCAGTTTCCCCCCAAACTCGTTCAGAGCGTTCTCATTGGAGGAAACGAACCACGTAGAATTATTGACAGGGACGCGCACATCCCCGCCAGTGCGCCTTCCCCCCGTTCTCGTGCACCTCCATCACAACTCCTCCGCCTCCCAAACCCTTACAAGGTCAACGTTGTACTCCTTGTGTGAAGTTGTGCTCTTTCTTCTTCTCCCGCCACAATTCCCTCTAGATCTAGATCTAGAAGCTATCCCACCGCAAGCATGGCTCGTAAGCGTAAGGGGCAGGCTCTTAACGACTGCCCCAAGAACTTAAACGAAATCCCGTACATCCGCTGGATGAACCAGCAAATCGCCAACGGTCGTCACCCCAGGGGCTTGTCCGCGCCACCCGTTCTTGACGGCCAGGGGTCTACTGCACCGTCGCCCACAGCTGCGCCGTCCCGTGTGCGCCGACAGCCTACCAGGACGGCGGCAACACACCGGCCCGCCGTGGAGGAAGACGTCGCAGATGATGACGACGACGAAGGCGACGACGACGTCGCCTCCGACGACGAGGACGATAAACCTGAGGACCTTGGAATGTCGCCCAGCGACGACGACGATGACGACGACGAGGATGCCCTGGACGACGCCACCGAGGAAGCACAGCCAGTCGCACCGCCGCCGAAACGGAAGACCGCACGCAAGGCTGTGTCCGATAAGGGCAAAGGCAAGGCGGCGCAACCTGCAGCACGCCCAGAGCCGCGTAAGAAACGGGCTGCCGCACCAGTCGAGCGCGGCTTATGGTCTGACAAGGAGAGCACCATCTTCGCAGCGGCGAAGTGGTTTCTCAAGGAGGAGCTCGAGCCTCTCAAGGGGAAGCAGGGTACCCAATACTGGGCCCGGCTGCTCGCACACATCAAGGAGTCGAACCCCGGATGGATCCGGGGTGTCAACGCGCTCCAGAAACAGTGGCGTAACCTCATGATGCTATGGCGGGAGTACAAGCGTGCCGACGAGGGGTCGGACAACGGCTCCGTGGAGAAACCACCTTGGTTTCCGTACCTGGAGCTGCACAACCAGGACACCGCCGCAGCCGCACCGCATGCCGTGGACGGAGGTGGCGCGAATAACGTCAACGTCTCGGCGGGCATGGAGGTTCCGCAATCGTCCCAGCCAGGCACGTCAACTCCTTGCTTCACAGGTGAGTCCGGGGTATTATGTTCGGCGTTGTGGTTCTTGTTTTCTCGTACGCGTTGTTTGTAAAGGCTTTTAAAAAATACCACCATGTATGCCACGAACATCGACATCGTGTTTACCACACTAACTAACATACTACAATCGTCCCTGCTATGTCGCAGCTCCTCCGCCAACGACTCCTGCCACACCCAGGCGTGCCCGGGTGCATGAGACGGCCACCATGCAAGCGGCGATGCTCGTCTCCGCCACCATCAAGGACTGCCATGGCGACGCGATGACTCGCATCGAAGGCCTCGTCCGTGAATGGATGGTGCAAGATCTCCGACTTGCCCGTGAGCGTATGACAGAGTCGGCTCCCCCGGATGTGCACCGCGCGCCCCAGGATTTCTCTCCACCGCCGCCACGCGGGGAGTCCGCGCCTGCTCCCGAAACCGCACGGACGCGTGAGGACGTGGGCGACGGCAACACCGTCACTCCGGCGGCGGAGGATGTGGAGATATGGGTTCGCGGCGCCGACGATTAGCGTAAGATGACTGAAGCGCCTCCCCCAGTCGTTTCCGCCTTTCCCTAAGTGCCTTTCCCACATGGTTCCCATTTGTGTGTCGCAATAGCACCCCGCGTCCACCATGGATCGCGGTTGCGGGGTAGGTTCTCCCATGCCATGTTTCGCCGCCTGACATCCTGCATGTCTTCACACATGTTGTGCAGGATGACACAACACGCAGCACCGGCGAGTATGCGCCACAACCTGCAGTCGTTGCGCTGGCCGAAGATGCGCCATCTCCCTTTGAACGCGCCGATGCATCTCTCCACGGCCATGCGTGTGGCGCTTTGACAGTAGTTGAAAGTTTGAGCCCAGTCGTCCATGAGGTCCTCTCCTCGTGGGGCATGCAGGGGTGTTAGGCAGTACTCCCGTAGTGGGTAGGCCGCGTCACCAACGATCTGGTATGGGGCTATGTCCCCGTTGTGTAACCTCTCAAGTAGTGCAGACTCTTTGAAAACCCGCATGTCGTGCGCGCTACCGGGATACCCGATAAGGTGGTCCCATATTCTCCCTCGTGCGTCACATGTGAGCTGGAGTTGTAAGGCATATGCGGATTTCCTTGTCCAGTACTCTGTTCTATGCCCCTCCATCCCCTTCATGTGTATATGAGTGCCGTCCACAGCACCCACCACAGCAGGTATACCCTTGACGGCCGCAAACTCCCTCGCCATCTCTGGAAGCTCTTCACGGGTGGGGAATCGCACCCAGGCGGCCTTGAAGACGGAGGGGAACTGCGTGAGAAATACGTCGACCAGCTCGTGGCAGAGAGTTTTGGAGATGCCGAACAGGTACGATATGTCGACGTACGAGATTCCAGAGGCCAGGTACTTGATTGGGATTAGCACTGCAGTGTCCAAGGTGGGAATGGATCGGTGAACTATTGGCTCTAGGTAGTGTTGCAGCCCTGCCTTGATATGCTCCAGTATTGAACGGTTAATCCTGAAGAGATCCTGAAAGTCGTTCTCCCGCATGTGTTGCAGGTCTTCAACCCACAGAGCGTGTCTCCGCTTTCGTATCCTCGCTCTGTGGCGGCGGTTCTCGCCGTAATCGTCCCCGCAGGATGAGGACTGCTCTTCCTCGTCCTCGAAGACGCCTGACTCTATGAGGCCTACAAAGCTCTTGGACACATTTTCGTGGAAGATGGTGTAGTAGTAGGTTACCCAGGCGACGAGAAGGCGTAGGATGAATGGGATGGTTCGTGGCTCTGCCATGTTGTGTGGATTGGACGAGCTGTAGTTTTTTGTATGTGTGTATCACTAGCTCCTTGTGTGTGCTTCATATTGCCATAGTACCCGCTGTCGCAATTATTGGAAGCGCGGATGTGTTGTGTATCATCCGCGGTCTCCCCGTACGGATTTGTTAGAATAGTAGCTAGAGAGAGCCTTAGGGTTTGGTGGGAGAGAGTGTTGGCCAAGCAAAGAAGGGGGGTTCACTATAGGCTCGAGGGTACAAATAGGAGACAAAGGAGGTGCACCACCAATACAAAGAGTTTATAACTACACTAAAGCTACAGCTACAGGCAGGTACATAAATATATATAAATATATATTCTAACACTCCCCCATAACTGCCTGCAGCAGGAGCTTGTGCAGCAACAACTCCTGGATGGGTACACCACGAACAGAGAAAGCAGCAACAGGAGGCAAGTGCAATGACAACCAGTGCAGTGGTGGCAGAGACAGCTGCAGCAAGCCCTGAGGCAAGAAAGAGAGAACGAAGACGATGTGCTGTGGCGCGCTTAGTTTGCAGCTCAACAGCAAAGAAGACGAACGAAGACGATGTGCTGTGGCGCGCTTAGTTTGCAGCTCAACAGCAAAGAAGACGAACGAAGAGAGAGAAGCGTCAGGGGCTGCAGAAGTAGGTGCCACATAGCAGTGGACGGCAGCTGCAGATGCGTGGCTACTGGTTCCACCACTCTCTCTTACCCTCCCTTAGCATCTCTCCCCCCCCCCCCCTCTCCCCGACAGCAACAAGTGCTGCAGGGAGAGAGTAAGAGGGAAGGAGAGTGGGGGAGGGACGAGCTACTGGTGGTTCACACCCTCCGCCCCCAGAACTCCCGTCCCCCCCCCCCCACGGCGGGAGCCGCGGAAGGGAAGGGCGGGGGGGGGGGGGGGGGGGGGGCGGCATACGGAGCTGCCGGCGCCGGCGTCCCCTGCTGGCGCAAGCGCTGGCGTGCGCGGATGGCGCAGGCGCTGGCGCCTCGCGGCTGGCGCAGCGCTGGCGCTTCGCGGCTTGCGCACGCGCTGGCGCTGCGTTCTGCACTGGCGCTGGCCGCAAAGTGCTGGCCAATACAAAGAGTTTATAACTACACTAAAGCTACAGCTACAGGCAGGTACATAAATATATATAAATATATATTCTAACAGGATTTGTGTTTCCTGCGGTTGATGGGAGGCGGGGGTGTTTGTGCTTTTGGCGGGAAAATGGGCCAGGATGGACGGTGACCAATCAGCAGGGGTCGCAAATAATTGTCGCTTCACACAGCAGAGTCGCAATATATCGATCGATTGGGACATGCAGATTCGGGAAAATTGGGCGCGACTCCACAGCGGAATGTACCCTAACTAAATCCACATTTGTCATATCGAGTGACATGAAATCCACTGTGTTGGAAACAATAAGACCTAAGCGCTTCAGTCGTGTCGAAAACACCGCATCAGAAGCGAGGCAAACTACACCGAAGCACCCGCGAGTCAACCCTCGGGGGTTGAAGAGGTTGCTGGAGGTTACGCGAAGGTCAAAGGTCGCTGACCTTTGACCCGACAAGTACAGCGCGACAGTTAAGGACATACAACTGACTCGTTACAGAGCAGTTGCCCGAGTCGTACTGTATCGAACCGCAACAGCAACAGTAAAAGTAGTTATAACCGTATCCTTTGACATTCCTTACACCACTATATATTCTTGTACTTTCCTGTTATAATTAATCTACTTTGCCCTCACATACTAGCGCAAGGTGGTTCACAATTACTTCACTAAAAGCTTCCGCTATTACAATTGTCCTACCCAGAGTTCTCCCCTGAAAAGATCCTAAGGGGCTATCTCAGCCCAACATGGTATGAGAGCGGTCAGGGGAAATTCTACCTTTTCAATTCAAAGACATTACAAGACATGGCAACAAACAAGGAGAGGAGCTCTTCTAATGGCTCCCCGGGGACTACTCCTACACCACCTCCTGCCTCTGGCCTGCAGACAGAGGAAGGCACAGCAACAAGACCTAGGGGAACGTCCACCGAGACTCTCACAAATCGCCCCACGGGCTTTGACCAGAGCATGATGGAGAAGTTTTTCTCCTTCATGTCCTTCTACGAGCAGCACCAGCAGTCGGGACCTGCACAGACACACAACAGCAACAACGGAGTGACACCCATGAGCCTTGATGGGTCGTCATACGCGCGCGGAAATCAACAGCAGCAACCTACCTTCGCCCCGTACGAACGCGGGTCAATCAGCTTCATGCCGCAGTCTTCGCCTGCACAAGACAAATCACTGGACGCGTTACAAGTACAGTCGCAATTCGCACACGTTTTGAAGCTTCAGACGTCAAGACCATTCGACGGAAAGGACTTCTTCACCTGGTCCTTTGAGTTCGAGTTGATGATGGAGGGCGCGCAGATACTTGGCTTCTTCGACGGGTCCCTGCAATATCCAGCAAACGGCACACAGTATGAGAAGCAGCAGTACACATATCAATCGATGATGGCGTATACGATCCTACTGAGGAACTTAACACCAACCCAACAGCAGAACATTCGGTCCTACCGGGCCTTCGGCAACTCGGCGGAGCTCGCGTACAACCATCTGAAGAGCCTGTATCAAGCAACAGACAGTGTAAACCAGAGCAGGTTAATGGCGCAGCTGACAACAGTTGAGATGAAACCAGGAGAGAAAGGAATGGCATATATCAGTCGATGTCGCGAACTGCGCGACAAGCTTCTTCGATGTGGAGGATCAATCTCTGAGGACGCCTTCGTGACGGTCATCATCGGTGGCCTCGGCCCTCAGTGGCGCGCAACAAAGGCCATCCTCCGAGCCCACGGACGAATTTCTGAGGCAGCACTCTGCGCCGAAATCCACGCCGAACAGCAGGACATGGATCTGCAAGAAGAACGACACAGGAAGAAGACGACAACGTCAGAGTTCGCATTTCACACCCAACGACGACACAACAACTACAGCAACAGACAACAACAGCCGAAGCCAGTACCTCCCTTCTGTCACATCTGCAAGACTTCAGGGCACCCGCGCACGCACTGCCCGAATCGTCAACAGTCAACGACCCCGCAACGACACCTTCGACCTTCAAGCAGTCAAATTGCGTCAACGCAAGCAAATCCAACGACCCAGATCCAAGCTTCAACAACCTCAACGGGACAACCTGCGCAAGGAGCAAGAAACATCGTTAGCTGCATGGCAAGACTAAGTGACTCTTGCGTCATGGATTCACCACCTCATTACTCACCGGAAGAACAACTCGACAACACCACACCTCGTCGCGAAGCACTTCAACCAAATCCGACATACGCTGCCATCGCCCAAAACGAGCCATCCGGAAAAGACACGTGGTTCTTGGACAGTTGCTGCGGACAACACATGTGTTCTTCGGGACGCTTCGTACAGAGAGAGTATCAGCTTCAACGAGAGGTCGTCATCACCGTCGCCAATAATCAAAACCTGTACACACGACGACAAGGAATTGTACAACTTCAGTCACGGGAGACAAACGTCATTCTGCAAATGTCCAAAGTTTTAATCGCAGAAGGCCTCGGATACAACCTTCTCAGTGTGAGTCAGTTGATGGCGAAAGGCATCCACCTCGAAGCAGACAGCACTACCCAAGAATTCAAGCTGTACCACGGGAGAGGAGGTCTTTACATCGGGAAGGCAATCCTTAAAAACAACGTCTTCGTCTTGGACTTCGTTCCTGATCTCGGCACCGCTGACAGTGACGCCATAGTCAACTTTACCAACTGGACACA